ACACACGTCATACATTTCCTTCTGAGTTTAATTATGAAAGAATACGCAAACAAATTTACATATACTTACTAGTAATATTTTATATGAACAATTATTATTATTAAATATAAAGGATAACACGACATTGGCTGAAGATTATAAACCTCTAAAACTTAATAACGTTGTGCGCGTTCAACTTGATCGCTCTTTCATTTAATTAAATTAATCAAAGAGGACTAATATATTAAACATATGAAATCAAAGACGTTATAAATATAAATTCTCATTTAAAATAGCATTTGAGAGAATTACAAAGCATTTTTATATGTTACTAGTTTTTGCCCGCGACTTCGTCCGCGTTAATTTCGTCATTAGTAATATATGTATAGCTGACCGGGCGAACTCTATTCCGTCTTCAATAACCCAGTATTGGTATTTATTAAATTTCTACTGTTTCAATCGAACATAATGATTGACATATTAGTTAGATGTCAAGTCTAATGTCAAAAAATCGTTTGTATGGGAAATAGAAAAGGGCTGTTTTAAGGGTTTTCCCGGCAATTATTCCAATTTTTCTCACCTTTTAAACCTTCCCTGGACTTCCAGGAGTATTTCAAGACTAAAATTAGCCAAATCGGTTCAGCCGTTCTCGAGTTTTAGCGAGACTAAGGAACAGCAATCCATTTTTATATATATAGAAGATTGGCCAATGTTTCATATAGGCCGTTGGTATTGCGGTACGGGTGCAAGTAACGGGCTACCAGATCGTAGTAAGGAGAGGTATTCGTTTTTGTATTTTGTTTGTAATATAGGTATGTACATCATTAGCACAATGAAATAAATAATAGAAATATGAAATATGTAAATATGCTACAGGTTTTTTCTAACTTTTGCATCGAATACGGGTTTTGAGTCTTTTGAAATCACAGTCACTGACAGACATGGACTTCAGTTAATATAGCAGCTGGTTTACGGGAATAGTCGGTTTCATTAGCTGGATTTCTGGCATAATCCTAACTTCTAACATAGCCAGGACTAGCCAACCTTCTAGGACTGGAAGTCTATTGTTTGTCATCGGCAATAATAAATTACATTGTAAAATGTGAATAATCTTCCACTGTGTAAGGCCTGTTTAAAATAAACATTAATTAAAGAAAATGTAACGTTAAATTCTAAGGTTGTGATTACATAATTGGGTAATGAATACGTGTTTCGATAAATATCAAGAAAAATTTGAAATATATATTAAATCAAAGACGTTAATAGCATTAGGAGTTTGCTTATGCCATTAGTTCAGGAATCCAAAGTATATGATACGGAAACGTTAATTCCATTACCTGTTAAAATGGATCCTTAAAGTTTGTACAAAAACTCGTGATGTCCGGTCTCTTATCGGAAAAAAAACTATTGAAAAATAAAAGGCATAATTGCTTTGTTGAAATTTGGTCGTTCTCTTCCAATTAATTACCTAATAAATGGGATTTACTTTTTTTCTGTTATCATCAAGGAGATTAATTTATAACTTTCCACTTGTTTGAAGTTGAAGACCAAGATAACAAAAGTTTTAACTAATTTTGGATTTATTGTTATTTTAAATTGAGAGTAATGTTTTCTATTACATTATTAATGATGTTTTCTTCTAAGTATCCTCTGTAATATATAGATCTAGGATTTTAAGTTTCAATATGATAAATCAGACATGGGGGCACTTGTATATGTGTAAATTTCTTAAAATTCTAATATTTTACACATTTGATATTTATTACTAGTAATTTTAGAAATCATTTTTTTTTTATATTATTACATTCAAATTTTCAGATGATAATATATGTAGTTAACTATAGAAAAATTTTCAAGCACTTTTATCTTTAAGTTCAAATTAACAAATGAAAAATTACAGATATAGAAAAATATTTGGTTATTAAAATTGTGAAATAAAATCTTTACATGAAAATCCAAATTTGTTCTTGGTAAAGGTTTCTTTGACCCGAATTATAGTCACACAAAAGTACAATATAAAAAGCGTATAAATGCCGTAAAGACGTGTCTAGATAGTTAAGTTTTGAACTAACTTTAGTTATGTGGTCATATTTGCTCAACCTAAATATGAACAGTCGGCAAGCGATTGAAGAACCGCAATATTTGTTGGTCTATTAAAATAGGAATTTGATTTAAAATTTTAGTTACAAATATATTAAAAATATATGTTTTTTATTGGTTAATATCGGACTACATAAAATAATCTTAAAATATTTAAACATTAGTAAAAAGTCTTTCAGACTACTTACCAGACAACTTCGTTAACAGTCCCCGATAATTGGAATTAAATTTTGTTGTGTAGTTATTTAATTTGCACAGATCATTCTTTCTTTATTTTTGCATTATAAAATTAATCATTGTTTTTTTCGAGTCCATGGAAAGTAAAATACGATTACTTGAAAAAACCGTAAAGATTGTCTGAAACAAATAATAATCATATGTAATATAATACTTATGTTAGTCATAAACTAACCTTCCTATTTGTAGTACATAACATTCTTTTAAGATTACTCATTTGCTTCGCAATTTACTTATCTTATAATAACTTTTGTTAATTCTGCCACATTAAACTAAATCTAAATCATCTAAATCATTAAAAGACTACGTTTTCAATATCTTACACAACTCCACAACCAAGCCCGACATCGTTGATTTCATCCGAACGCGGACCGAATACATCACCTAAAAAAAAGGTTTTCTTAGAAATATAAACTCTAAACACTTAAGCAAAAAGGCAGAAATTACAAAACTCCTCGCTAAACAAATACAATTACGTTTAACCGTGATCTTGAAGAGTTTGAAGAGGTTTAATTGAATCATCCTTAATACATCCGCTGGTACATTTATTGGCCCATTCTTTATAAATTAGGTTTACTTAAAAAACATCCTGATACAGGCATGTTATTAAAATAGCTCAGGGCTGTAAATGAGAAAAAATATCTTTTCTACTCTTATAACGTTTAAATACTGCGAAAAATTGTTTTAGCTGTATCATATTTACGGTGCCACCACCCCTTAGTTGCCTTAGGGCGAAAATAATTTTAAATCGAGCCAAAGGTAAATATTCCGAAAGTCGTTTCAAATTTTGCAAGCACAGCTATGAAAAAAGTCTCAAGGTTCTATAAAGGAAAAACGTTCCTTTGACAATTGGAAATAAATTCTGCAGAAGCAAAAATTTCTCATACAACCTCAGTCAATGATCTATCCAAGACACACTTAATATTTTATTTGATAAAAATTATTTGTATCTTAGTAACGTTTTTATAATAGTAATTTATAAGTACCCGAAATAATATTAATTTTCCTTAATTAAACTGAAATAAATAAAATCATCGACCGCAATGTCAAGGATGTCAATAAATTTAAGTAGCTTCTATAGAAATTTTTAAGTTGAAAAATGAGTAGAATGTTATTCCATTTAAATGGTATTTATTATTAATGTTAATAATAGTACAAAATCAAGACGATACTAGGAACTATGATCTAGATATGACTGTGATCGGTATAGACTTAAAGAAAAACTTCACAAATACATACCAATTTGCGTAATTTCGATATATTATACCAATTAGTTAAATAACGTAATCTACAAACTTCAACGTCACCGCTTTGCTAAGCTCTTTTGGTCCGAGTGAATGTGCGTCTCACTAGTAGTATTTATTAAATTATTAAAAAACGCTTAAATTAAATATATTGCTACAATGATATTTAAGATTTTCGCATGTTTTCGTTTATATATAAAACAAATATTTTCGGATATACTATTAGTTGTTTATTATTATTTTAAAACTACATACTTTCGAAGAATCGGGTTCTTTTTCATCAATCGTTATCACTAGTAGACGAGATAAAAAAATCTGAGTTATATTTAAATGTATAACCAAGTCGCTGCGAAGTTGCCTCTAGTATTTTTCAAACTTCATGTTATTCTTATTTTTAACAGACGCCTGAGTTAGAATATACGCAAAATTTAAAAAATATTGTTTTCAACTAATAACAACAAATAACAACAACAACCAATATAATGAAACTTTTGTTCCTTTTCTCCCCTTGTATGAAAAAAACGTAGAAAAGTTATAGTATTTATAAAATATGCAATAATATAAGTGCGATTGCTTCCCAAAAGAAATCAAAAGAGACTCTCTTATTTAGTGTAATTTTTTTAAAGCTCGTAACACAATTAACATATTTGTGTTATAACTTCATTAAAATACGATAATATCTACGTATTTTTTGATTAATATACAAAAAAAACCTTTTTTTATTTTTCAACGGATGTCACTAGTCGAGTGTATAATAGTATAAGCGAGATTTATAATTATTTAAATTCAAAATTAATTAAGTAACAAAAACCTTCTAAAAGATTATTATCAGCTAAAGCTAACTTCAGAAATGGAACTACAACTGAAGGAACCAAAGTCATACATTTATATTATTTACAATAGATGTCTCTGACTTGAAACATAATATGATGCATGAAAGTGCATGATGAACAAAAACTGTTTTGATCTATGGCATTGACAAGTAGACTTTATTTTAAAATGTCTTCTTAGCATATCTATGGTCATTATTGACTTGTTTCTTATTACATTAAATAAGTATTGGCAACAATATGAGTAATATAAATTTTTAAACAGGACATATCTCGAATAAATGAACTCTTGATTTTATTAAATATTGCCGATTGTATACTCTAGTTTACCAATTTAATAATAAGTATATCATTTTTGTTTTATGTTTTGGAGTTAAAATATAAAATTTTCAAAATATTGTATTCGCTTTTCTACTGCTTTTTTATCTCTTCCGTCCTGTCATATAAAATGACATGACTCATAAAGTTTGTGTCACACATTAATCACATTTCAATTTGACATGTGACAATTATTATTTGGCATCAGGCATTGTGATTACGTTCCGACTTCTGAATTCACGCAAACAAATAATTCGTCAGTAAAAGTATTAAAAAATATTTACTAATCGCTATGACAACTATAATGGAAAAACCAAGATCATGTGATACTTTTGTTGTTCTACCACCTCTGACAAAAAACAATGTTGTAATATTTGGAAAAAATTCAGACCGTCCACAGAACGAAGTCCAAGAAGTGATATTGTCCCAAGATCGAACTCGCGACTCTAAATTAAAGGTAAAAAAATTCAAATCGTTTATTTAAAATTCCTAGTATTACGGATTTTGTTTACAATACTCAGAAAAAACACTATAAAAACAATCAAACCAAACCCGTTAATCAAAATTGTTGTCATTCTTGTATCTAAACACTGTACTAATGAAATCTGACTATTGAAAAATTTTTAATGTATGACTTGATTCAAGAATGAACAATAATGATAAAAAAATGTTATCTAAAAATAGTTTCTCTCACATTATCTAAAATATTCACTGATAGTTTTTTTAGTTACTTTGTAAGTTAAAAATTATAACATGGCTTAAATAAATATTCTCACATATTTTCTGCTGCAATAGTGTTGTTTTCCTGTTTGTTAAAATTTTCCTTCATCTATCTGGGAAAATAAACTTGTCTTACTTCTATGACTAATTCTAGTAAATAATAACCATAACCGAAAATTCCTTATAAAGATTGCATCACAATATCTCCAAGTATATTAAATTATCAGATATATTTTATAAACAGTACCATTGTAATGATACACTAAAGTATACATACATATATTATAAGTAATATATTATGTTAGCAATGATTTCAATTACAATTGTTAATTTTGAATTGTAAATGTAGTTTTTATATTTCCTTTCTGAAATTATATTTGAAGAAGTTGCGCTTAATTCTAAATACAATGTTATATGTAACAACAAATTAATTTTACATCTACTCCATAACATGAATAATATTTAGCTTAAATAAAAAATATAAAATAGCTACATCTCTTTAACTCATGTGCATCACATAGAAATGTTAATCTTATCATACTTATAAAAATTACTTTCACACCCAAATTATTTTGTGATAATAACAAATTAGACTAACCATCTTCAAAACTAACTTGTAACAATTCATAAAGGTAAAACGAGTTGATTTCATACAATAAGTGGTATAAGGTATAAATAATATCCATTTATTTAAATACATCTCATTATGCTACATAGATTTTGCTTATGATTCCAGTGCACTTATATAACAATAGATGAGTGCACAGATCCACTAAACAATGTGATATTAAGCAAGCCCGCATGGATGTGGGGAGCTGAAATGGGTGCCAATGATAAAAATGTAGTGATAGGTAATGAGGCTGTGTGGACTAACAACAATGAAGGGGACGGAGATGCAAGACAGAAACGTCTCCTCGGAATGGATTTGGTGCGGTGAGAAGTTTATGATATCAGAATTATTCCGATACCATTCTACTAATATTACAAAAAATGCTATAATAACATCTGGCTTCTTCACTTCACAACATCATACATACTAAAAACTGGTATATCTATATTAGTGCAATGCTTATGTTTTTATTGTGTTATCTCTAACAGATTAGGCCTTGAGAGGGGAAATACAGCTGAAAAAGCTCTTGATGTGATCACATCGCTGTTAGAGAAATATGGACAAGGCGGGCCCTGCTCTGAATATGATGACAGTCATTTCTATCATAACTCCTTTCTCATTGCTGATTATAAAGAGGCTTGGGTACTTGAGACTAGCGGGAAAATGTGGGCGGCAGAGAGAATTGATTCAGGATACAGAAATATTTCCAATGGACTTACCATTGGAACTAAAATCGATAAGCATTCTGAAGGGCTGTTTGAAAAAGCTGAGGCTATGGGACTCTGGGATGGGAAGGTTAGCTAAAACATAAATCATCATTAAAAAAATCTTAGTAACTCATGTTTGCTTCCAAAGATATATTAATTGAACTACTATCAATCTATCTTTTAATTTTTAAATTCTATGAATACTTTTTATGAGTCATAGTAGATTTAAGTTGAACTATATCATTATTTAACAGCATTTTATTCTTACTTATTACAATCAGTGTATGTGAAATTAATTTAGCTGTTGTCACAGGGTTTGTTCGACTTCAGTGCTGCATTTTCTTCCGGCGGAGACGAGCTTCGTCAGAAAGAAGGTGAACGGCTTCTAAAACAAGCAACAGTGACATCTGCCTTCGATGTAACTGATATGTTCCGTATACTGAGACACAAAGAGAGTGGTATCTGCCGTGCATGTGACGATACCTTCCCCACACAAGGAAGCCAGGTAGTATATAATATATATAGTAACATAATAAGTTCTATTATTTTAATTAATATTTCTTTTTTATTTCTAGGTATCATCTATATCGTCAGACGGCATAAGCGTACATTGGTTCACAGCGACACCAGATCCGAGCGTATCTTACTTCAAGCCGTTCGTTTTCACTTCTAACGCTAGAATCTCACCGTACACCGAAAGCCCATCAGCGGTATGTGCGTTCTAATATTATTATTGACGTTAAATCGTGTTTTAAACTATATTAAATTCCACAGCCGAATCGTGAACACCATCTATATAAGCTGCATTCGGCGCACGTGTTGAAGAATAACAATGAGAGAATGTCGAAAGTCCTTGCCGATATCGAGAACGGATGTATCGCAGAAATAACAGATTTCATGAAGAAATACGAACTCAAAGAGAAAAATATTAACGAACTCGACGACCTGATGAAGAAGTGCGTGGAAACTGAAGTCAAACTTTACGGTTAATGATGTGCCTTATTATATATAATTTATCTATTATCAGCTAATTTAAATCCATTGCTATTTTCTATATTTTATCTAGCATACATTATAATACATATAAATGCACCCCTTTCTCTTAAGTTATGTACTTTTGTACTCTTAAGTTTTACATAAAGTGCGCGTTACACTCAACTTGATCGGAGTAAAGCTGTCACGGATATATTCAAATTACAATCTTTTGAAACATTTATCAATGTTGTATGAATTAAATATTTTCTTATAAAAACAGTGTAAACGCGCCTTTATCCTTTTGAGACGTAATTCGAATTATGAAATGGTACTACTACGGTTTTGCTGGTAGTAGGTACTTGGTATATTATGAATCTTTTTACACATGACAATAGATTTCTTTTTATATAATATTTTAACATATTACCTCCCGTATATTAGTTTTATCATTGACTTTCAATTTATTTTTCATGTATAAGCCTAAATTTAGTTTTGTCGTTTTGCTGTTGCATGACTTAATGTTAGATAAACAATAGGATAATATTTTATTTATATTAAATCTTAAATTTTAACACGAGAAGTCATTTTTTATAATTCTAAAAAAAAAACAAATATATTACAGTATTAGATCTATTCGCACGTAGAATATTCTATAAATAGTGTTAATTCGAGAAGCCAGTAATTGCTTTAATAATGGATGTGCCATTAAAAGGAGCTGTGCGCTTTAAATAAATAAGGTTCAATTCCGTCAGACACGACAACAACCGGCACTAGAAACTAATTAACATTTACATTTTGTAGACCTATTAGACAGATCACTTAAGTTAAATGAAATAGAAACTGTGATAAAATAGCAGCTTATAAGCTATATTTTTGAATCGTTTCTAAAAAGACATATTGAATAATAACATAATTTTAATAATTTCGTGCTCTCGATCTGGTGACTTTATTTAATAGTTTTATAGAATATATAATTTTGAAGTCTGAATTCTTTATATTTTTAAACTAAATGCGTCTGAATTGAATAAATCCAAATATATTTTATATTTAGTAATTAGTTACTTTTAGTTATACAATTCGTAGTAACCTTATACTTATTCAATGACTTTAATTACTTGTGAGTGTTTTTTTTTTTCTTTAATAAAGTATTATACATTGATTTCTAGAGGAAAATTATTATGTTATAAGCACTCGCGTTTCGCCTTTCTCTGCGTTATACTTGTGTAACACTTTATATACTTAAATTATAAGTATACAAGGAAACATCATAAGTGTATATTTTTATATCTATAATATTTGAATGCTTTTGTAAAATATATATATGTTATAGGTTTATTATGCTTTACTAGTTGCCTTAAATGATTAACACGAATTGTTAATGGAAGTTGTCGTTCAGTAATTTTAACAGATCGTTGATATTTAGCAAAATGAATATGATATATATGAAATTAATTGTAATTCAGAACAATTTAAATATAAAAGAATTCTTTAAAAAAATGTTGACGAGAAATTTTGATTATTGACATAGTAAATAATTATATAAATATTATTATTTTTAATTTATGTTTACCGTTTTTAAATGTAGAATTTTTGATATTTACTATTATTGTGATTATTATTGATTGAATTCATCGTGCCTTAAGCTTTGTACTCGATAAAGCGATGTGTTTGTCCAACAGCTCTTGTTATTTTAACATGAAATTGAAATACGTGACTTAGAACAAGTAAATATACGTATATTTTTTAAAATGCGGTAATTGCTTAAAAATATGTGTCAAAAATGTTGCCATATATTAATTTCATTTAAATATTGTTTGCACAGATCATTGCAATGTTTCTAACGGTTTAGTGTTAATCATTGATTTTATGTGCAATAAAGTTAGTATTCAGCCTGATTCGACTTTTTTTTATGACAAATACATCATTCCTTTCACCTTCCATACATCCCTTATACTATCGAAAAAGAAAAGAAAATAAACTACCTCTATATTTATAACATGCATCTATACATTTAAACTCTTGACAGCTTTTTAAATTCTTTATAAATATTTTACTGGCCAACTATAAAATCTATAGAAAAAACTGACTTTTATATGGACCGTCTGTATTATAATTCGAGTTATTGCATTATTCATACTTGTGGGAAAATAAATTTAAAAACGTATCCTTGACTTGTGAGACGTAGCATCTGGCTTGGTGTATAACATCAGACGTGCTGAATAATTAATTTAAGAATCGTGATTTATACCGCGAATAGCAAATATGTTTTTCCATATCTAATTTCCCCGCTAACAAGGTTCGTTAGTCTTTAGAATTTTCTATATATGTGCATTTGTACACATATTCAAATGAATTTTTCCTCAAAGCGATATCAATAAGCAACGTGTACAGTAAATAAAACGACTTTATAGAATCGAAGAGACTTTAATTTCATGTACTTATACAACTTAATCTGAAGTATCACATGAATCATAATGATAGAACTGGGAAAGATAAATATTAAGCTACGTAAATTCAATAGAATTAAAAATACAACTTGTACACTGAAACAACACATTGGAGATTATTTAAATGCCACATATTAACAACTACACTACCTAAAATTACAACATTTACTTCCAAAATATATTTTATAACGTGGCTTTCGAAACCCGATTTGAAATCGAGAGAGAAATGTCGACATTCGACTATTTAAATTTATATTGAAACAATAAAAACCTATCAAATATATACCACAATATAATTAATGAGATCTTAAAAGACAGTAGCAACCTGATGCAGTACGAGTAACTTCATTATACACACGCGTCAGAACATTCTAGAACAGTGACTTACCGAATAACACTTACACTCCGATATCACAATCACGGTACACACCGTCCGATTCAAAAAGAACCCATTCACAGATGAGATCCAACCTTTATACATTACAACGTTACTCGTACGCTTTAACCAACATTAGAATTAACAGTCTATAAACTATACTTATTTTATTGATACCGATTATGAAGTATGAAGACAGTATGACAGACCACGGACATCTAAAAATACACTCATATATCGTTTATTAAACATTGCTACGAATTGCATTAGAACATTGTATACACTGAAACTGATTTGAAAAACTATTTAAGATAAAACAGCCACAAGTTTAAGTTAAACGGCTACGTAATATTCTTGTTAGTCAACTATTAGGCCTCGGCCTCGAATTTTGCGGGCAGCGGGGCGGCGGCGGGAGCGGCAGCATCTTACGACTATAATCAAATGGACCGACCCTCGAATACAGCGGTGCCCGCTGCCCGCTAGTTCGGAGAATAGTATGCGTTGCCGTGCCGCCGCCGCCGCCGCTCCGCTGCCCGCAAAATTCGAGGCCGAGGCCTAAGACATACATAGAGCATAACTGTATAGAGTTACATGAATTTAATCTAAACACCGAGTGAATCTGATAAATCTTGTTACTGGAGATTTTTCTCTACACGAAAAACCAGAGAACATTTTACACTACATTAATAAACACATCAATACATTGAAATCTGACATCAAAATTTTAATATGCTCTGAATAACGCTCAATAAAACATTGCTAAGAAATATTTACATTACGAACTTACTGCCTCACAAAACGAATATATTTAATGTTGAAGGTACATAATACGCAAAATCATTGGCAAACGCATATTACAATAACAGTAGCAACTAGAAAGATACTCTGAGGCATAATAACCTGAAATCATTCCATACAGCACATAACTAATTAACTGCTGAAAATAAATATATATAATCATAGTAAAAATAAAATAATCAACCATCACGCGCGTACTCGATAATTCATTCACATTAAGTCCAATATCGCCAGTACAGAAACTAATTATGAGATATTATTTCAATGGGAATATTTCATTCGACTTAGTGCAGTACATATTAACACTATTAATACCTTTAAAAGACAAAACCCATTCTATTAATGACTTCTTTTTCTCTATGGAATATTTACAATACAATCGCATTAAGTAGACGTTGATTCTATTTGCTTAAGGGTAAGTGTATACGATGATTATAACTTGTTTAAGTTACTATCCTTATTTATATATTTTTAAGTAATTATAAGTAATTAATTATAGTGCATACATAAACGATAAGTCGAAACCATAAACAACTTCATATTTACATTCCAAATATTATTACATCAATCATTAAATTAGAATAAGAATTTTAAATCTTGATCATACATCATTATACATATACTTTGTCTAATAAATTATGTACTATTCACAATACTTATTAAAATTCTTAATATTTGGCTTACACTATGCAAGGGGAAAATATACTGACTGGTTAAGAAATATAATAATTAATAATTTAAAATTATTGTAAAATATAAATAACTCATTAAAATTGTTAGTGAATGCAGACATCTTTTAAACAAAACAAATCGTATATGAAAACATTCGAATTTCAAAAATTAAAATGAGAAAAATAAAAAGATATATATATATATATCCTAATAAATGGCACCCTTGCAAACTCATCACATATATTTACAAAATAAAAATTTAAACATAGAATTTAACCCTAAATATATACTACAAAAACTTTATCAGAGAGCTAACAATACTTAATAGTAATTAGATATGATTCAAATTCTAAAATGAAACAGCAAAATGACGCTACATTTAATGAATCCCTTATTTTTTTTCTCTACACCTACCACTTTTTTTAGCCACTAAACATGCTATATTCCAAAATTCTAACACTAGTTCCTTGATATAACTTAGTTTTGATGTAATCTTTCAAGTCATGTGACCATATTGTATTCATAGCTAAGCTACAAATTGCAGATTGACAAAACCTTATATACTAATAGTATTTAACATCGAAGACTATTAAATTTTTTTTTGGTTACCTTAATCTAAATCTACATTGAAATCGAAAACTGGATTCGGTATTACTTTTCTAACTTGTTTATTTATCTTTATAATGCTTGAAGTTTCTTACAGACTGTATATGACTGTAGATGTAATCGTCTAAGTTAAAATTATCTATATTCTTAATATCGATTTTGAAGTACTTTATAAGTATTATGAACCAAAAAATATTTATAATTATCCGAAATTATAACTGAATCCTAGAATTTTTTAATGAAAATATGTTTAATTTAAGAAAATAAGTGAGGGGCAAATAAATAAAGAAATATTTTAGGAATGTTGCTGTTTCTATAGAATTTCATGTAAAGTAAAATTCGATAATCTAAAACTACCATCGGAGGTTATTCTTATATATGTTAGCAAAAATTCTACAAGCCATTGTGACATTTTGTACAATACAATGAATAATTTTATAACCTTACATATTAATATCCCTACTTAAGAACATTAAAACGGCAATCCTTAATTGGATTTACCCGTACACGTACCTATCTGAATACCATATGTTCGCAATGCTCATGCATTATCAACGGTCCTAATTTAAATTTAAAACACTAAAGTATTGATATATAATAAATTAATATATAAAATTATTATACATCAATACTCTCAAATTTCTGTTTCTTAAGACTTATTCTCTACATGAAAACTACGGGGATTCCTTTTTTTTATAAACACTGACGGTGAATTTTTATGTTTTTTTTTTCGGTGATGTAAATTTGGTGATATTATTTTAGTCCATTTAAACAGATTTTATTGTTCTACAGACGACGAAGGTTTCAAATCCAAATATTTAAGAGTGAGTCTTCGATCGCTTAGATCGCTTCAGCGCTTTGGATGTTCGCACCCACGGCAACATGAAATCACTGAAAATACATTTATCATTATTTTATTATAAATATTGATAAGATGCAATTTAAACCGTTAGATTTAAGTAGCTTTGTGTTGGTGACGTCATAAACCAACGATGATTCTATCATATACGAATATTTCTAAACTGTGGTAAAAAATCAAATGTAACAACCATTTTATATGATTAATTTATATATTTAGCATGGCTATAACGCATACACATTTTTTAAGCTTTTTTCATCCTAAATATAAATGAATACGTAGTGTTTAGATTCAAACTTTGATTGGTATTATGGATATAATATTAAACACTAACGATTGCGGCAGTTGCGGCATCGGTTCCCCGAATCCAGTGACGGGTAGGTCATCTGTTATTTCTATGTATCTGGCCTCTTGTGGTCGAGGCCATACAGTATACACAGAGGGGGCGCTCACTGTAGAATTCCAACTGTCACGTTGACGCTGACGAAGACGCTCAACGTGACGCTGTTCACGTATTCTACGCATGTGCCATCTGTAATATATTATAATATAACATTAGTTTATGGAAATTCGTATTCACCCACGCGGTCTTATAAATCTAGTCCAAAAAGCAATGTGTAAAGAGTGATTAATAGACTTTTAACCAACCGACAGCGACATCTATGGCACCCTAAAAGAAACTGCATATGAAACAGTTCAATAATAAATACTAGAAATTCTAAGATATCACAGGCCATATTTTAATAGAATCAAAATCCGTTTTTTCGTTCCGTATCCGTTTATGCATGACAGATCGACATACATACCTATATAAATATTTAGCATTTATAATATAATAAGCATATTTTTTACGGTACCATAGAAAGTCACCGGCTAATTAAAATTACAAAGCATATAAACCTCAACTGCCGCCTCTCTTCAGCTTCTAATTTCTGATGTCTCTTCTCAAAAACCTTGTCGTCGACGTTCTCAGTTCCCTCTAGAACATAGGAGCTGGTGTAGGGCTTCTCTCGCCATCTGGGCACCTACAGCAGAACTACTTTTAAAGTAAACCCGCCAGTTTCTGTACAGTGACGTTATTATTTCCATATAAAAGCATGGAAGTAAAGTAGTACGAGGAGTGTTAGTGTTTTTTAATGAAATTTTATTAATCGTAATGTTAGTCTAAAGCGTATAAATTTAGTATTACATATTCCATATAGCTCGCATGGCTGGAATTCTAGTAATAAGTTATTTTAGTATATTTAAGTGTAAATGTATTCTACGTTAAGTGTCTTCATTGTTATTAATATGTAAAACTATTCTACTGTTGTAAGTGTTAAGCTTGTTAGAAGGGTTAGTAAGAAGGAAGACAGCATCACACTATCGTATAGAAAGTTAGTACCTCTACGGTCGATGCTTGAGTATCTGCTGGTGGATCCACATCCTCCAACTTCAAATCCTGATCCAGGCCAAGGTACCAAGATAAATCCGGATCGCAGACCAAAGTGTGATAGGGCTTGTCGGTCATCAAGCTTGGTACAGGAGATTTTTTCCCGCGAGCCGGTGCTATAAAATTTCATTACTCATTTATTTGACTGTAATATTATATTTTATGTGAACGAAATTTCGTCGTATCATAATATCCCAAAGGGAATTTCATTAATACATTTCATTGAAACACCACAAAAGCATATAAACTAATATCTGCATATTTCGACGCGTTGCGGTTTGTGTTCATGGAAAATTCTCATTGAATGCAAGTCACAAACGAATTCGAATCGTTAATATGAATTCGTGGATGTAAATTCAGGTTACATTTTATTCAACATTTTGGTATTTCAATAAATGTGTAGATAATTTCGTCTTTTAAACGTCATTAAATTCACATATAATATTTATTGGACTGTGTATATGTTTGCAATTTACAAAAATTATACATTCATCTGTTTTGTTATTGGATCCTTTTTTGTTTTTCTACATAAATATAATTCATAATTCTCTATTTTGTTACAAATTATGTATGGTTTATGTCTTAACATAAGTTGAAACTGGTGAAAGAGGGCCAAATTACGTTAGATTTTTGTTAGTGTATGAAATCTACTAAAGAAGTTATACATGTTTTAAACAGATTAAAAGTTAAAATTAAAACTCAACTTCAACTCAAAAACATTTACGCGACATCGTACTGATATCTTCAAATTTAAAGTAATATAGTACAAGGTATATTTAAAATAATTTTTGATTGATGTATAAATCAAATATACCTTCACAAAAATTATATAACGACATCAGTGTCATCCCTTACAAAAATTATTCTCAGTTTAGATCTACACAAGCATGCTGTAACATGTCACTGTAAGACCCAGTTTCACGAAACCATGTTAAATAAATGATGTCTTGTTAAGGCGTTTGATTTGCGACTGTTAGATGTATCAAGCATCCCACCACGCACTAATGTCTGTTTAGACATTTATATTAATTCCTGTTCTAGAGGTCCGTCAAATGGCTGATAAACTGTTAATCTATTGCACTGTCAAAACTCAAATATCGAATCCCACCCCTACTTTTTTTGTAGTCATAGTAATAGCATCTGTTCTGTCAATTTAATAAGGTGAATTAAAGTACCATTTTCATATGGTGGAAAATGTTGCCCCTAGCTTTTATATGACATTGCAAATTAGGTATTCTTTTCATTATTTATAACACGATTTATGCCAATAAATTGACAACAAGATTTTGATAGGTTATATGTAGTAAATTGAAAAAAAAAAATTGTGTGTCAAATTTATGCAATCAACGATATTTAAAATTTGGTCGCATTAGATAACAAGTGTCGTATCGAGGGATATAAACAATTATGAGATAAAGTGGTGCATCGTAGCAAACATATCGTATTAAACGCTAACTAAACTTTAATTTGGTTGTCTTATAAGAAGAATTAATAATTTCTTAGCTGGTCATTTAACGTGTCATTTATTAAAACCTCGTTAATTTTTCATCGTGGGACATAAATATTTTGACAGACAATTATTATTTTTGTAGGTTCGTTAGAAAATTCTTCGTTTAAGTTTATAAAACAGTGTTTGGTGACATATGATAGTGCTTATAACTAAAATATTCAATACACCTTGTGCATTTAGTGTTGTTACTGAAGCAAATAGGTATCTATTTTAAATTATTAAAATTAAAGGAACCAGTACAGGAGATCGCAAAACAAAATTTATTTTTAACGTTTATGCACATAACTTATTTTGCAAAGTTTCTTCAATTTTTTTTTTAGAAAATACACTTTTGCTAAAATTTTGATAAAGGCGCTATTCCTGTTTTAAACAATATCGGACATTATTTTTATCCAGTTTAGAATTTAGTGTGTGGGAAGTTCAAAATATTTACGGTTCAAATTATAGGTCTTTAAATATATCCCACCTTTTCCTTTAGAGGCCTTGGGTTTTGTGGCTGTCTTTTGCTGTTGCTTTCCAAGGCCAGTAGCTGATAGAGCTCTCTTGCGACCACGGCGACTATCACTTCCACGTTTTGAATCAGATGCTTCTTCCTAAAAATATATAAATATTAGCATCAAAATACATATAGCGCTATGTATGATGGAAAATTATAAGAGCTGTTTGTTATGAATTAATGTTGCCATATGAGATAACTTACTTCACCAGGCACGACGAGGCTGGTGGTACGGGCGCCGCGCTTCTTTGTCTTCTCTGGAACAACTTTCTCCGTTGGATAGTCCAATTGATTCAGATTATCCAAATTCAGAGCAGCGTCAGAGCTGAACAGTTCTTGAAACTCATTAGCATCCAACGAGGGCAACATCTGGTTGCTTGATTCGCCGAACGAAAAATCGCACAGGCTGGAATCGTTTCCCAGATTTTCTGTGTACATACGCCAATCGATGTCCGGCTCTGTTTTTATGAGCTCAATGTCAGGTTCATCCAGTAGCATGGGGTTTGTGTTGTCCTCCTCTTTCTTATCGTGATCATACGTGGACATGAATCGGTTCAAGTTCTTTGTCTTCGTGGTCGGCCTGTCGTATATACGGCGAGTGCTCTCCCCGACCGATTCCAGCACCTTCATTCTTCCATGATTGGTTTTCTGTAGCATTAGTTTTGGTATGGGCGACTGTTCCCTCATATCAGCTTCTCCTAGTTGATAAGGATCCTCTCCCGTTGGAGTTGTATCTATTAGCTGGAGCCTGTCTGACAGGGATCCTGTATATTGCACTGTCTTTTTCGGTATAGTTGTGCTCCGTGATTTGCCATAAGTATTTAATGGCTTTGATTTCTTATTGACGCTGTATGTGCGGCCGAGGCTTTGTTCGGGTTCTGCTGGTTTTGCTAAAACATTTTTTTGTTAATGAAAGATAGAAGTTAATCGAATATTTTATGCAGTTTTTTTTCTGTGCACTTACTTTTATTTGATGTGACTGTCTCTGGTATATTAGCTTTAGGTGTCTTTGTCATACGACTGAGACTGCCGATGCCGGATGTCCGCCTCCTTTTCCTTTGGATTCTTTGGATTATAGTGTTGCCACTAAGAATAATGAAATTAAACCAGTTGTTATTACATTTATCATTATCATTATTGTAATGATATGGTTAATAATATACCTGTTCGATGTGACCGTGTAAAGAGCATCCGATCGACTCTTTGGTTCTTTTTTAACGAGAGATCTCTTGTTATCAATCATTTTGTAGTCGCGATTCTGAGCCGGTGTTTTCAGATCACTGGACATGAATTTCGGTACTTCTGGGATATCCGCTAAAGACATAATACATTTTAATTATTTATTGACTTTAAAACCTTATTTGTAACCTAGTACTATTTTTTTTTTGATATTTACTCTATTGCTGACTGTACTACTTATAACTTAAAATAATAACGTATTGTCCGGTATGGCAACTCACATTATATATGATCAGCTTGCACTTGTTTAATAAAGTATCTCTTAGAGGGAAAGTTACGAATTCATATTGACAAACTAAGGCCGTATGAAAACTCAATAACTGCAAACTAAGTTGCAAGTAAACCACTACATAGTTTGTTTACACAGGCGCATCAAATGTTTGTTGAAATACCGTTCTAGAAATCTGAGTAATGTGCGAACTACTAAAACCTCGGCTCTCATAGCCAGAGTTAGTTCCATAATGTTAATGAAATTATTTGTTATTTTCATGTATGTAAAATGAAATACTGCAAGAACTGTTGCAAATAGTTGAGATATTTTCGAGAGAATTTACTAAGTACTGGGCAACACCCATTTAACCTATAAATGTACTTAATTTTATAATTTAACAGTTTACTTGTTTATAGCAAATAGTTTTACTTAATAGTGTTTAAAAGTTCAAATCGCTCTAAAAATACATTTATATAGAGGAATATAAAGGGTACCTTAAAATATGTACTTTAGTTGCAAAAAACAACTCTTTTTCACATATCAGTTGCATTGTTCTATTTAAACAATGTAGGGTATTGTTTTTCAATAAAATATAAAAACTTTTTGCATTTATTTCAGTGTTTTGTTTCATATAGGATTTCAATATATATGCATACCTGGATCTATGGTCGTCCTCGCGATCCCAAATGACAATGGTGTATCCTGCCCAAAAGTTTTATTGTTATCAAAAAGAAATGAATTCCCTTTATCTGGCAAAAGTAGTTCTGTAAAGCTATTTAACATAATCTGAAAATGAATACACAACACAAAAAGAAAATAAAAATATAATGAAACTATAATCTTGAACTGAAATTTAATTGAAATATACATACATAAACATAAGCAAAGCTAGTGTAGATATTGTTTTTGAATTGTGTATATGTATTATGATAATTTTCACCTGTGGAAGGCCGTGTTCCTTCTTTAAGACGCTTGAAGTAACAGTAGCATTGGGTGGACTAAGTATGGAGTTCATAAGTTGTTGCTGTTGTAAAAGACCCCTTCTATCCATTCGAATCAGCCTCGACTTAAGCTGTAATATGTAAAATAAAAATACAGTGTGTTAAAAAAAATATTCCTTTATAATTTCATTATTTACTAATATTATCAAATAACATCCCTAGAATATAATTTTTATATCAAATCTACTCAGAAATTCATTTCCATAATTCGTTATGACACTAGTATATTGTATGTCTACTGTTCTAGTCTAAAAATGTACGGCCCGAATGGATATTCAATATAGAAAAATCTATCTTATACATTTTACTAATACATTATGAGATATTGTTGAAATTACATATTTTACGATGTCAGCTATGTGTGGTTAATAAAAAGGTTATTTTGTCTAATAGCAATAAATGATTGCCCACTACCAGAATATAAGCTTTTTTATTTCTGCTTCTATATAATTATAAATGTTATAATTTTTAATTATAGCAAATCTAATTTATTCTATATCATGCATAAATAAAGTTATTTTAATTTTCGCCTATTTTGTCGCAAAGCTAATTTGGTTACAAGAGTTTGTAAATTCATGTAATGTTACATACAATGTATATATACAAAAAACAATACAATCCAATATATTTCTTTTGATAGTAAATATCTCAAACTTTTTTAAAAAGCAAAGCAAAGATGACTTAGACTATAGTTACATTATAATTTTATACACCTAAATAATAATTTATTTCAAATCATACCAATTGCAGAATATTTTATTTGGAAAAACATACTTGGTGACGGACAAATATAAAATGATATTACATTAATGAACAATGTTTTATATTAATTAATTACATTACAAAATTAGTTTTGTAAAATACAAGATTGGTTTGGTAAAAAGACTATCATTCGCTGGTAATATTAAAATACATTTTAAGTATCTTATAACTAAATGCGGCATAGGCAGCAGTAGTAAAGATTTTTTCGCAGTTGCTAAGCAATTTTAGAAAAGTATATTTATTTTCACACATTTATTACAAACATCGCAATTAAAGTTTTTTCACATAAACCAAATCAAATAAATGATGTCGATATGTGCTAGGATTTCTCAAATATATATTATTTTTAACAACTTTTGACTTAAGGCTAAAGAATTTCAAATATTATTTCTTGAAATGAAAAAATAAGCTTTAGATCAGTAAAAACTACTTTAGCAGTTTAAATAATGTTTTAAGCAAAAACATTTCTTATGTGACAATAACTTGATCTATATAATTCACTACCTATTGTAGAGAATGAAAAAAATAATTATGTCGCACATAAATGCAATACAGTAATGGTTATGAAATTTATTTTTATATATCTATAATCTATGTGCAAACAACAAAATTTTTAAGAAAGCTTATTATAAATAAATTTAAATAATACTTATTTAATTTCCAATAACATAACTAGTTTTAATAAATACAATATTTTCACTTTATGTTTATTTGTTTGCATTATTACTAAGAATATAAATAAATACTTTTATCACACCATTAACTCCCAAGCACTCTATGGGATTTCATTTTCAACTCTTAAAAACTATTTATTTACATATTAAGCACAACATGCAAGTAACAAATAAGCCCTATTTTTTAGAGCTATAAAAAACTTACTGTATCATTTTCCTGCTTTAAAGCTTGATAAAGTTTATCTCTTTTAGTTATTAATTCGTTTTGTTGTTGAATTAGATCTAAATGATATATTAACAGTTCCTTCAACTTTTTATTTTGACTCTCAGTAACATTAAGTTGTTCTGATAGCCTTGATATGTCAGTAACTGCACCCGAAATATTTTTTTCGTCACCCACTACACAATGTGTGGATACCTCGACTTCCTTCTCTAGTTGGAGATCTTGCCTTCTATCAGTACTCTGAGAATGGCATGCATAAATATGGTCAAAAGGAAAACTCAGCAAGCCGTCTTTCGCGTCCAATTGGGGCAGTCTTGGCAGTTCCGCCGAGAAATTCACCAAATTCGTTTCATTTACACTATTGCGACTGTTCATTTTTATAGGAAGCCAACCGTAAGTCACTTACGACAAGCCAACCGGCTGTCAAAACCTAGCTAACAAACTCGCCACTTAAACGTTTCATTACAACGAATTATAGGTTCTCTTTATCAAACTAGTTCATACAAAATATTAAAAATAATCCTTATATTAATTCACTATCACATTGTCAAAAAGCTAAAATTCAACGCACTTATCTACTTTCTTGTTCTGTCATTTCTTTCACACACATGTAAAATGATAATAGACGATTCTATAGGAATGAAATTTTATATCAAAAATATCGCATAGCAATTTAATTCACAAACTTCTTTAAAAACTTAATAATCTTTTAAATTCATTACTTTATCAACATTTAGTTTATGTCACCCGTACAATAATTGTAACAATACTCATTATTCATCAACTAAGCGTCAAGGCGTCAACCATAGACATCTGTTTTTTCTAATTCGGTAAGAAAGCGATCATAGTAAAAATCTGAATACATATATTTTAACTTAACCATAAAGTTATGGTCACTTATTAATTACTTCTACTAAATAAATAGAGATATAAATTATCCTTTTTTTTATAATATGTACATTTTAGTTTTTTATAATACGAAGAAGTAAGTATCATATTTATATTGTATTATTTGTTACTAAAGTGGTACACAGATAAAATTTAACTAAGTAAATCAAATATAAAAGAAAATTTTTGAATTGTAAATTTAATAAAAACAAATTTATATTATCATTTCAAATATTTTAGTCTCGTATCTATGACTCTTATGTAGCATACATAGGAACTATAGTTTTAAAAATGTTTTAAATTCTAAAATATTTCATGGTCGAAAAATCTTGTGTGATTATGTTTAAAAGTGGAACTGAAGCTTGCAAAGAGATTTAATACCTAAAATCCTACTAGACGCGGACAATTTCACATGCCAATCCAAAATAAAATGTTCATTTTCCCCGGATCCGCTTTAAAAGAGGCCAAGCAAAGTCATAGAGAGAGCTTTCAGGCTGTCATTTCTTTTTTTTATTCCCTAAAGGTTTTTTTCGTCCAATTTTATTGGACCTTATTGTCTAATTTTTGTTTTGAAAGTTAAAGTTACATTAAAAATATCACAGAACAAAAAAGTTGATGTAGAACTGACTTATGTTGGACGTAACATATCACATTTGTAAATAAAAATAATAATCAAAATATTCGCACCTCTGTACTGGTCGATCCCTGCCTTTTTGGCTTTTGATTCGGTATTGTGTAAACCGCGGGTAATCGACAGGAGACTGGCGATGGAGGCGATGGTGGCTTCCAAATTAGGCATTTACCTATTGGTGGACTCGGACTCCTGTGCTTCGATGGCTATCAAGGATTTAATAAAATCATGTGAAACTTCATTTGAAAGCATTTGACTGATCTTTGGAAACTACACAAAGAATAGGCTATTACTACTTTTAATACATAAAATACTTTACAAACAAACAAAACACAGTGCTATATACTATATAGGTACTATTAGACAAACACCAAACACAAAGATGAAAGGCAATTAATGTAGAATGATTATGTAAGATGGAAGATAATTTAATAAGTTTTGAACTAGCTCACGGGGATCCGCCTCGTGATCTTAGAATTTATAAGGTATTTCTTTTTTGCAATATCAAATTATGTATTTAATAGCTTTCCGCCCGAAGCTTCGCCCGCGTGGCGTTCGGTTATATCGCGTTTCCAAGAGAACCTTTCAAAAGTCTGGAATAAAAACTATCCCATATTCATTCTCAAGGTCAACTCCATATCTTTATCAAATTTCATTATAATTAGTTCAGTGGTTTAGGCGTGAAAGCGTATTTTCCATTGTTAACGTCCCTGCAAACCCCCTTGTGGGTGGAATTTCGTAAAATCCGTTCTTAGCTGACCTCTACTCGGAAAAAGGAATAATCATACCAAATTTCAAGTCGCTACTCCTTATGGTTCCAGAGATATCGTGATGAGTTAATATATAGGTGGAAATCTCTTATATATATATATATAGATTAAATTGGTATGGTCATAATATATACATATACGAAAATATATTGTGATGTGAGGCAATTTTCCAGTATAGAATTACTTCCACGAGGTCTCTAATGTAACAGATATAACAAGTAATTGTATGAACCACTTCTCGAGAACATCAGCATCCGGCAAAACCTTAATCTTACAATAACGTATGAAATATTAGTCTAAACTTCCGCAAATATTACTATACTATGATATGATAGTTTTGTATATTAACTATTTCTATAATAAAAACTTTAGAGATAGTAATATTCAGAAAGCGGTGATAGAAAGAAAAATCTTTTGCTTACTCATGCGACATTCGAAAACAAAAGTAGGCAGGTAAGTACTTTGTGCAAACGATATGTAATATTTGACCAAAATGATGTTTACAAATACCCATATTGGATCGCTAAATATAGTGAGTCATAACAATGTTTTTTTTTTAGTTTTTTACATTGTCAATTTACATGTTTGTCAATTTAAAGTAAATAATAATGCCTGTCGAGTCTGATACGACCTATTTAATTATTTTTTTGACTGCGATTTCGTTAGCCTGGACTTTGCTATTGGATTCAGAAAGAAATAAATGGATGCATTTTAAATAAAAATTATATGATAATGGGTAACATACTGATAGCGCCATCTATCGTCTGATAGCTTTCATACAAAATCCAATTTTCAGTCTCTGTCACTTAAAAATTCGTTTTTTTTTTTAAATAAATTATAACCTTTATATTATTATTGTGAGCTATATTTACTCACTCGATCTCACCACAATTTTTAACATTCACATATCTATTACATTAAGTAGTAGCATACTGATAAATATAATAATTTCATCGTTTAGTTATTTCAGTATTTGGATTTTTGTTTCATATTTTATATTGAAAAAGGAATACCTAGACTTCTAAATATTTTTTCTGTAAGAAGTTAGGTATATAAAACTGGGCTAATGAGGTGCTGGAAATCCATTTGCCTATCATTATATACAGATGTTGAAGGGAGCAGAATATACTGGCAGAGCAGAGTATTTTATCTTATTAATAATCAATTTCATGTTATATACATACATATGGTATATAAGTTATTCAGCAACAATGAAAAGGAATTCTTAGATAATTATGAAACATTCTAAGTTATAGAAACTGTCCAGTGTGAAGTTTCAAGTTTTGAGTGCACTTATTGAAATCGATTCAATATGATTAATCGTATTAAGAAAAATCGATTAGGAAGATCTTAACATTATTACTTTACATATCTTTAAAAAAAACCGTCAATATAATATACATTTGTAAATAGCTCTGTACATCAATAACCAAACAAGTCTAGACTTAAATTGAAAAAATGCAATCCTTTTGAACTCAACCATAGAAGCAGAAAAATATTGCACAGCAATAATAATTTATGCTCTGTATATTTCCCTTTAAATTTCGATAGCGGTAGATTGATCAGGTAATGAAGAACGATATTGAAATTGAAGGGTTTATAAATTCATATTTTACATTTCACGAGAAAGCAATTTTGAAATGTTGTATATCTCTTATAGGTATTTCGTAACTACTTTAGAGTTTATAAACTTCTGCCACTTATATTATTATTGCTACATGTAGTTTTATTTGATAACGTAAAATTTTAAAATTAAAAAATAAAATAATGAAATGCATTCATAAAAGGCTCGGCTTTTATTAAAAATTCAATTTAAGCTATATATGTTTACAATTACATGGACTCGAAATGATACATGGTTTTGTCGTGGATAAAAAAAAATGTCATTTCTCGAAATAACTGGTTTCAAAATTTCACTACAAACGAAATGTTTGACGAATTTTTTTCCTATTTTGGTTTTATTTACTTCATCTCCAAAGGGATATGTATTTTTTTAAATACCAAACGCGTTTCAGAGAACGTCAAAGCGATGAGATTTAAAGTAAACATATTTCAAATTTTAATTAAAATATAACAAAATACCGTTCAAATTCACCGTTCAAAAGAGTATTTCGCTATAAAATTGTTATATTGATTTAGCTTTTTTTAATAAACTGTTATTTAATATATCATTGAAACATAATACATACATGAAAATTAATTTAGAAATCGTAACTATACTTAATTAATATATAAATCGAGAATACTGTACCGTATGTGGTATATCTATTAGGTAACTCGTATCTATTAGTCACATTTATATAGGTACATATCCTATTGAGATGTCAGATCGAGACAAAGGCAATCTATGTAACAATATCTATCTATATGCATGGTGGATTTGAAATGTGATGTAGTACCTATGCCCTATATACATACATTTTGACCACATTTCATATCTAGTCAGGTGTTTTACATTCTAAATAAAAGACACAAACAAATGGAATATTATTATTATTATTATTATTATTTCCTTTGCAATATGTTTAATTGACTCTTTTCAAAACTTTCTATAACCTTGTAGTTTTATCAATGTTGTACTATTGTAAATACAACCTCGATGAAACTAAATAAATTACTATAGAAAATATGTAATTACTATTACAAAGTTACAAGCAACATATCAGGGGGATCTTGAATATTATATAATAATAATATTTATTTATATATGTGTGACCTTCTTGGAATTTTAAAATTTCCAGAAATTAAGATAATTATTAATATTCGTGTAGAAAATTCGAAAAGGTTAGGCCACATTTCGTGTTACTACCCAATGAAAATGTTAGAAGGTTAGGGAATATTCTATGTTGAAGACAGAGTCTTAAATCAATATAAGCAATTTTATTTTATGGTTTAAATAGAAAAATCGTTATCGAGTTATCGTTAATTTTCAGTGTTTTATTTCATTTCAAATACGAAGAAATAAGGATTTAATACTGTTTATAAAATATATTTTATGTTCGATAACTTAATGAACTTCAATAAACAGAAATACTGGGAAAACATTTCAATATAAGCTGAATTTAAAGTTCGTTTATACTATTTCTCTTAAATTATATTTACTTTACGTAACTATTTCTTTTTAATAATAATGCTGCTGATGGATGACGAAGAGCAGCAGAGAAACGTTAATAAGTAAATATTTTCTATATTTGAATGAAAAGTAGACTTTGATGTAATTGTAATTACCTAAAGCATAATTAAGACAAAAAATGCCGAGAATAACCTTACAGGTAAGTACACATGTAGCAAATCGTAGACATCAAGTCCTTGAACAGATTTCTGTTGAAACGTGCATCTTAAAAATTCATTTCAGATATAAATAAAGTCTTCTATTTAGAAATAACAAAGATCGATAGGTCATTCTAATTATCCTTCGCAAAGCGCTTCTTGCAATACAGATACGTACGTATAATTATAACCCATGTAATATTCATGATTATTTCAAGAACACTGAAGAGGAAATCATATTTTGTTACTATTTCAATTTGTACTTTGTATATATTTAATGTTCTGTAAATTAAAACTAAATTGATTTGTATTAGGTAATTAATATAAAAAAACATATTAGGTAATTAATATAAAAAAATATTCTTCCGTACACAAAAATCGTTGATTTTAGGACAAGAAATTTTTGGAAGCATGCCAATCAGTCACATTCAACTTCTTGCATGTGTTACTATGAAAATAAACATCTATGAATAAATTTTCACGATTTCCACATTCAGTCAGTAATCGTGTGGACGGCCCGCAAGACTTTTCATATCACTTCGTGATATTTTTCAAACTGGCTCATCAATTTTGGATATCATATCATCCTCCGTCAGGTAAATAAATCTCACAGAGATTTTAACCTAACATTATATAAAACTGCCAGTACAAATTCTGTAGAATTTCATGAAGTAATTTTAAACAGGAGTTTCAGTACTTTTTAGTTTGTGAAACACGTTTCAATTAAAGCTTGTTTCTAAACAACTAGCACAAAACATGTTCTGAAACTAATTAAAAGGGTTGATTTAAATAAAAGGTGCAAAATATGAAACGGTAAAAGGAAAAAAATATTTATGCTGGAGCAATTGTTTTAAACAGTTTAAAACACACTAGGGTTTTTGAATATGATTAATGTTTCGTACAACAAGAGATTCTGAAGTAAGTTTGTAATTTGGTTAATATTAGAAATATGTTTTTATAGCATTGTAGATAGTATGTGCTCAGCATAACATGTTTTTTAATGATCGTGAGACACAAAGGACATGCTTAATGACATAGACATAACAGACACACACATGTTTCCAAAGAACTCGCTAATACAAAAATAAAAAGTTCATAGATTATAAGAAAGACACATATAACATATAAGAATTTATACAATTAAATCTATAAATATTTCTTACTCTAAGGGAGTTCATCGCTGCTCACGTTGTTAATATGGTTTTAGTAGTAACTGGTCTTGTGATTATTCCCAAAAGGAGCAAAACATACCTCCGGCGGGGATGAAACTCCACCGATTCCTGAAGAAGAACTGGAACAACAGAAAATTGAACATGAGCGTCAAATGCAGAAGGTATTATTTGACAATATTTTTATAATAATAATTTACAATCATATTTTTACTACGTACTTAATAGGTACTTGGTTATCAACGCACGGAATCAAAGCATCGTAATAAAAATTTAGAAATAATGAGGTTGGTTCAAAATGACGCTGGCTTAATAGACACTACAATTATTCTGCATTGTTATTATTATCCATATATTAAAAATGTTTGATCTTCTAAACTAAATTAGCTGGATAGTGATTACATTCATTTAAATAATATTAAAAGAAAATATCATACAACAACAGTAAATTCCTGAGTATTTTGCAACTCAGTATTATTGGAAAGATCTTTAAGAACAACTGTAATACGTATAGCTAATTAACGTTAAGGAAAAAGAATGTCAAGCCAGAGAAGCGGAGGAGGTTCGGAAATTGGATATAAAACTGCTGCACCAACGGGCTATAGAAAAAGAGGAGGAACACAAAAGAGAGGTACTAAAATACTAGAATTATTATATTTTTTAATATCTTGATCACTGAGCTATCCATAATTCTTCGAATAAGTTTGTATTTTATGAGAGCGCAAAAAAAGAACTCTAAAGCAATTATTTCATCTCAGTTCTGAACAAAATAAAAAAATATCAATCTGCTAATCGACTGAACAGAAATAGAAATATAAATTTCTGTGCAATCAATTTTGAAGTGTTATTTTTTACAGAATGTAATTTTTTTGTTGATGGCTTAGACTATACATGAAGATGAGAGCAAAGAAATTTAGTTCCGTTAAGTTATTATTAAATTTGTATTCCTTATATAAATAAATAGATAGCAGAAGCAGTTGAAGAGCTCCGCGGTCTAAACACTTCTTGGTCACATCACAGACTATGCGATCTACAAAGACAAGCCGCGAGGTGGCGTCACAGTCGACCGTCGATACCTGATACCAAACACTACAGAGTACTACTTATTCAATTTCATAAACATTTCAATTATTATACCAAACATAACATCTAATACTATTATAAAACATGAAAAAATATTTTTATATTGTAATTAACACAACACTAATCATTAATGATAATTTGAAATAAAGAAGTACATAAGGAAAATATGTGAATTCACGAATACATACAAATGTGTATCATTTGATACTAAAAATATACGATGGATATTTTTGAGTAAATATCAAATAAAACGTTGTTAGTATTTCATAAACTGTTACAAATGAGATAATGAATTTGTTCGTGTATGAAAAAAGAAAAGTGCCAACTTTTAATTTAACTAACTTTTGCACATTAAGGACACGCTTTTGTTAAAAGTACGTATTGTTAATAAAAAATGAACTAAAAGAACGTGCCTTCGGGCTTTATAAACTTTTACTTTGTGCTATATATGTATGCTAAATGTTCGTAATAGGAAATATACACATTGTTAGTACACATACCAACTTTGGTATGGTTGAAAATTAAATTAATCAGAAGTTTAGCTGGGTTTAGGCCCTCTAAGGCCGAAAATATTGATGGCTAAGTCAATTAATTAAATAATCTATTAAAGTTAAGGATGTTCTTTGTTTTAAGTATTTAAAGTAATTTTAATTTCAAATACTAATATCATTACTATTTTTGTAATCTTTTTATCGCTCCTAGAATGGTGATAGACGGTTTGAGATTTTAAATTAAAAAAATAAAGCTTAAAAGGAACTAACTTAAACTTCTAAACTAATGTAAATATAAAACGAATATATTTTAAGTTATTCTTATTACTTATTTTTTATTTGACTTATTATATTTTCAGAATGCATTAAAGAAAGCCTGCAGCGCCCAATTAACAAAGCCGCAATCTAGTCAGAGCATTAGTGACAATGAGGGTATTTCTATCAACCTTTCAAGACTAAGCTCTTGTAGAGGTAAAATTTTGTTATTAATTAACACATAGAATAACATTTTGGAGTTCGTATGGAAAATTTGGTATCTAAAACCTTTTAAAAAAATTCATAAGAAGGCTACTTTTATTTGATGATTGGTTGCATTCTATAAGCTTACATACGGCAAGCTTATTGTTATATATCAAAAGTATTTCCATATTGTTTCAACTATTTTATTACCTTTTGTAAAATTAAGCTCTGCCTCAGTAATATGCAAGAGGCTTTTGTTAAAGAACGTTAAATTGCCAGAACTCTTCTTCTTTGTTCCTAATCATTCAAATTAAATTAAATGTACATTTATATTCATAAAGAACAATATTGCATATTACAATTTTATTATTTTTTGTTCAAGTGGTTTAATATTTTCAAATTCAATCGAGCAAGAAATATTAAAAATTGTTTTGTACTTTATCATGAGGCATAACGTTAATAATTTATTTATGGTCTCTTCTCAGTAAAAAAGCTAAGCTAGGCTTACCGTTGTTATAGAAATAAAAGAAAAAATTGTGTTGCTTTATACAAGTATTATTATATTCCCAGTGAAGTGTATTAGATTTAAAGCTTTATAAAAGGTCGTCTCAGAATGATCTCTCCAGGCTTTTAGAACGGAATATTCGCGAAAATTTTATTTCTGTCGTTACTCTAGTCAAAAGAACTTTCAAAATTGAAAATAGTAATTTAAAAGTTGAAGGTTTGAAAATTGAATTTTCGCTTTCAGTTTGCAATTTATTTGTTTGTACAATTCTCTTCTCCTTTGACATTCGTAAGCCTTTCTGATAGACTGATCGCATTGTATTCGACTTTGCATTTAGAATAGTAACGTTTTGATATGTAACAGACTGAATGTGGTTCCCTTTGAGCAATGTATATTCAATATACGATACATATTGTAAGCCTCGATGGTAACATTCCATCCTTAATTCGCTCAAAGACTCGAAAAGGATTAAAATTTTTACATTCATTTTATACATTTTTTAAAATAAATCACACAGTTCATTGAAAACTTATAAGAGATATCGGCTGTATTTTGTTTTTTGTATTTTTTCAATACTTATGCTTCGACTACTCAATATAAACTACTCATACACTTTTTTGTTCGTCTACGCTGAACTTAGGTCGGTTGAGTGGCAAACAAATAGCTCTGAAATTAAAAATTGTAAAATTATTTGTTTTAGTATTTGCAATGGTTCTTCAAAGTGATATTCTCAGAATCAAACTTTCACTACTTTTTACGTGTTCATATGAAAATCGCCTAGTTTGTAAGCGTGTATGCATGAGTGTGTCTACGTGTTTGTCTTTAAATCGATTCAGCTCCAGCGAGGCCTAGGAAACTTTTACTTTACATTAAAATTAGAATCTTACCATTCCTTTTACCGAGTTTTCATGAAAAAAAAATGCATTATAGAAAAGAGCTTTTAACTTTTTCATATATTTACTTTTTTATATGGAAATTGAAAACCCAGAGCGATATTCATATATTCGGGCTAGTAGGTATATCAAAGACTATTTGCCGACTACAAAGTACAGGTTCTGGTAATAATTTTCATTTAAATTAAAATAATTTTGAGGAACGTATAATCGATAGTATATTTATATAACAATTTCAAATTGTTTTTAATACCGTAGCTTACTTCATTTTTATTTTTAACTTTGCGAATAAATCAATTAGCGGAGAGCACTAATTAGGTTAAAGATCCAGCCGTTTATTTGAAATATAGGTATAAAATACAGAATAACATGATTATCAAGTTTATTTAATTATTTTCTGAGTTGGAGTTCTGCTTAACTAATTTACATGAACATTTTTAAACATGTTGTTGATGGATCGACTTTAAAAAAAATGCAAGAAATTACCTATTACAATGACTACAATGAAATCTTATATTTCAGGCGAATCTATTGATAGTGATGGTTGCTGTGAAACACCTTACTGTGTAAGTGTAGAAGAATCGCGAACTTGGAGAGCCTCTGCTAATGATGTTACTCCTATTGAGAAGAGAGAACTTGTGAAAACAACATCGTGTATAGGGTAAATATGTAGGAAAGCAATCTTAAGACATGCCACTGTTGTAAAGCTCGGCACGGAAATTATAAACAGATGAGATTATTATCAGATGTCTATACAACATTCCTTAACAAAGTCACTTAACCTCACAATTTCCTGGTTATCGTAAACTTTGACGACAAAGGAAATCACTGTCGCACACATTGTTTAGATAAATTTAGTCACGCCTCTTTGAGAATCCTACAGGTGTCATATATTACTTATTTGTAAAATGCATATTATTATCATGTTATTTATTATGTTAAAATTTTAAATACAAAAACTAAAATTATTTTCAAAATACTTCAAATAATGTTTAATTAAAATTAATAGAGACCCAATATGTTGAAATATATATGTATAATCCTAATAGAATATATTATACCAGGAATTTGATGAATAGAATTTCCAGAATATTAATGATAGTACGCTATAGAATTATTGAACCTAAATGAAACCTGTAATTTCAATGGATTTACTAACGGAGCATTGCAAAACGTAATTACGCCGTCAGGAGCAAAACAATAATGACGCTTCCAACATGAGCGATATTTCGGGCGCTTTAAATTAATAAATGTATATACTTTGATGATATTAAATTTATATTCCGTAATATATTTTCAAATATATTAAACGCAGGTAACGATAATTATTATGTCATTGTTTGGCGGGTGTTTGTTACATAATATCGGAAATTGATAATGAGGACATCGAATAAAAAAAAACCTTGTGGCAATTTTTGGATTTATATAGTTTAAAAAACAGATTGAAACGTAGACAAAGATAAAGCCAGAAAAAATACATTCATTCTAATGCAACTAAAATAGAATTTGAAAAAATTAACTATTCATGTAATTAAGTAACAGAATTTCTCTTTGTACAAAGAAAATACATATACAGCGTCGTTGGCGGTAAACAAATTTTGAACAAATATTGTTAATAAAAGTATGTATTTTGAAAAACAATATGTTCGTATATCTGCTTTACATCCGAAAAAAAAGTCCAATTTAAATGTTATTTCATTTAAAATACTAAATTTTATTTCAAAAATATCCTAAAACGTAATGTAAGTGAAAAAGGAGTAATTTAGAAGATTTGCTTTAATTTTATAACATTGATCCCTGCTACATCTATTACAAAATAAAGGACAGAAAAAGCAACAAAATAAAACAACAACATCAATAATTTTATATTAAAACATTTTTATACGCACCAATACCTAAAAATCTTCGTTCCAAATTTATAATTGATAGGTTTGCAATAATTTCATTAAAAAAAACCAAAAGTATCGAAGTTAGACTTAAGTTTTCTTGATCTATTAGTAACAAAGCGTTCAACAAGTTACTTCCCCGGGCCGAGAAAAGTCTTATGATAACACTTTTTCCAGAAAATTCATTTCAAAGTGTGAAATTTTAATTTTAATGTTAATAGAATAATAACTTGAGATGGTGAAACCAAATTTTATAATGATTTGGTTTTCAAACAATATCAGAGTTCCGATTTTCTCGAATAAACCGTCCGCGATGTTGCACGAAGCGCAGTTGCATCTAGACTGCACTCGAACGGGGTGGCCGCCGTTTTCGATTCCTATTAATAAAGAGCTCAACTATTTGAACACTATGAGCGCCAACCAAAAATTGATTTGAATTCCAGGTATTTAACTAATGTCAAAACAACATCCTTAATTTTGTATTTAAATAACGGAAAAAATATTATAATATTGAAAAGAAATTAGTTTAGCATTTTTTTTTTCAATCAAATTCACCTCAATTCATCTTTAGAAAAAATTACAATATTCTATAAGAAATAATTTTAAATATTTTTGTAAATATATATTTTTAAATTTAGAAATAAACAAAAACAATAAAAATTTAGGCATGAGTAAACTAAACATGTTTACTTCTTTTTATCTGGGGTTAATACAGAAATAGGTCAGATCGGTGGCGTTAAATACGCATGCGTAAGGCTGCGTCGCGCGCATGCCTTTGTTCTGACCTGCTTTACGACGCAGTTTGGCAGATTTTGCAGTTAAATTCACGCGGTGAATTAGTAGCAAATATTTAGAAATTAAAAGCTTAAAAACGTCTTGGTGAGTGCGTTGCTCACGGCCACCAAGTCGGAGAATCATCGAGATAGATAGATCAGTGCTTGAATGTTACTAACAGTTTTAATTATCCGACTTAGCGGACTAGATGATAATAGAGTTTAGGGCATGCATGCTTATCTATGTTTATATCCTTGAGTGTTTAATCTAATCCTGCAATGTCCTTTCCTTCAGCTGTGGAAGTGTCCTTGTCATTCCAGATAAAATGTTTGTAAGGAATTAAGATGCTGTAGATAAGTGTAGGAGAAAATGAGGCGGCTCGACATGCAAGGCAGGGAGGGCGGGAAGGAGAGCATCATGTCACGAAGCGAATCTACTGTCAGCAGGTGTACGCCGCATACACCACTGGGCCCGCCTGACTCCGTCAGCGTTGACTCCAATCCCATGCCCACCATATACCGGTAACTGGTGTCCATGAGAAGCTGCGCCCCCGGAGAGAAGACGTAACCTTATCATACTGCGCAATCGATAAACTCTGAACTTACTATGGTTACTAATAAAATATTTAATTTTATCGATTGTGTAGACGATATCGTTGCGCAATGCACGATACCCCTAAAGGTGTAAACCTTACATTAGCTAATAATCATTAACTCGCAGCCCTGATGCGCCACCCCATATGTCTTCTCCCGGTGGTGAGTAAAGCTGAGCACTGCATCGCGTACAGCGATCGTCGCATGCGAGTAGGCACCACGGTGGCGACGTATCTTTTGCCTAAATTGTTAAGTACGTTTTGACAACTAAAGCGTTGGTTTGATGATGAAGTCAAATACACATGACATTATCATTTTGCGATATTTGTTTTGTCTTAAAATACGAATATGGCATATAAAAAGTTTTATCGCCTTATGGCTTAAGCAACAACAACCCTAAGATGAAATAAATCTATTCAGAATAAATTTCCAAGAAATCAAACCACTTTACTTAAATCCGACCAAAGCTTTACACAATAACAGCATAAGATACCGTCAGTAAATATTACGACGCTTGGCTTGCCTAACGCTGCCTGCAGAAGGGACAATCGGAAAGGTATAGTATACCAGTAACCCACTGTCGCTTATCACCCTGCCTCACATTTCTGAGTAACCTTTTCCTTGCTTCTAGTTGTTCTTCTAGTCATTGTGCTTGCTTCATAACCAATGGGTGGGGGGAAATAGGGCAGAAAGGAAATTTTAGTGTAGTGCTACACAAACTGACATATAGAAATTTACCAATCCTAAATAGTACATGCAAAATAATCATACCATACGTATAATTAAATTAGTATAGATCATTGAGAGCGTAATTAGATTTTTATTGAACAAACAACGAAGGCTAACTAATCTATTACATTAAGCAATTATAATGTAGGAATTAGGAACTTAAAAATAGAAAATCATTTTGCTGTAATTTCTATTTAAAAAGCTTATACGGAAAGAATTTATCTCATATTTTAAAATTTAGAGAGAAATATTCATATTCACTAGACTTGCTGTCATTCACATAGCAATAAGAATTTATTAGAAGTTCAGATTAGCTTATAGCTTAAATAGATTTTATACATATTTTAACAGTAGCTAGTCCTAGATGCTAAAATTAGTTTTTAAAATTATGGCACTTACGACTTAATTAAAATAAAGAACAAAACTTCGGGTTTCATAGAATTTACAAAATATACTTGAATTAAAAATAACTATTATAATATATTATAAAACAAAAATATACAGCGTATTTGAATATCAAACTTGTATTCTGTCTGTTAATAAAAAAAAAACAAATGTAAGCGTCCAGTACTATACTGAAATTACCTTTCGTTGCTCAGAAACTAGTCCGTTAATACAGACAAACAAAACTGGCATAAAAATACAGACCAAAAACGAAAAAATTAATGAATCAGTTAATTGAAAAACAATAAAAAAGCGGTGGCCAAGTGAAAAGATGCTGAGATTTCTCAGCAATTTGTTTACCATAAGATGCTTTAATTTTCCGATTGCACGTGATGCTTCTCGGTTAAATTTGGAAGTGCGAGATTTCGGCGACGACAGTAGGTATATACTTTTCTTATATAAAATATTGTTCTACTGTAGACAATGATATTGAGATATGAGTTTTGCTTGTCGTCAGATGCCGCGCTCCTATCGCTTCTCTTGATTGTATGGATGAATTCAGCGCAAATTCACAGCAAATGCTGGACCAAGGTAAGTTTGTTTTAGTTTTCTGAGTATATATGTAAATAAGCACATCATCACCTCTTGAAATAATTCTAAGCATATAAATCATTCTGAATCATACTTGATGCATTCAATAACAAAATTATCTTAATTCTAGCTGGAGAAATGCATGTTTCCAAAAATATGTCAGTTTATATGGGCAATCATGCTAGCATGCCATCTTCTGTGACTCCAGGGCTACGGTACAAAAATTTGGGAAAGTCTGGACTTCGAGTACCAAATATAGGGCTTGGTCTGTGGACAATGTTGAATGAGGATTGCGCTGAAGATATAATCATGACTGCTTTAGAGAACGGCATTAATTTGTTTGACTTGTCAGAAGCACATTGTGGTAAGTTTTATATTTGAATTTCTTACCTGCATGAGGGATAATGGCATGAAGTATATTTGTCTTTGGACAGCTAGAGGAGAAGTAGAATTGGGACGAATTTTAAAGAAGAGGAATGTTAGACGAACAAGCGTCATAATAACCACCAAAATATATTGGAGTACTAAGTGAGTACAGTTTAATGAAATTATATCAAATTCAATGAATGTATGTATCTATGTGTAATTTTTAGAACATGTAATGTGCACATTAAAATATATTAATATTTACTATAAGACGTAGCGATATTTACAGTAAAAAAGTAAGAATATAGGTTTTTTATTAAGAGGATTTAGTGAATAGTTGAATTGTATTTATTCTATCATACAAATAATACCATATTAATATCTCCAACGGTGACTATATAATAAGCCATTTATATTCCAATAGTGTTATATTACATTACAAGGATGGTGTGATAAATAATAAACAAAAGTAAGATTTTATGAAACTACTAGCAGAGTAATACACAGTCAAGACATTAAAAATATAATTATAAACCATATGTTATATAATAAGCTAGCTATCGTTCACAAAATCAATGTTTCGCTTTCGGCTGAGATTGCTTCTACATCTGTAACGCTTTTAAAAACGCTTTTGGCTTATTAATTTTTATGTTATATCTCAATATACTAGGTTTCCTCATGCTAACAGGTCCGATGAAAGAGGTTTATCTAGAAAACATATTGTCGAGAGCATTAAGGCATCTTTACAAAGACTTCAAATAGATTACATTGACGTTGTTCTGCTTCACAAAACTGATCCGGTTTGCCCTATGGAAGGTCAGTGTCTACAAAATTGGCCCGCATTATAATTAACTATAATAAGATTATAAGTTTCTATCATTTGTACGAGTAAAAATATTGTGTATGGCACACTATGATAACTAAATTAATATTTGTAAAAAATGCTGTTGTTTGTTTGAGGATTGTTGCCTATAGCCATTATTACTATGCGTTTACAGAATTGGTACGTGCTATGAATTTTGTAATAAACCAAGGATGGGTTATGTACTGGGGAACAGCTCGTTGGTCTCCTTCTGAGGTGATTATTTCATGACAAATGTAGAGAAATAAATACTACTTGATTTCGAATCATTTTTATTAATCATTGAAAATGATTATTATTAGAATCAATATCTAATATTAAATGTTTCTCTTAGATCATGGATGCGTACACAAATTGTAGACAGTTCAACTGTGTAACGCCTATTGTCGAACAGACCGAATATCATATGTTCTGTAGAGAGAAAGCAGAACTTTATATGCCTGAGTTATATCACAAAATCGGCGTAGGTAAGGAAAAATATATGTACATCTTATTTTTCTTTTTGTGCTAATGTAACTTTGAACTATAAGGCGTATAAGTATACTCTAAGTATGCATGTTTAGAAAATTTTTCTACTCGATTCCCTCAAACTCAACCGTTGTATTAATTGATAGGGATGATAGCTTGGTCCGCGATAACCACTGGCAAGGGACTTGGTCGCGAGGAAATAACGGGTCTATTTGCAAAATCCCGTTTCAATAGAAAATATAGTACATTCAGTTGGTGTGAAGAGGACCTTGCAGTACCTGATGTCAGCGAGGTTGGTGAACCACGTGATGAATAATTTTTTTAATCTGAAAATTAAAAACATAAATAAATGTTTTTTTTAGATGCGGATTTCAGGCAGCAAAGAACAAGTTGCAGGAGAAGAACCACGCACTTATGGCGATAAACTTCGCGACCTTGCTAATTTAGCAAATACAATGAGTGTGTCTTTTTAAATATTCTTAACACATAATTTTATGTAAGTGTGGGTAGTTATTGCATTATTTTTTCAGATTGCTCCATGAGTCAATTAGCAGTTGCGTGGTGTCTTAAGAATGAATCCGTTAATTGTTTGTTACTGGGTGCTTTTAGTGTGGAGCAATTTAAAGAAAATATTCACGCGTTGCAGGTAACATAGAAAAATAGTGTAAGAATGTTTTTGTATAAAATCAAAGGGAAATAACTTTCAATTATATTATGTAAACAGATCGTTCCTCAGCTAACTCCATCTGTAATGGTGGAAATCGAGCGACTTTTGTCCAATAAGCCACAACGTCCTCCTATGGTATCAACGCTTGCAATGCGTAATCAACAGAACAGTAATACTGTCAGAATCGATATGACGTAAGTTAAGCCAATCAAATGGCATATAAGAATCTTATGATATAAGAACATTTGCAATTATGTTTTTATAGTATTAAAAATATTATTTTAAATGGGTTACATATTTTTCAATGCTTGTAGGGTATTCATTTAATCTTAATAGTCTATCTTCTTCTCAATTTACAAGGGGAAAAATGAAATATGATAATTAATGATAGTTTCATACTATCTTAAAATTCTAGCAATTAGGTTATCTCAATAAACCTTAACATAATTATTGTGATCTTTATTTTATTTAAAAACTTTATTGTCTAACTACACACGTAGATACAAAAGGTGGACTTAATGCCTGAAGGCATTCTCTGCCAGTCAACCCTTAGGCAAAGCAGAAAGACATGAAGACGAATCATCTTTCGAACAATAATTTAATATTACAGTGGAGCTTCTACTTCTGGAGCTGGTACCCCCAAGCCTGAAGGAGAGGCTGCTGAAGCCGAGGCGTCTTCTCCCACCAAAGAGTCGGGGCGTGGCTTTTGTGAGATTCAGTGACCGTGGTGGCGCGGAAGCACTGAGTCTGCTTCCAAATCTAGTAAGTCAAAGGTAAGTTTCAAAGGCGTTCTTAATTGATGTATATAATATCCTTTTTAAATATGCCGTGTAATCAAATAAATAATGTCATTCAGGAATCACTTAAGGACAACAAGCCGAAATTCTTTTTGAATAATGCCGGTGAAGTGATCAGACGTGTAGGTCAGTATCGTTAATAATATGAGTGCATTAGAACAATAGGTAAGTATTGATTTTTTTTATTTCTATTAAAATTAATATCGTATTTCAGAACAAGATGGTGTAGCCACTGATGTAGTTATATCCGTGTCTTCGCTAAAAGGAAAGCAGCCCGCTTCGGGTGGCAGTAAAGTTAAGAAGTCGAAATCGGAGACAGCAAGACCCAGGTCCTCTTCACTCCAAAGATCTTCTTCGGGACAACTCTCCGTAGCAAGAGACAGGCGTCGGTCGCGATTCGATTTAGCATCTCCAGCAGATTTGTAATTCTGAAGACACAGATGTATAATTGTAACGATACTGGTCCTTCTAAATTTAGGAATGTGTATATAGTAAATGCATTGGTACGTAGGAATGAACGTGTAAAGTTCTGATTTGTTAAGTTTTTCCATTTGATGCTCTATGACCTATGATTATGGTATTGTTGAATCTCCTCTAATAATAGTGCTCTTTGAAAATAACATACAGTGTATCTACGAGTTCGTTAATATAATATTAGGACAAATTATATCGTATTATTGATGTCTTAAATGTTGTCAGAAATGTCGGTGCTAGGCACTTTGAAGCTAACTGCAAGTTAGTTTCTTATATTTCCTAGACATATTTACGTAAAGATATCAAATTTCATAGTAAATTGAAATATTCCAATAGAATCTTTAGTTCAATATTGATGTTGTCAAATTATTCTATGTACATACATATGGTATAGAGGAAACACATGATATTATATGATATAAACAATTAATGTAAAAAATTGGTGTTAGCTGCACAGAGATTTGATGAGCACATGTTATGTAATAAAGGTTAGGAAATTAATTGTTTATAGGGTCGTAATAATGGAACACCAAGTAGAAAATTGTTAGTAAATGTTAAATATCTGTAGATACAATCGTTACGGAGAAATAGAGTGTCTAAGAATGTATAGAATTGTAGCCTTCCCTTATTTATTTGTATTTGTCAATTTTGTTATTTTGTAACTGTAGTAAACACAGTTCAAATACAACTTAGTTTACGAAGATACTACACTTATTTCTTTATAATTCAAAGTACGGTGATCGACGTAGAATTTTGTTGTGATATCACAAGAATGGTGTCAAGGAATATAATTTTTGTTTTAAATACACACGTAGAGCCTTAATTTGTTTGCGTTTTAAAATATATTGTTTTATAAGAAATATAGTTTAAACTTTGACGTATGTTTAAGTACATGTTACTTTTGATCAAAACATTGTCTGTATACTGTATCAATTGTATGTATTCTTTTCAGTTTAATTCGACAATTTAAAAATGTGTTAATTAAATAATTTCTAAGTTTTGAGACAGATCCATCGTGGATGATGCGAAATTGACGGCATGATTGTAAGAAACTGATTCCTTTGAGTACTAATTAAGGAAGCTAGTTATATAAGAATATGTAAAATTTTACGAGTATCGCTTCCAACAGCTTGCATTAATTAATTTAAAAGTTTCTGGCTTAAATTTAAATATCGATCTATAGCTTGATTCATAAATTGATCATGAATTCGTTTTTATAAAAAAAACCTGTAAAGAAAGTTTAAAAAAATAAAATATCTAAGCAAGCTTAATAATAAGTAGCTAAGAAGGTTTGAAAGAATTAAATAGAGTTTTTAAGTAGTCTTACTTGCAAATAATATTTTTTGTTTAACTTCAATTAGGATTTTAGATAGCTTCTCCCGCCACTAGTACTTTTGCATTAAGAATAATAAGAAAATATATTTAATATTGATTATAAATTGGTATTCATTTATTGATTATGAATAATTTAATAGGCATTATATAGTTAAGAAATTATGTACCTAATTATGTATATATTGATGTCAACAACTTTTTAGTCGAACGGAAAAATTTTATTCAACAATGTTGTGCCAGTGTTTTTCATAAACAGTACCACACGATTTAGTGGTAATAAGTTGTATTTAAATAATTTATTGTATATATCCATTACATATTATTGTTATTTTAATAATCATTATTTTACTTAAAGAGCAATTTTGATTTAAAATTGTTACAGTTGTTATTTATATATTGTTAATTAAATTGGCAAATAATATTTTTGTATTTATATAAAACTAGCATTTTAATATATGATAGTTTTTAATCACGCATTCGCGGTTTTTATATCACTAGCAAGTAGAACAATAGACTAACATTATAAAATAAATGCTAACATCATAAACGTAAATAAAAATTATTCAAGCAAAAATTTTACATAGCATTTATTTAAACCGTATATCAACATATTATAAGCCAGAAATTTAAAATCACTAATAAAGCACGATGTTTTATATAAATCTTTATTTTATTCTACAATTACCCAACTAACAAAACAAATTTTCACTCAAATGTGAGTCTAAACTGTAGATAAATTAAAAATGGAAGAAGAATAATTATATATTGTTTTTGTATAACCTTCATTTAATATCCCAATATGGGTGTTTACAAAGTTGGTTCCATATACATGACTTGATTAACAATTGCGTTTTCTAAAATAAATGTTTTACTCACGTCAAAAAAAAAGTACGACGACTAATTCCCCTATAATTACTTATTATAAGTATAACATATATAATTTTGTGTTGCGGGAACAGATAATAGAAACTTGATCTGGCTAGGGGCCTGATGTAGAGTTCTAGGAAATTTTCCAAGAGTAGAGGTCACTTATAAGCAGTCACATTAAATTGTGTACGGGTGGATTGTCTTGAAAAAACACCTTGGACTAACAATATGAAAATCATTCCCTTATCTTTTATAAAAAGGATTAGGAGAAATTTGTATGTTCTATTATTTGAGAACAACTATCAACTATAATCAATATTAATTATTTAAACTTATACTAATCTAGTCAAACAGAACTACAAACAGAAATAACATTGTAAACATTTAAGTGTTATATTCGTTTTTTGAAAATTTAAAAGAAAATTTATTTTGTAATTATAGTTTATTATACAGTTGATTATTGAATTATTGTTCACTACTATTGGTCGTCTGTTTTAAGCATATTGCTATAAATTGTCATAACTTTATAATGGTTAGACGAAGTAATAAGACTATTTGTAGTTAAGAATTCCCACATATACATATGTGAGAATGCTTTTTGCTTGACATATTATATATGTATATAAAGCTATGTTTCAGACTTTTCAAATTATCAATTTATTTTCTTTGAGTTTTGGTGTTTGAAGTAAACTAAATCAAAACACGTTTTTGCGTTTATAAATTGCACTGAATAATTATATTATCTTTTAACAAGTAAAACACTGGCAATATTATTAATATTCTTAGGAATATTAATGTGATACTCTTTTCCTGAGAACAATATTTTAAACCAAATGAACAGTACAAACTAGAATATTTAAATATTTTTTATTAATATAATAATCTATTAAAAAGAAAGAGGAATATGTTTTAAACTGTTTGCTTACTTTAATTTTGGTTTTTAAGAACTAGTTTAATCAAATGAGATAGTGAAAATGGGCATTAGTCTACTATATATGTGTGAATTTAAAAAAATAAATGTTTTCTTTTACCCTTCATTCACATTTTTATTACTTTATTTATTTCTATTTATAAAAAAAATCATAGCCTCTAAGTTAACATGTACCTGTATAAATAAATAAATGGAAACTTATTAAATTTTATTAAAATCATTCACTGGTCGGATTATTATAATAAATACATATATCATTCCCCTATAATAAAATCTTCACTCTAAATGTAATATTATGCGAAGTATAGAACATAGGTGTTTAAGAAACTGATGTACTTAAGTATTTTTCATCTTTCTAGTTCAAGGCCACTTCACTTAATTTGACTAATTATTAAGAAATAATAATTTAAGTAAAGACTGTTGCATGCATAAAATAACCCTGCTTTTTTAAGTAACGTTATCCCATGGTCTGATTGAAGTACGTGCGGCGTCCCGCCGGAACGCTAAATAGTCAATTAGTGGTCCTCATCCCTGTAATAGGTCTGCCCGAGATCCTTCACAGGATAAATATAGCTAGTAGTGATTCTTCTTGCGACACCGCTTCCCTTGAAAGAGATGAAACTGTGGTGTGCTACTGAACGGACGCGAACACCTTAAAAATGGCTCTCGTATATTTTGATTGGTTGGACTACTTGGTATTTGGGGCCATGTTGCTTCTATCCGCTTTGATTGGTGTCTACTTCGCTTTCTTCGCAAGAAAAAAGCAAAATACGACTGCTGAATATTTAATGGGTGGGAAAACGATGGGCATGTTCCCAATATCCATGTCCTTGATAGCCAGGTATTTATCTTATTTTGGAATGTTTTTAAACTACTAGCTAATTGTGCGAATTTATTTTTTTTACTATTGCAAAATCTTGTATTATAAACCTCTGCTCAGATTAAAAGCTTAGCGTAATTTAAATTTATTTGACATACTCTAATATAACTGAGCTTACATTTTTTTGTGGAACTGATACAATTGGACACTTTCCTATAATATGTACCAGTAATAAGGAACGAAGGTATTAATTTTATTTGAAGAAACGATTTACACCTTCGTTTTACTGCCATTGACACCGCAAAAGAATGATAAATTGTAAAAACTCCTTTAGTCAGCTTACTGAACTGTATATCCTCATAATAAAGAATCTAAAAATGAAAGAAAATTGTTATTGCTTTTGTGAATGCTCTGTTTTAGTATAAATTAACCTTATTACCACAAAAAAATACTTTTACTCAGATTTTTTCATGATAAACAATATCACAGAAAGATATGACGGTAAATAATACAAATTAACCTGTTCCTCGTATATAATGTCACAGCAAGTGATGAGCAATCAACTCATAAAGTGGTAATAGTACTCCAACTACATGTGCAAGGTGGCAAATAAATCTAAAAATAAAACTCGGAGGGAGTTTGTAACTTTAATCTAGATGGCCTAAATAAAACTACAGATTATTTGGTCTAAAGTTGACCACAGAATTCAGAACAAACTTCTCTTTAGAATTGTCTTTATGAACGCAGGGTGCATAAAACTTTTAATTATCTGTACCGTAAAACGAAGTTTCCTGTTCATGTAAGGGTTCAGTTTTATGCCGTTCAATTCAAAAATGTTCTCAAATAACATATCATTCTCTTTTGAACAGAAAAAAAAGTTATAGTTTAAAAACGTTCGTTACGATTCAATATCTAGAAATGTATATGAGTTTGTACAATTTTAAACTTTTAAATAATGAGATCTAAGATTTTCGCGAGTACACATTTAAATGAAACTAATATTTTCGGATTTTACTTCGCGTTTTATTTTAGAAACTACATACTCCCGACGTTTCGGCTACTTTTCAGCAACCGTGATCACGGGCAGAGATCTCGTCTGCCCGTGATGTGTCTGTAGTTTCTAAAATAAAACGCGAAGTAAAATCCGAAAATATTAGTTTCATTTAAACTTTTAAAATTATCAATGTATTTAAGACATAAACCCAATTTATTAGCTCAATTTGATAGAGACAAAGACATGTAAATATTGAAAGATCACTTCAAAAGTTTTACGTAAAGTAACAAAGTTATCCTACTTACAAAATTTTGCTCAAACTCAAAGTCATACTCTTTATCGATGCTTCAAATTTTTTCATAAAAGCGCAAAATATCATAAACTTAAATAGTAATGAAAATATTTTTTAGCTATGTATCTGGAATATCGCTGTTGGGACTACCTGCTGAAATGTACACATACGGCACACAACTTTGGACAATCGTACTGTCAGAGTGGGTGGTATCAGTAACGATCTCTATAATCTATCTTCCGGTGTTCTATAACTTGCAAATTACATCTACTTATGAGGTAAGTGTAGTGATAATTGTGTAAGTGACGCTTAATACAAGTGTATTACGTAAAAATTATAAACATCTCTTTTAATTTAAAACACTACTGCAATTCTTCAAGAAAAATACTGAGCCGTAAAAGTGAGAACAAAATGTCAATTGCTTAGAATATGCTTATATTCATCACAAAAAAAAATCTTATATAAGAACACTAAACAGCCTACACAATTCTTGGGTATTTTTAGACCAAGCTAATTTTAGAGCCTGGAAACATGATCTTTGATGAATCATAGGATACGCTAAATAGTTGTGTTAATGAAGGATGCTGGTAAATTCATGACCATACAGCCCACGCAGATATGATATGTGTTTTTATTATTTTGTTTAAATTATATAACAAATCTAAAAGAGTTTCAATGCTTTAAGTTTTATAAGTCTACATATGAAACCCCAAGAAAATTAAAACAGGCTCGCTTGAAACGACTTACAGTCAAGTAATTCAAGGCCATATTATGATAATTCAAAAGATACTCTATACCACTCTTTGCTTTTTGAAAAGACATTGGATTTAATTCAAAACGATATTAAATCTGTGTCACAATGTCTTGACATCGGAAACAATAAGTGATATTTTTTTTTTTTGATAAAACTTAAGCTTTCTTAACTAAAATACAAAACTTTTCACGTTCATCCAATTACCTCACTTTTGATTAAAATCTATGTAACAAAACAATTGTAAAATATTTGTTTCGAAATTTTATAGAAACTTATAACTTCATAATCATATAATTTTAATTTCAAAAGTGTTAAGTTCATTGTGGGGTACATTAATAATAAATAAATATTTATTAGGTATTTTTGTTTCAGTACCTTCGTTTGAGGTTCAATCAAAACGTTCGTCTTTTAGGATCAATAATATTTATTATAAAAATGTTATTGTATATACCAATTGTCATTTATGTTCCAGCATTAGCATTTAGTCAAGGTAAGATATTCACTTCATTCTTTTACAAAAGATTTTTTTTAATACGGAAATAAAAAAACAATAATTACCGCAAGTAATATTACCCTCTTGTTTTATTAATTTTGTACTGAACTTTAAAACGTATTATTAATTATATTAAATACGTATTATTAAATATAATGTAAAGTTAAAATAATTTAAAACCAAATCTAAATTTTGCTAACTTACAAATAGATAGATATTTTTGTTCTCTAATTGATAAATTAATATTTGTTCTGCTGTAGTCATAATACTTCTATGTCTATTACGTTATAATCATCTGAAATATAATTGTCATTTTAGTTACTGGAGTGAATTTACATATGATTACACCTATCGTATGTATCGTTTGTATCTTCTATACTACGCTTGTAAGTATATTCGCTTTAATATATCCGCTCTATAATCGACTCTTCGAATCTACGATCGGGGAATCCTCTTCAACCAGAATGGGGTCGACTAAATCACTACCATCATTGAAATAGACCTATTGTATTCTAAACAGAACTGTCATTGACATTGTGTGAGGGCATTGTGCAAAATAAAAGTGTTTAGGAAAATTTTCAAGATTTTATTGCTCAATTATTCGAATGGGTGTATGGAAATATTTCATGTTCACTACCTATTTTTTCTCCAAACTGTTAACATTAATTTATTTTTACTTATTTTACTCGATTAAAATTATTTGGATTCGACTGTAGTTCAGAACCTATTTTGAAATTTAATAAATTATAAAGAAATAGTAATTTAATAAAGTACAATATCAGCGTCATAGAAGTACCAAACAGACCCCCAAGAAATTATTATTACACTTTGTATTTTATAATTATTACAGTATGTATCCTTAAATTTTAAATCAATTCTATCTTTAAATTACAGGGTGGCCTTAGAGCAGTTGTGTGGACGGATGCTTTACAAACAATATTAATGTATTTTGGCGTGGTTTTCGTACTCGTCTATGGAACTTGGAGGCTTGGAGGAGTATCAGAGGTGATCAGAATTAATGAAGAAGGAGACCGTCTCGACTTTTTCATGTAAATAAACCTTAAGAACCGCTATTCTTCCATACTAGCAACTAAAACTACGTCAAATAGACTTAAAACAATATTTATCGTTTAAACAAAAAACGTGCCAGAGGACACAATCTATCGTTTTTTCCTAATCATTCTTTTTGCGTAAATATTTTGATATTTTAAATTCGGTTATACATTTTTATGCTATAGAATGGACATGGATCCCACAATTCGTCATACTTTTTGGACTACAGTCTTTGGAAATTACTTCAGCTGGCTAGCGTCATGTTCCGTCAACCAAGCAATGATACAGCGCTGCCTTGCACTATCTTCTTTGAAGAGAGCTAGAATGTAAGTTTAAAGAATTTTTACTATACAGTATTTTACCAAACTGTAGATCAGGGATTTCGACTCGATATAAAACCTTTCTAAAATCAAAGACCAACATAAAAATATCTTTGTACTTTTATAGAATTAAGTACATTTCTATCAAACTACATATAATTTTTATGACTTAAATACTACATACTTAGTTCTTTTGGATAAAATAATACATATTAAATCCGGAATTTTTAGAACGATATTTATAATGGCAGCAGGAATATTCATCATTGTATCGCTGTGTTGTTACACGGGGCTAGTTATATATGCTACATTCGCCACATGCGACCCTCTAACCACTGGGTCTATACGGAAAAGTGATCAATTGCTACCATATTTTGTCATGACCATCACCGGTTCAATACCAGCACTACCAGGAATCTTCATGAGCGGTGTCTTCAGCGCCGCTTTGAGGTACAGTCTCGGTGAGAACTATATTACTAGATCTGTAATTAAAAATGTAGCAAAGTCGTTCAACAAATGTAAATTTAAACATCATAATTGGTTAAATTTAAATTATATTACTATTGAAAATAAGCACATTATATCACGTTATCTCTTTTTTATTAATAAAATGGTTATGTTTTTACGAAATTGGTGTTATTTACAACGTCATTGCAGTTCAATGTCCACGGGACTTAATTCGTTATGTGGAGTTATATTCGAAGATTTGATCAGACCAGCTTACAACAAACCGATATCCGAAAGGACTGCCAGCTTCATCATGAAAATAATAGTGGTTGTTATTGGTAAGGTATTGGATATTAGAAAAAGTTATAAAATACACTATTTTCATCATTATTCTTTGAAAAAATAAAATTTTTAGTACATATAAAAAATGGTCAAGTTAAAAAGTGTGATTTTTCATATTAGGTGGAATTTGCGTTGCGCTTGTTTTTCTGGTTGAACACATGGGAGCATTGATTCAAGCTGGCAAAAGCCTGGCTGGTATAACTGCTGGGAGTTTGCTTGGTCTATTCAGTATGGGATTATTTCTGCCATGGATCAATAATACGGTAATTTTTATGTTTAAATATAGAACAAACTTCGCTAATGGTTACCAATATCTTTTATAAAAATGAAAAGTGTCTTATGATATAGGGGGCGCTTGTTGGTGGCATTTCATCCACTCTGTTAGTTGGATGGATCTCACTGGGCACACAGGCGGCAATGCTGCGAGGAGAGATCGTGATAACCCCGAAGCCTGTTGACGTGTCCGGTTGTGCAACTAACTATACACTGCCGACTACATCACCGCCACACACAACTGTAGAATTTGATAGGTACTGTTATTAATTACTTCCGTTAGCTAAAGAAGGGGATCTTATCTCAGTAATAGAATGACAAGGGGAATAAAGATTCTATGAAACAAAAATTTTTGCAACCATTTAGAAGCAGATTGATTTATATTTCATACTTTAAGTTTATGAAAAAAATACCTTCAATGAAATCTTATACAATGATTTCACTTAATTATATCGACAGTTGAATTTTTTGTATTAGATTTATATTAATGCATGTAAATAAGTTTTAAGAAACCAAATAATTTACAATAGTAATTATACTTTAATACTTGTCTAAGAACTAATACTTCGATTTCATGACGACATTTTATTATTTTTTAACTAGAAAAAGAAAAAAAAGGAAATAGATGTTTCGACTATGATATTAGATACTTCTGATAAAATCTTTAGCAAAATTACATAATTCAGATAATTTTTACATTTTTAACTTAAGGATACTTGTGCTCAAAGAAAGATAAATGTAAATAAATAATAGTTCCACATTTTCACACACATGTGGGCACAATAGTATGTATACCACCGGTCGGTCCCTAGACTTATGCAATTTCTTGTAATTGATTAATCAATTCACTAGTCGACAGGCGGGAGGAAAATACCTAGTGCACGTACAATAAGGTTAAAATAGTTTATTTCCCCTACACTTATCTGATTTAAATTGTGTTTCTCGAATTTCAAATTATTTATTTGCATTCCTATTATCATTATAAAATAATTAATTATCTAGATCTATTTTGTTTTAGTTCATATTCTTGTCAATATTTTTATAATTTATTTTCAGGTCGGGGACATTTTTTCTGTACAGGTTAAGCTACCTCTATTACACTTTAGTTGGAATGTTAGTTTGTATCGCTGTCGGTGCTCTTGTGTCCTACTTTACGCAATTCAATGATCCTGCGATGGTAATATTTTTCTATTGAAGTACTAATTTTATATTGGGTTGCTTAGTTATATATATCTCTGTTTATAACAAAGGTTCACCGTGACCTCTTAACACCGGTGATACATCGGTTTTTGCCGCCCCAAAGTGTACACTGTCGTCGACCCCGTCTAACGCAACACGATATTGAGTTACATGCAAGAGAAATGGAACATCTGCGATCAAGTGCTGCCTTAATGGTAGGAATATAAAAGAAAAGTGTCTAAGAAAGCTTATAATATAAATCGTAATAAAGTACAGTAAATTGAGTTGTAGAGTCAGTTCAAGTTAAGAAAGGTGCTCCATGTATGAGTAGTCTATGTGAACGGTTTTAGATATTAACTGATAGTCTTTTTAATTCATACTTATTGACTTTAAATTAACATAAACAGCATTCAACATACGCAGTACCGTGAATTAATTATTTTAAATATTTTACAAAATAAATGTTTTCAGAATCAATAGGTACACAATAATATTTGTATTAAATGGATTCAAAGACATTTAAATGGGTCCAAAGACATCTGTGTTGAATTTTGTTACTTCGTTGTATTTTTTCTAAACTAAATTTAATTTTTTAACCATTACAGAAGGATGAAACGGGAATCGAAGCCAACCTTATACCTCGCAGGAACAGCAACAATAATTACATGTATTAATAATATTGTTTGTGTCATTAAATGTTTGGTAATTTAATAACCTTCATCGCCTTCTTACATTCGTCTAAGAATAACCACATACAAAACAATACAATCTTTTAACAGATTTTGTCAAGATAAACCTAACTTGGTATTATTTATTTCTAATGAGTAATTTTAAGGGTTTTTTTTGAGATAAATATTGAACAGCTTAACATTATTTTCTTCTATTAATTGTGAAGATTCTATGTAAAAAAAACAAGCCATGGCTATGTTTATTTTTATTTAAATTTAATTTACTTGTAATATTATTTTTTTTCTTTAAATAAAGTTATTGTGAATTTAAAGAAGTTGTACTATTAGGAGTTGTTTTCTTCTGTCGAAAAAATAAATCCCTTAAACGTATGCACGACTTTAACATAACACCATTACAGTGCATAGAAATATACAGTGTAAAGTCTAGATATAGTCCACTAAAAAGATATCCACTTCCATCGAGAGTGAATAGGTACACACTCACGTATAATTAACTAATGTATTTACTAAAGCCAAATTACAATTTAAAATTCATTTTAGTGTATTGTTAAAAGTATTTAAGAACCCATACACGTTTTCAACTTTACCTTAATTCTTTGTAAGTAAGTGCAGTTCCGTCCTAATTTCTGTCAACATTTTAGTCCAAAGAATATAAAAGCAAAGGACAAAAAATGGGTAAATTTGAGACTTAAATCTGTTCAAAGACAATAATTACCATACCCGACATAATAACTAGAAGTCTCATGCAACGATTTTATGAATTCCTTCTTTTCAAGAAATTTCTTTCAGTATACATACCAATAACGTCTTCTCCAATTTATTTAAAAACCCATTCTATTTATGCTTGATGAACATCTACGAAAATTAACTCCATAGAAAGAATCTACAAACATTACCCCCTTTATATAAGTATTTTATCGTTTATGCAGATCAATGTAAAAAAATAATATTTTATATATAAATATATATTGAAAACAATGAACATTAATAATGAATTTCTTATCAGTATATAATGTTCGGAAATAAATTATAATATAAAATTGGCTGAATTTCAATAAAAAGGCAGCTGTAGATATAAATTAATATTTTTTTCTTACTTTTACTCAAGAGATAGTTACTTAAATTAATAGAAAAAATAATATTTCATATAGCATTTTAGGTAATAAAAGCGTTTAGTGTAAGACATAAAAATATATACAAAATAAGAAAAAAAAATCAAAATCTAGATATAATAAAATTATCAACAGTTGATATATTTTGTATTTATTTACACAACTCCTTTTTTATTCAATATCTTATTTACGAGCAAGTATGCAAGAGGAAGAAAAATATTAAATTGACATTCAAATAAACATTGAAATTTAAATTCGATTAAAAAGCGGACATAAATTAACAGCAAAACAACGTAGTGTAGAAATTAATAAAGGTATATATATCTTAAAAACAAAATATGTTGATCTCAATTATTCTTATCTATTTTAATTAAACTACATTTTTATTGCTGTTTACATGAAAAGTAGTACTAAATCAAAGTCCTATTTTATATAACAATGATAAATAAACACTTCTTTCAACACAAACTAAAGATAATTTGGATATATCTCGTTCGGGAACTTTATGTGATAAAAGAAACTATGATACTTAATAAAAATATTTTGTATAAAAGAAAATACTTTAATCAAAACATCCTATGCTAAACGTATTGTACATTCAAGTGGGTAATTAAATAATATTAAATAGTAATAATTTGAAATTTTAGCGTTGTACGAGTATCTTCAAATAATGATCTTTAAGAAAAGCCAATTAGTTAGCATTTTTATACTTTAAGATTTTAATTCATTTCTCCTGCAAGTACGAACATTTACAGGGAAGAAAACATTTAACTCGATAAGAGTAGCAAGAACTAAGAACATGGCATACATGGCTAAACAAGCCCTTCCAACAGCTGCATCTAGCTTAAACTTGTTGAACCAAAACGTAAGGTAAAGCAGCAACAAAGTTGATAGCAGCGATATCGCCGAATACTCAAGACCCATAGAGTTTATCTTCACCTGTTAAATAAATAAATTTTAGTTCACGAACAAAGCAAAAGTGAAAAACGCGTAAAAATAAAAACAAGTATTCAATTGTTCGTTTATGAAAATCACACATTAGTTCAATAGCAAGTTCTATAATACTTATCTTTCTATCCATACATATAAAGTCATAACTTTAATCATTCCAGCAACAAATTATCTAATTAGTAACTGATGAGTTAATGGTGATTATTCTTAGACGAACAGAGGGCCCATATCGCTTGGCAAAATTTACTTAAACATTCGCGGCATAATAGCAAACATTTCGCAAAAAAATAGTATGAATGTTATCTAACCCAGTAATGACCAGGTTCAGCGGGTGTCAATGAAGCTTTAATAAGCCACGGTAGACCTAGACACAGAAGAATATCAAACGTGTTTGATCCAATCGAATTACTTATGCCCATTGAGCCATGTCCTGAAAAATAGAAAGAAAAGTTTGTAACTTTCTGTTGTATACGAAATGTTTAATAAATATCTAGAAAAGTTACCTTGTTTTGCAACTATAACACTTGATACTGCTTCGGGTACTGATGTACCCGCTGCTAAAAATGTTATTCCCATAACTGAATCTGGTATCATTAAGGTATCACCTAGAATAAACAAAAAAATTGTAACTGATGATTTATAAAATGTAAAATAATAGTATAAGTGACTATAAAATTAATATTCAGCCCTTACATGATATAAAAATTTCAATAATATAGCAATATAATAATATAAATACCAATTATAGTTATCATCCAAGCTACGATGTATGAAAGTGAGCCTATCCAAACTATACACATAATAAAAGTTAAAGGAAACCAATTCTTAAATCGCGGTTTCTCACAATCTGGAATCGTAAAGAAAAAGACGAGATGTATCGGCCATGTAATAATCCATGTTATCTGAAAATTCATAAATAAGGTAAGTTTTTTAGTATGGTTCTGAGGCGTATCACTACTTTCTTATAATATTTTACCTTTGTGAGATTACTTCTTCCTGATGGCCATTTCCACAGAGAGTGTTCATACTCATCTATCGATTCTTTGTTCCCTTGTTCAATGTTTTCACGATTTCCATCTTCAGGTGTAGCTATTTCCATATTACTAATCCTGTGTTCCTCCTCGTTTGTTTCTTCAATTTTAGCTTTGTCAATTTGGAGTTCAGTATCAATAACATTTTTCTTTTCATTTGTATCTGCATAAAGAGTTATGTTTTTGACATTACCATTATGTTGGTGATGCTCTACTAATGATTCATTCTTAATGGAAGATGTTGACTTTTTTTCCTTATTTTCTGCAAACATGTCGTAAGTTATGGAAAACTGTCAAATAATTTAGCAAATTAATAAGTGTTTAGAATTTACTAACCATTTTCCAAAGAGGAAGGAGTTTCTTGCTTTTCACTGTCTTTTTTTAACATATTGGACACACACGTCCAACTCCCTGGGCAAATAAAATTATTTATTTCTTTCTACATATTAAAGAAGATTATATAAAACAGAATTCTTTATATCTATAGTTTTACCTTTAGCGAAATTTTGAATTGATTTGTCGTAGTACATAATGCAAATGTAAACTCCATACAGCAGAACCAAGAAGAAGGCTTCATACCATTGTACATATTCGTCATGCATTATACAAATCAAAATAGAAACAGTGATGCCATATGCGAGACAGTCCCTGGTTAATGGCCACCAATCCAAAGGTACTACCTGAAATGTTATTTTCAAGGGTAAAATTTATTCAAATATATTTCATCTACATCTTTATTCCCAAATAAGCCTTGAGATTAAATGATGTAATACACTATAAAACAAGAAATTAAATATCTGTAATTTTAGTATTTGGGGCTTAAAAAAATGTAACTCAAAAAATTATGTATCAATTACCATCCCAGCTCCTATACCGCAACAAGCAGCCACTGCAAGAATATTGAATACAGCCGACCCAACGATGGTACCAACTCCTATGTCACCCTCAGTAATAAAAGTTCCAATAACATTGACAAATAACTCTGGTGCTGAAGTCGCTGCTGCCATGAATGTAGCACCAGCGACGTCATTCGTCATATTAAGAGCTGAGAAAAGATATCAATCATACAGATTTATTGAATATATTTTACCTAACCAAAATATAGGACTTAGAACAAAATATTGATGTCAACAAAAAACACGATTAATTGGTATAATGATTTTATTAACAAATATTTTAAAATTTTATTTCTGTAATTTTAACACTATAAATACAATCTTTACCTGTACATATCCTATCTACTGCGGGTACGAAGAACTTGTCGCAGACAACTGCCAGCGCCAAAAAAAGGTAGATGGAGATTAGCGCATGAAGTACAATGGCACCATGTTGTCTTTGCAGCTCCGTGAAAAGTCCCGCCGGAAAGTCGTCGATGGCAGGAGGCGTGCAATTGCGGAGGTACCCATCTATGACGTAAGCAAATCAGAATCAGAAATCACAAACCATATGTATTAATCTAAATCTCATTAATTCACAGAACTAAATTTACACGCAATTAACGAAACTTCAATTTTGTTGTTATATTAAAAAAACATTAAAGATATTTTCTAATAATAAGTCTAGTTTATAACGACTTAATAGAATTTACATTGGCTTGTTCATTCAATCGTGACGTGATGAGTTACGTATTAACAATATAGTAACGAGTTCAAATTATGCAAATCCCGCATTGAATACGTAAAATTACTTCACAGTCAATGTGTACAATATGTTCTTCGTTTGTAACCTGTTTTCTTCTAATTACATTTTAAAATCTTAATTAAAAAGTGGTTCTTGTTTTTTTTAACAGGAGGTGTATTGCATATTATGTTGGTATAATAAAAAATATATTAAGAAACAGCTGTACAGTATTGTCACAAGTAAAAGGAATTAACAGAAAAAATCGAAACTCAATAGATTCACGGTAATGTGCGTGAGCGCATATGATTAGATAATAATAATCATCGTTTCTATTGCATATTCATAAAAACTGAGAATCACAACCGGGAACTTAAACATTGTTACGCAATACGATCATGAAATGTCTTTGACACTTAGAAAATATATATTTTTTTGCATATTTTTACGAAAATCTAAAGACTAATGCTGAGAAAATCAATAGTTTACCGAATTATGTTGCAGATACGTGTACCTCGGAATACCCTTACTTTAACTGGACAGAATTCTAAATAAAAATGTTTTTAGTGACGCAATTTCTATTGGTTAGAATTTCGTTTATCTGTGTTTTTAAAATATACAAGTATTAGTGGGTGTTTGACACGTGGTGATTGTGCAGGTGCTTCTTGTTTATCTTGAAAAGCATTGTATGTTTTAGGTTTCTTTCTTCTTCTTAGAATTTTTAGATTTTTATGAATATATTATTTATTATAAACTATCAATCGACCTCTGACACATGCCTAAATACGTATAGTAATTTTTATATACATAGTTATGAAGTAGAGAGAGATTGATATATTTTCAAAAAGTAATTTTCACTTTTGAGACAATCGCGAGTATTTGTGATCTTATCTTAAGTAAATGAAAGCTAAACTTAATGGTAGCATGCGAAGTAATTTAAATTAATTGCCTAATAAATTTAACAATAGAGCAATCCATTATCTAGTACGAATTAATTAAGATTAGAAAATAAAATGTAATACAATGTTCAATTAATTATTTATCATTTTCTTTACTATTACTATTCTATTCATAAAAAGAAAACTTCGTAGGATACATTCATAACCACTACCTCATGAAATAATATATCACTATAGTCATAGTGAATGATAAGTTGTCAACCTTGTGCCCATAATATTATAAAAATATCTTTTAATGTCTTTTTTAGACATAAAGCTACATTGTCGGGCTGACTTTGACACCATATTAATTTATTGATATAGAATATTAATATGGCCCTATATTAATTTATATGTATATATTAATATAAGGTTATAAAAAAACAATTATGTGTATGAACTTGCACAAAATAAATGTCAAAATTTGTTTTAACACTTAGTTCACATCTTTGGTCTGTCTCAGTCATAACCGGTCTTTCCAGTAGCATTAAAATAATAATTTGCAGAAAACATTTGTCAATGAAATCGTTTTATTTATGAAGATACACTAAATTTACATAGTACAATTTACTATTGTATAAATAAAAACTAAATCCCAAAGAACACGTTAGCGAAAAACAAAAAATTTCTAGTATCGGACCTACATTAATCTTGTGTGCATTGTAAGATTATTGTGAATTTATAATTTAATAATTGAAATAGTCATTAATAAATATTTAGTATTATCCTTCGTTACAATTACGTACAATAAACTACAAGTTTTGGTGATGTACAAAAAGTTGAAACAAAAAAATTGTCATAAAACAAAAAATACGTATGTATAAAAATCCACTTTTATTTTTCATTATTAAGGTTTGTCGTAATGTATGAAATGTGAAAGAGACATTTAAATTATTTTCTTCTGGAATATTGTAACATACTCTACTCTACTCTAGTAATGTTAGATTCTCTTAAAAGATACATGTAAGAAAATTTTTATGTTTAGTGATATATGTATGAAAATGAAGATATTTCTATTCTAATCATAAAAAACAAGAATTTTTTTCTACTTTAAAGAAATTGAATTATACTCGTAAAGATGTATATGACTATATATGCATAAATATAGGTTACACATAAGAAAAAAATGTTTATTTAAAAAGATAGAAACTAAATATGCGTAGGCAAATTAAAAATGATGTCGTAATTTTTCATAGCATATTATTAGTAGTTTTTTTTTTTTTTTTGTTCAACGCATTTTGTGTAACAATAACGTTAAACATAAAGTATGAATTAAAATAAGAGCATAAAATTAATACATTTAAATTTATGAAAATATTACTCGCATATACATACTGTTAAGCAAGAACATGGTTGATGACAAACAAACAATGCAGCTTCCTCACTAAAACGATCCAACGAATAGCTTAATGGAGAGGCAAATTGTCTCAAATGAACGACAACTTGCCTAACCGGATTAACTGATTTTAGAAAATAGCGTCAACGTCTTTCATAGGTTTATAAAGCTTTATACATCCAGTACTTTCGTGATATTTTGTATTGCGCGTATTAAATTTAATAATTTTAATATTATTTGATGTTGAAATATTATTAATAAACTACTAAACGGTTTCACTTGTTGATCTATTTAAACTATAACATATCAAGTCATAAATTATCAATATATAGTCAATGATTCACCTCAATGTAACAAGCATGTTATTTGTCCTATATTTTGAAGACATTAACTAATATCCTTACCTTAAAATAAGTTGCGACATAACATCAAACAGTGCGTGTCTTACATCGTTGAGATATCATCGACTGCACTACGAAGGAAATTGACATATGAAAGAAGACAGGAAGTCCGCATTAACTCCTCTTACATTAGGCTCTTTCTATTGACCGCTATTTTCTAGAAATTCTTAGTGGACAAGCACATCTCATTGTTACATATTATTTGGCGGTATCGTATAGTAATTTGAAATATTAATGTATTCTATGGTCCCTACTACTCCCTATTTTAGTCAGTATTTCTTTATTCTAAAACTGAATTACTTATAGTCTTTATTTTAAAAAGAAAATACTAATGAGAAACTCATTTAATAGACTAAATACGTAATTAAAATAATATTTCCACCTTATGTCTCACAAATATTTTTCTGACAGGTTTATTTTCTGAGATCGGCAAACCTCATAGATACAATTAGTAATTGCTATAATCGTAGGATATTCATTAACTAAAAATAGTCTAAGAAAACCTGAACCAGGCAGCCCTAACAATTGGTCAATTGATAGCCGGATGAGGTGGCGATCTTCTCCTCCCCTTCTTCTAACATTAGGCACAGTTGCCGTTATAAATTACTGGATAAAATATCCACAATAAGATACTGAAGAGAATGTAGCATTATTTCATTGAATCTTTAATGGCCAATTCTTTTATCTTAAACCTGACCAAAGAGTCCACTTTGAAAAAATATTCAACGGTTTCATACATTTGCATTTGCCATTACAATGTCAAATTATTCAGATTTCGCTTTTTGTCTCAAAAACAAATACACTAATTCAATGTATACGCATCAGCCCATAAATTATTATTGCATAAAATCAAACTGAAATTTTAGACTCCATAAAATTTACAAGTGTATACTAAATTAAATGTAATTATTTAATAGTTACAAAGGGATTTAATAATCTTTTTTTTTTTGTTAATTCTTGTCTATAGAATTTACTTTTATATATCAAAAGCGTAATTCATCAACTACATTATAAATAAGGGACAAAGAATAAAATTTATTAATTTCTCTTTTTCTGTAATTTAAATTTAGTATTAATATGTATTATGATAATAAAAAACGCTAAAATTATGATTATAAAAAAATATTTGCTAGGAGATTAACAAGGCTACATCATATGAATGTCAAGTCACCAATTGGACAACTCTTATTCGACCAGCAATTTAAGAAACTAAAAATACCTATCAGGTAGCCAGTACAGTTGATCGTGAATATAAGATGAACGTAGTATAAGCATAACACAAATGAAAAATGTTATTTTTTATGATTTTCTGCTAACCTTTAAGTGAACTTTGGCGAATATGGGAGAGGCTATATAAAAACATTTGAACCTTTTGATACAGTCAGCACTAATTGGTCTGCAAAATACCTATTGTCCCCAGCCACACCCGTAATTTGTGAATTTGTAAGGATCTCTTCGGAGTTAAGGCAAACAAAATCAATTATCTGTTAACAAGGCCATAACTTAAAGGATACCCAAAATCCCTTGATTCGCCACCGCACATACCTGTTACATGTTTGGCCATGACGATTCTTCACTCTTCCATACTTACGAATCGCGAGTTGGCCTCACGGACTTTACACACTACATTCACTTAGCATAACAGGCACACAGGCTGCTGATATAATCTTCTCCCCTGCCCATTAGAATCGCAATAGTGTGACCTAGCCATTCACAGGGAATTAGACACACTTCCGACCTGTTTCGCTGTATAACCTTGTGACGCGGTGTGCACTTCACAGTCCCGGCTGGGGACAAGTACCCATGACAAAAAGCAGACGTACCTCGCTCGGAGGCATTCATCTCGTTGGCGGAGGGATCACACGGATACGACCGAGAGCGTTGTCAGTGGCGTCCAAATGCCGCGGCCAGCGCTCGGCGGCACATAATGGGAAATGGCGGAGAGCTCGTCAAAAGAAGAATACAGGAGCCAATTATTTATTTTTATACAATACACGTACGTCGGGCGCGCTCGGACGCAATGCTGAAGTGACTCCGCGCACAAATCCTGCCGATGTGCTCCTTGTATAGGAATTGTAATTGAATGCTAAATTATTTTACTTATTGAATTAATCTGGTCTGTTTAGCGGATTGTATACGTTGCATCGTTTTTCAAATTGTAGTAATAAAAAAATAATGTTATTTTATATAAAAATTTCATTAAAAAAATATTATCATGTAAAATATGATTATCAGACGCAAAACAAGATTTATTTTGTTATTGTATATAAGTAAAACACATCACTTTATTTATAAGATTTTAGTTTTTATAAGCTTTATATATCCTAAAATACATTGCTCGTAGATAAGACCATAAATTCAAAGCGGCATTCTTAGAACCAATTGTGACATGCTACGAACTATAGTAACTTGATCTTTGACATGAACACCGACCGTGATTTTACTAATCTGTCGGGCTAAAAGTTCATCCGATCCTTTCCTCAGAGTCTCCATTACCCTCCGACGGCACGCGACATTACAATTAATTTTAATTACACATTATTGAAGTACCTGAACTTACATACCGTCGCTCTATGACTCAACACTATAATTGAACACGTAATTCGGAATGGACTAAATATTTAAATAGCTTCTTAGCCAATCACTATATTAGTTGGTTATTACAAAACTTTTTTTTAATTATTAGAGTATTGTATAAACCAAATTAGTTTTATTTCGATTTTATTAGAGCTATTCACAGAAATATTAACCACTCCATTGCCTTAATCAACCAAAGAGCGAGGTATAATTTTGTGTCATTAAATAATGCTGTCACTTGAAGAAGCATCTTGCTTGTACAAGCTGAAATTCTTAGGTCTACGTGCAAAAATACTCGTACCCACATCTTCGTCGTCCCCTTAGTAGATGTTTGAATGATGATTACCCGGTCACCATATAAAGAAAATGCTGGTTTAAACTTGTATATTTCTAAGAGTTGTAATAATTTTTAAATTATTTTTCGTTCTGTGATTAATAAAATTTTAACGTAAAAAAAAACAAAAAATAATGCTATCGAAAACATTTTTATGATAGGTTTTGTCAGTTATTACCTCTATAAAAGTACTTATCTGTTTCCATAAGAAATAGACACGCACTAAATAATTACTTTTTGAGATAATTTTGGCTGAATAAAGAATGATAGTGAAAATAATTAAATAATTTGGAAGAATATCTAAATAAAACAATTTTTCCGTAATTGACCTGCGGTGTATATATCGGAAAAAATATTTTTATGTAAATGTACTCTCAAAATATATACATTTAAATGAAATCATTACAGTACTGGAATTGATACTGGGTGTAGAGCTAGTGTTAAAGAAAATTATTAATTTCTTTAAAATACGTCATGAAAGTACTTGTTACATGTCATAGTGTGTATTTTTCTTTACATCTCTTATCTTCGTAAATATTATGTTACTGGTTTCCAATAATCAAACAAAATGTTGTAACTGCTACTACTTCATGATAAAAACTTAAATAAATAGAATTAGTTCGTTGCTACACAAAATACATATAAAAGAAAATATCAATTTTGTAATTATTATTGTTAATATGTGTAACCACATAATTAATACCATACACATAATTTTAGAGTAGTTTCACTCATAAAATTTTATAACAAAAACTATAAATATCGTTTTATCCTAAGAATTCATATGATTAATTAGTTTCATGAATTGAATAATTTGAAAAGCAATTGTAAAGCGATATTCTGAAGTTTGAGAGTTCAAACTTTTGCTCCTTTAATTTTTAATGTCTATTTTCTATTTATTTATTTTTTAATATAATCCTAAATGATTGAACATTTTTTTATAAACACTTCTAATATCTTGACTTCAATAAATTAGGTTATGGGTTTTTAATGATAATTTAAAACAGTCACTTGCTGTGTCGTAAATGCAATATAGGATTCTTTAAAAAATCTTCGTTGTAATTATTTCTTTTATTTGTTTTAATGAAATAGTCAATTTTAAAGTTTGTAAAGTTTCTGTACGTATATTGATAACTGTTTATATAAGTTGTAATATTACATACAATAAATAAATAAACTTATCAAACAAATTCAATTCAAATTGACGACAGATAACCTTAACGTTCTTTTTAACCTCTTTGAATACTTGAAATATTTATGTTTGTAGATATATTTATGTAAGTTTTCCCTATTAACGTAACTTATGTAATTCGATGCCTACTTAATATGCCTACTTAATATTTTTTCTTGTTTGCTCCACTAACAGAAAAGAACTCAGTAGGGGACGCTAGGTAAAGCTTTTCTGTTTTTAGGTAGTTTTCTATGGCGTTCACTTAGTTTGCACTGTAGGTTGAAGAAGTAATGTCGGCGAAGGAAGCTGCGGAGAGGCAGCGGGAGGAGGATGCTCTAGCCGCTCCTCTCCGGCGTAGACGTACGGGTCGGAGGAGACGGGTGAACATGTAACCTTCGACCTGGAGGTTCGACCAGCCTGCGTCAAGTGGCACTGATGCAGGCATTGCACGTGGTCAACACGTCTGGGGATTATCTCGGCTCTCCCGGGTAATCCCCCACCGGCGCGGTAGCCCGGCACAGTAGCTGGGCAGCCCGGGGGTGAATTGGTGAATTGCCATTATTTATTAATTGGTATTCCCAGGGCATACACCATCAGGCTCTGGGCGACCCCCACACAAGTCCCACTGTCGAGCCAAGGCAGTGGGTAGTCTGTAAGTGGATTTCTCCCCGAAAAAAAAATTGGTTCTGTTGAAATTTGATGCACAGTCGGGCTGTCTTTATATTATTTATAGCTTTTCCAGGTGTTCCAGCCCTGTGGTTCGCGATTTCTTCCGAGAGCTACGTTTATTTTCCCTTTGCTTTTTCATTATTTTGTAAGTATGTACTCTTATTAATAGAAGTATTTTGCCAATACAGAAAGCGGCAAAAAGCACGTTAACCTAAAAAAATGCCTTGCTTTCACTTCTTGAACTTTTAGGCATGAGAATGTACGACATGAAGACTATGAAAAAGGTTCATTTATTGGATTCTATTAAATCTAATTTTTTAAGTTAAATAGTTATCTGAACTACATAATATATACTATATAAGTTAGACTATTTTAAGTAGTGGAATTTTACCCACTTACAATCCACAATCGATTGATTAGCCAACATTTTATTGGAATGTTTTTACATGATAACAGTGTCGAAGTTAAACCTTGAAACTATAACAACTTAATCGGTGGATAATACATTGTTAAGACACTACGCAGTTACCAAATCCATTTCCGTTATTAAAAATAATAGCAGATTTAATTTAATTTGCTATTAATCAATTTGATTTAGTTATGATTATTATCCAAATATAAGTAGTAATGGAATCAGGAATGATTAAGAATTTGAAACGACTGCTGAATGTTTTGCGTTTATCAATTCATTGTTATTATTTAGAAATCTAAGGAAGGATTTGTTATATTTTTATTTTTTCTAGGAATAACAAATTTCGTAACGGGACGGTTACACGGGTTTCTTATTAACTACACAAACAGATCGTAATTTTTTATCTGTGGATATAGAACATTATCCACGTTTATACTATTACAGTAATCACTTAGCCTAAATATGACGAAAACATTTAATATCAAACGGAATATACCCATTAGATATCAGCTACCTGAGATTTTGTTATATTTACTAACAACCGATAAGTTTGATAAAGACCTCCTAACCGATAGCACTTATTGATATACAATTTCTTGACTTGGTGGTAAAACATAGTGCATTTTCGATTGGCATCCGAATACCTCGTGTTAGACCATATCCCACAAATATTGGCCAATGACATTGAACTGTATATACGGCCAATTATTCGAATTCTTTATTTGACAAAAGCCCAAAACCGAAAAAGCAGAAGTTACTTTTTTAAATTATTAATGGCAACCAAAATGTTGATAAGGACTAGTGAGTGTAAATATAGAGTGGCTTTTATTATAAGAGTGATATTTTTTCTCGGTATCCCGTCTATGTACTACCTATTAACCAGCAATTCTGAAAATAATCATTTAAATAATATTAGCCCAGGTAAAGTATGTTCTCTTTGACCTTTGAAAAGGATCTTATTAGATTTTTCCTAAATTGTATTTCACTAGGAATTAGGTATGCATTTTTAGCATTGTAGAAAATATTGTCCTTTTATATAGATCGTATGTGTGTATATAGGAATTTTAAATAAACCCATATTTATTAAACAAGCCTTATTTAAAACAGGTGAATCATATTCAAGTCGTCACCTGTTGGCTTTAGTCGAAAGCAATGCTAATTGTACTCCGGCAGCTATTTTGGAGTTTCCATCCGATGGTCTAACGAGATTTCAGAGACAGCATGTAAGTGATTAAAAAAAGTACAATTTTATTTCTTAAACATATATTTTTAAGTTTTAATAAATTATTTGCAATAATAATAATAATATTTAAGCAAAAAAACCTTAGAAAATTAAACTTTTAATATTTAAGATGAAAAAAGCTTGCGAATTAACCATTTTAAATTAAAGAATATAAAAAAATATCACAATATTTATAATCAATTGTTATATATTTTGGTAGGGTTATATTCTAATTCATTGTGTACTGGCGATATACTGTTTCCTTCTGCTGGGCACCGTCTGCGAACAATACTTCGTGCCGGCGATCGAGATAATATGCGAACGTAAGTGGCCTCGCATATATAAGAACGCAATTTTTTCTACATTGTACGCAATTAATATCTTTTATGTCAAGCAACTGATGTTCCTTGAATATCATAGAATATATTCAGCGTCTATATTGCATTGTACTTACCGAATCCAAAGTTTCTGATACTATGTTCATGTAATAAATTAAATGTTCTCTTTCATGACGTAGTATGAAAAGATGTTCATGTAGCGACGTAGTACGAAAAGTTTTTTATTTTTTTTTTGTATTTGATACTACAACAAAATCATAGAGGAAAATTACATAAACATATTTCATTTACCAGAACTAGTGCATATTATATTAGTGCAATGATGCTTAACTAATATTATGTATGGTAATTGATATTTGTGAATGTCTTTACGTTTTATATTAAAAAATAAGTATAATCATTTATATTCAAACATAAAGTAAGTGTACTACATAGCAGTAATTTCAAAGCAAAATTATTTATTGTTCTGTATTTTCTTGGAGTCTAAAATAAATCTGAAAGGAATTGTTTTCTTTAATAAACAGTTGTTTTATAGATAAGACCGTATACTATGTTCTAAACAAATGTTCACACTTCAAAAGATTATTTTGATTGCAATTTGTTAGCATTAAACATCTTCTCCTTTAAAAAAACACGAAAATAGTAGAAAACAAAAATAAAGTTCTGACAGTTGAGTACACAAAATTCAGCTTAATATTTTATTTATAGTGGCTAAAATTTGCTTGTTTTAAATTTGGAGATTAATTTAATCTCATCACTGTATGAGAGTAATTTGATAACCTTAAATTTTCTATCAAATTTTAAGCAATTTTTTGAAATTTTTCGTAAGCCAAACTCACTACGAATAAAAAATTTGTTACACTTTAATCATTTGTAGAAATCATAAACTTGAGACACACCTACATATTATGTATATAAGTATAACACGTATCTAATAATTACGGTATATTTTTATTTTATTGCTTTAAACGGCGTAGTAATGATAAACTATAAATTAAAGTATATTTAATACAGGAATAAAGATATCAAAATTTAAACATCAGTAGATTATTTTAAAAGCTATATTTATAACTATGATAACTTAGCGGTATCAAAATTGTAAATTGTATAGTATAATAATATCTAGATAAAGATCTTGTATAGATCGTGTACAATGAATAGTTATGATGTATAATCAGCATTAATAACAATCAATCAATGATATCAGAAGAATGAGAGTTAGTGATGGAAGTAGTTGTATAGTATAACAGGACACTGACCGTGTTCATTGAATCTTCAAGCTTATGAATCTTTTCAATAGCACTTTTCCAATCAAGTTCAATTACGGTTCGACATTACTTTTACCAGATGAAAATGCTTTCACTGTTCCAATTGCTTTGCAGTCTAGAGGAGTCAACGACGGATGTGATTATATTACCCATATTTACGATTACGATCTGTCTTAAATAATATAGCTAGAAAGTCCTTGTACATTCCAATTCTTATATATTTTTATCGCAAAGATTGGATGTGATATCGAATCGAAGATTTCATTAAACGTTCATAATAAACAGATATCAAATACATATAATCGGTTATAATATGTATAATCGGTTTAATACCTAACAACGCAATAAGATGGTTCTGTTAAGATGCATGACAGTGTTACTCGTAACATTAAAATCCTACCAAAACTATTTCGTGGAACTTCTCAATTCTCTTTTATAAAACTACAGGATAATTTTATTAGGCTTAGACATGGCATCCGACGTAGCCGGAGCAACCTTCATGGCGGCTGCCAGTTCAAGCCCAGAACTGTTCATCAACTGCGTAGGCACGTTTGTGACGGAAGGAGATTTAGGAGTTGGAGCAATAGTGGGCTCCGCAGTGTTCAATGTCCTCGCTGTGCCAGCATGCTGCGCCTTGGTTGCTGGCAAAGTAACTTTCATAAAAATATTTAAAAAAATACTACAACTTTTTTGTTTATTTTATGATTTATTTAAATATATTTATTAATAATGACAAGAACCTCTAGTCGATAATATACAGATTGAAGTAACAAAGTAAAAATTTAATTAATTGAAATTAAGCTACAATTTTATTGCAAAATTACAAAACAGATTATTGAATTGGACTGGTGGTCGGTATCTCGCGACTGCATGATGTACGCAGTAGCGGTAGTGGCCTTGATACTAACGCTGCTTGACGACAAGGTCTTCTGGTACGAAGCACTTCTACTCGTACTGATGTACACTTTTTATATTCTCGGTAAGTTCTACGCAAGTTTTATAAAATATATTTCAGGAATTATTATATGTATATAAAAAAGCTGAAAAAATATTGAATTTCGTCTTTTTTTTTACTTATGGTCTATAAAGTTTGAATATTTTAATTGTTTTACACAGCTATGGTCTACAATGGAAGTCTTGGTTCCTTCGCTAGAAGTGGCTGTTGCTATTTCAATAAACCCAAGAAATACACTGAAATAACTCCACTTTTACATAAAGGTGATAAAATATTACCAAGTTAAGAAATATATCTAACGACTATAGAAGATTTCATCAGAATTATCATTACAGAGAAAAGTAACCCTTTGGAGGCCTCGCAACGCATGACGCATGTCAATCAGAACATCAATGACTTAGAGAACGGAATTGAGGTTACAAAACGACATAATTCAACTGATTCCGGTAACTGTTTATAGTACACAAGCAAAAGATATCACTACATGCTCATGGAATATATCCCGAGTAGTAGATTTCATAGCAGTTCTTATATTTTAGAATCAAGTTTAAGCTCTCTCTGGTCATGGCCAGATGAAAACACTACTGGCTCCCAAAAAATCTTCTGGATGGTGACGTGGCCGATCAGTTTGATGCTGTGGATTACGATACCAGACTGTCGTAAGCGCACCCGGCTTTATCCTCTCACCTTCATCATGTGCGTTACTTGGATAGGAGGAGTATCTTATTTGGTAGCGTGGATTATCACTATTGTTGGTATGTTATTTACATTATTCTGAAAATCATCCATTTAAAAAGTTCTTTCGTTTCTAAATAATAAACAGACATTGAACTTGTATCACCATTTATGTGAATTGACACCTATTGATATAATCAAGCCCAATTCTCATAAGCCAGTTCAAATTATAGTATGAACGATAATGCGCACTATTGCTTTGACCTATATTTTTCCTGCATCTGAACCCATCAGCGCCTTTGACAAAAGGTATACTAAATATCATACAAGATGTTTGAAACATTTCTAACAATAGAAGTTTATATAAAAATATTAACTTAAATAGACTCATTACTATTATAACATAACTTGTTTTCAACATTTTTGTTAGAATTAATAACACATAAATAATATCAATAAACGATAAGAAGTCACTGAATATTCATTTGTACTATTTTGTTTAATTTAAATTTCTCTTAACGGCAGTACTTAGACTCAGTGATAGGTCTTGATCAATAATTTTCTAGAAACTAAGCGAAAGTGTACTCTCCTGAGTGAAAATCTCATAATAGAAACGACTACTAGTTGTATCAAAGGACCTAAATGCCAAGATACCTAATATTTTAAACAGTATACTTTTGTAATATAAAACCATTTACGCACATAATATTCAGCCACTATAAAACAATACGGACAAGATTCTTACATAAAGAGTACGACTTTTATTATCAAAATAATTTAAAAATTAAAAGTTGAAATAGTTACAGACCAGGTCGTCAAATTAAATTTTTTATATATGTCACTGTTGGAAAAATTTATTAAAAAAACATGTAAAAGCATATATAGAGGTGTAAGATTTTTCTAACATGAACTTTTTGACCCTCACAAAAGCATGACTTAACCCGATTACCTATTACAGGTGACACTCTTAATGTACCCGACAGTATAACAGGACTAACAATTTTAGCAGCAGGTACAAGCCTCCCGGAAGCAGTGTCCAGTGTTCTTGTAACAAATCAAGGTATGAATACCTTACTACCTAATAATAATTAATTAGCTATGTAGGAATAGTCTTCAAACTTCTGATTGGCTAGTCTAACCTAGACGATTTTTTAAATTTACCGACAAATTACATCATACTATACAATAGCTATTAGAAGTTAAAATAAAATTCATAATTATTGACACTTTTGTTATTAGGACACGGTAATATGGGTATAAGCAACTCCATAGGTTCCAACACCTTCGATATACTACTGTGTTTGGGGCTGCCTTGGCTTATTAAGTCACTGTTCTATCCGTCCTATCCCGACAACCACTGGGTAAGAATTTAATCAGATAGTTCACCAAAACAAAGTTACCACATATTATCGAATATCTAATTTTGACTACGTACCTTTTTAGTATCGCGGCTATGTTGATAATATAAAACTACTTGTTACAGGTAAAGATAAATTCCAGCGGGTTATCCTACAGCGCCATCTCTCTCCTTTCCACGTTATTAGCTCTATACAGTTGTCTTGCTCTTAATAAATTTCAATTAGACTGGAAAATAGGAATCACGTGTGCGTTCATTTACGCCGGGTTTTTGTTAATGGCTTCTTTGATTGAGCTTAATATTCTTTTTGATGTGAATTTGCCAATTTGTGCCCATTTGTAAGTAAAACTACTGAACTTAAAGAGAAAAACGATTCGGAGTTTTCAATGGCTTAATTTACTTAGCTTTATTAACCACGTTTTAGTTATTATTAATTAACTACATTATATTGATTTGAAAGTTGTGGCCGTTAGTTTAGACTAAGGTGGAAGGTCTCGTAGTAAAAAAAATATAATTTTTCACCATACCCAATAACTGTAGCGACTAATCAATTGTTTAAGAGACAAGTTATTAGTGTTAAAAAATATTAATTAAGCGGCTACTTTGAAACTGTTTCAATATTATACGTAAATGACCCATGTATATTGCTATAAAGAAATACATTATTACTATATTAGTTTTATTATTATAATAATATGAAAAATCCCTTAAGCTACAATGACAATATAGGAATAACTAAAGTCTTTAAAATCTTTAAAAAATTATGAGCCGCCTTAACTTTATCGAGCCTTTTCGAATTATAAAACACGACAAACAATACGATATCAATTGTAGAAGTACATACATTTTTTCATCGAACGTCTTGTAATTACTACTCAACTAGCCATCACCGTCAATATTTAATGGAAATAGTCTTGTAATTGCGCATAACGATACCGACTCTGTTCCTAGGACGGCCAACGTCCCGTGCTAACATAAATTAAGTACCATCATTATTAATTCCTTAGTAGACATTTACGAGATGTTTGTACGCTATTACTACATTGATGGCAATAAGCTCTGTGGTTATTTAAACCTATTTCAATAGAACAATAATTTAATCTACGCTAACATAAGAAAAACATGCTTTCACTTAAATAGCGTGATGTCAATTCTGTTGCGAATTAGATATCTCTCACGCGTTTCTGTGGTCTACATGGTAAGAAATAATATAATTTGCAATAAATTTAATTCATTGTACACCAATAAAATAAGATAATATATATATACTTGGGGTTACATGTTTTTATTATATTTACCTTTACCAAAATAAGTTACATTAATTAACATATATATTTTTACATGTTTGTCTAGCTCATTAAAAAACGAGAAGTTAATCTTATATACAGATAAACAGATCAAATCAATTAGAAAAATGTGTTTATTCTATCTATATCTATATACATATATAAAAATGAATTGCTGTTCGTTAGTCTCATAAAAACTCGAGAACGACTCAACGGATTTATCTTATCTTAGTCTTGAAATGTTCGTGGAAGTTCAGGGAAGGTTTAAAAGCTGAAAAAAATTGATTCATTTCCGGGAAAAACCCTAAAAACAGCCCTTTTCTATTTCCCATACAAACGTTTTTTTATATTAGATTTGACAACTAACTAATATGTCAATCATTCTGTTCAATTGAACAGGAAAAATTTAGTAAATACCAATATCTGGTTATTTAAGACGGAATAGAGTTCGCCCGGTCAGCTATACATATATTACTAATAACGAAATTAACGCGGATGAAGTCGCGGGCAAAAACTAGTAAGAGATAAAATTATATTTCATTGTGAAGGTGGAGATCAGGAAAAGCCCTCCGACGTTAAGGAGAGTACTACAGTGAGGGATTTTAACCATCACAGTAGCAGAATTTGTTTAAAATCAATTCTGACATTTTTGTGTTAGAAATTACATGTCTACTGCTCTTTAATTATTTAGTTCAGAAGTCATATTAAAAAACATTATATTTTTAAAAAATTTCAACACTTATGGTAACCAGGGTTTTTATAAATTCAATGAATTCTGTTTCAAGATTTTTTAAGTCTTAGTGATCTTGGCTGACGAATGTGATCAATATTTAAATATATAATTAACATTCATTACTTTCTTTTTATTCTACTTGACTTAATATTCTTTTTTCATATACAAGTTTTATTACATCCAATAAAAATATGCTTAAATTATCAATAATATAAATAAATTAATACCATAACATCCAACGAAACTACATACATATATATATTATAAATTCGAAATATATGTATTGTGCCGAGTAGCAAGACTGAATGACAGACTTAATCTCATGATCCCGTGATCTACCTGCATTATACTTGATATCATATTATTATTTAACAATACCGATCAAGTATAACTAATACACAAACATAATATAATTATTGAATTTTACACTGAATGAAGTTTATTACACTCTGTTGGCACATGTTAGGTAAATGCTATATGATCACGCACATATAGAGCATAATCATTATCATTACAGAATATATCTACGCTATTTTAAAACGGAGACAAATTGTTGATTTTTCTTTAATGGCTTAAATATATCCAGTGTATAAATAAATAAATTTTATAAATTAAATAATTTATTAAAGTCAATTATTTACATTTTTAACTTAACACAATATACCGATTATACTTAAGGTTTACCTACTTTTTGTTAAAAAAATCTTATGGTCTATTTCAAACATTAATATCAGAAAAACAAACAACTGTGTAGTAAAATAGTTTCAGAAATTTGCTTCCAAACGAAAAAATGTCAAAATTAATAATTATATATTTTTAAATAAAGAATATAAATCTGTAGATTTTGATAGCTATTCAATCACGCTAACGAGCAATAAAAGAATTGCCGGAAACTCTTCATTTTAATGGATTACGGATACTATGTGCGCCTGTAGTCGTGAAATGTGTAAGTAGAATTTACAATTATCTAGGTATAATTGTTTTAACAAGACGTTCCCATAAGCTTGGACGTCGAGTTGTCGTATAAGTTGTCATTGGCATGCAAATCCTGAGCGGTGGACGGGTAGAGGGTGCCATAACGAATGGATAAGGATGTCTTTCTATATGAGACGTGGATGATCCAACAAGATTTATGGGCTGCTTTTGAATTTTTGGATGGGATTTCACAGGTTGCTTGGTCTTTGACCCTCCCAGCACAATAAGTGGAATGCCGGGCTTAGGTCTACTTGGTTTTGTAATTTTTGGTCTACTTGTTGTGGTAGAAGTCGTTTCCAGTATTTCATGAAAAACCGAGTCCTCGTAGTCTTTCGATTCATCAGCTATAGGTGCGACGAACATTACTTGGCGTAGACTGTTTATGTCCTGAACTAGCTTAGCGTGTTCTTTGACCATATCTTCACGATTTAATGGAACCAAATCAATCCTTCGAGAAAATTCAGGTAGAGCACTATAACTATATTTAGGTGAACTTGTTTGAATTAGTCCTGACCATTTTTTGGATAAACGCCAACCTAAAATTATGGTTTAATATACATATCTAATGTTATCACTTTATTATATAATTGAAATATTACCATTATATTTACCTGTATCAAGAGATCTTATTTGAAGTGATGAAGGATAGTCAAAGCAATCGTACTGAAACGAAGAAATTATAAATCAATGACATCGCACGCAAATGTTATTAACTTAAAAGTAACTAGTTATAAGGTAATTGCAAGTTAATATTGATCGGAAGATGTAAACCTGCCGGTAATATATTTCTTTAATCATAAAACAAAACATTACTGATTAATTTGTTAAAGTATCACGCACATTACTTACATGCTAAGATAATATCACGGAAGTAATTTTTTTTTATAATAATTAGACATGAGTAAGTTTGTATCACTCGCTTCGCTCTTTATAATAATCGCTTTGCGTTTAAAATGTTCTATAAATAAATAAATAGACAATAACTTATTGCTATTAAATTCTTGGGGACCGACATTCGATATAAAACAAATAATGTGTCCATTAAAAAATAAGTGTTTTGTTTCATATACCTTATATTTTTAGAAATAATCATTTAATTTAAATAAATGATACACTTTTATGATTCACTGATAAAACTTAACCATTGCTATGGAAATAAAATACAAATAAATATAAATAAATTCAAAAAAATCTATATTATACTTTACAATGTGTACTTTAAAAAATCATTAACTAACTTGAAATTAAGTAATCTGTTTGTTTGAAACTATTTTATATTTTTCATTAACTAAACTGTTTGATAATTTGAAATAATTTTAAAGCAAAAAAAATTATTCATTAACAAAGTTGAAAAAAAAATCTATTAATTAACAAAACATCAGTTAAGTAAAATTATGTATATACTTCTTTCGTGTCAACTGTCATGTTACAAACAGACAGTACTTTCTGTTTCAAGAGAAAAAACAGATAAAAGGCCTAACAGGCTTACAGTCGTACACGCTTAGTTTGTACTAATTAAAAAACAATAAGAAAATGCTGAATAATTCCAAACTACTATTAATTATAAATTCAATAAAAACATATAGAGACTACTCACGATACGAAAAAAAATAAGGCATTTAGGTCACGATTTCGACAAAGTTTCTTGGTTAATTTTACCGATTTTACAAACACAAAATTCAAAACCTCCATTAACAACAGTAATATTTTTTCAAATTCAAACTTCACATAATTAATTTTTTTTATAAAATACAGGAGGTGAAATAACAGAGAAATGTTTTATTTTCAGTTTAAAATATATGTTAAGTTATGAGTATACCTCACTGTGATTATTGTTTTAAAATATTCAGTAATAACAACAACAGTAACGTGTAATTATTATGATTATGCATTTTTTCCAAAAGTAAATAGCTAGCATTTCTATTAATCTAGCTTATTTTTATATGCCTACATAACAAAACAGGAAAATTTTTAAAACAGCCTAAAAACTTAAAAAGCCTAAAAACTTGTTTTAATCATTCTGAAGAATTATAATATAAAATGATTATTAAATAAACTTCTTGGATATCCAGTTACACGGTAAAATAATAACTGCATAGGCACGTTATTGAATACGTGTTCTAAGGACATCAATTATATCGGGACAAATACATTATTAGTGACCTCAACCTGGACCTTAGATCGATCAAATTACGCTTAACTTGAAACTAACGGCTCTTTAATCAAAATCTATTTGAAGTATACCTGAGGACGTGTATATCTTGAGTTCAGAAGCCGAACGTCCAACGTGGTACCCCCTACCACTGATGTTGCTTGCCACACCACCAACCAAAGCCACATGTTTACTACGACTGACACTGCTGCCTCCGCCTACCACCGAATACCACCAGTTCACCACCCTCCCTCAAATGTGTAAATGGAATAAGAATGTAAGTTCGACATACATTCTACAATTCCACCTTATAATGTTTTTATAATATTGTTTTATTAAAAGTGAAAGTAATTTCAAACATGCATCGTCCGAATAGTTTTTGTATATATAATTATTATAAGAAATATTTACCAGCTTTTGACATGTCTGCAATTGAATTCTGACGTCAAAATAAATAATCATTAATACACGATTATTGCGATTTAATTACAGTATAGATTAATATATTGCTAATTGAATAACTGAACAAATATGTGGGAATGGAAACGGCAGCTTTTGATGGTGAATAACGTCGATTCTTCCAGAAATGTTTGGAGCTATTTGAAGCGGATTCTTAATAATCTCGAAAAAATGTCAACAAGAATTTTAAATAACTTGTAACCAAACCTAAAAATAAATAACTAATTCGTTTTACAAATAAAAATATACATTAAATTTAAACGCAACATTGACACTAATACATAAAATTAATAGGTGAAGATAACTCATGACAGTCGTTAAGGTGTAATTGAAAGCTAGCAAGTTTCTTTTTTCATACCCTGTAGGGCATCCAGTCCCTAAGAAAATAACGCGTTTCTAAGACATCTTCTTGACAACGAAAGTTATCACTACTACTACATCTACTGATTTATTTAAATATTTCTCTATGTATATTTAGAAGTAAACAAATTCACGGTTGACCATACATTTAATATATTAAGTTCAACTAAAAACGTCATATCACAATTTATTTATAACCAGAAAAAAACAGTTAAATATATATTTTTTCTAAATCATGAGCTAACTGTTTAATATAAATTTCTAGACAAGGTAGCATCTAAACGTAATATATTATTATTAAAACACTTGTCCGTGGTAAGGTATCTTTATTACAAATATTTAAACGATACCATATATTTACAATATAACAAAATGTTACAAAACTTTCTTACGGCGCACTTCATATTTCTTAACAAAGGACTTCCACAGCGCCATTCCATCATTCTTACATTAATAAAAGAAAAACATCTTTAGACTTTAAACTAAATGAAAACAATCTAAATTTAAATAATAAATATAAACCATCCTCCTTAGACAACAGAAAATTTTGTAGGAATGCCTCAATCTAATCCAGTTAGTGTGGTATTATAACCTACTAGTATCGGCACTAAATTAGGCATAGGCTAGATGGGCCAATTGGCAATACTGATTCCACACATTCGTATCAAACAAATGTCTGAAATATAATAAATGAAACATTGTATTATCTAGATCAAGAAATTGCAAAGGCTACATATATAATTATGAAATATCAGCTGAATCAAAAATACATGAACATAAATATTATATAACATATCCGAAATCAACTTCATTACAAAATATAAATCATAATATGAATCATCAAACATAAGTCAAATCCTACTTTAAACACTAAGAGATGACAGTGGTAGAACATATTACTTATATCATACTAAATTAAGACAAAACTTAAGTTGTCGAGGCATTTTCCATAGAAATTAAACATTTTGAAATATGAAAAAATATATACAACAAATCAATCGCAGTACTGGATACGAGAGTCATAAGAATATAATCAAAAACATTAATACATGTCAGATACCTATAGATATATATCTAAATAAAAATTAAACCAAACATTTAAAAAAATATTATATCTGATTATTTGACATAATATTTTCATACACGAAAAATATAATTACAGCAATTCTTATTAATTAATAAGAATAAATATATTATACCCTTCTATGTCAGTACACAGCCTATGTATAAACAAGCATAGTGTTAAAATATATTTGTACCTGAGGCAGTAACAACACAGTTCTCAATTGAAATAAGCAACTCAAATATACTACATTATACCAAATGTATTTTATAAACATTGCTGGTAATATGAAATATAGGATTTACCACAAAAATAATTCACATACAATCTAGTAATTTTGTGTGAACCTGCCAATAAGCTGGGGGTAAATAAAATATACCAGCATAAAGTCATTCCTATGGTTACAATGCAAACAATGTTGTTATCTATAAGGCTTCCAAGCATAATTTCGAACATCACACATTTAACTATTGTATCAAATACGTTAACCAATTTATATTAAGACTTAATAAGAATTCGATCATCAATGTTGACAAAGATCAAAATATTCATACATTACTTTAACATTAATCATAATTTACTGTCCCCTTTTTATTTAAGTGATCTAAATTTTTTTGGTGCCTGGAATTCGTTGTTATTCATTAATAAAAACAATATGACAATAAGTTATTATTGTTGAAATGGCGTTCTATAAGCACTGAGGCCTAAATTTACTTGAAAATAATAAATCAACAGATAGCTTAAATGTTTAAATGTAAATTGTTTGAAGCTAAGATAAAACCACTGTTTAATTATGAACACTGATGACATACTTCCGCATAATTTTCAATATTTTTTGAATAGGATTAGTCTTCACCTTTATTCTATAATAGCTTTAATGAAATAACAGATCTCGTACTAGGCATATATGAGAAAGCACACAATTCTCATTGTGGATATATTTTTTTTTTATTTATATAATGATGATATACTTTCACACTTAGAGTATGTATACAAATTGTTAAGTGTTAAATTGGCATAATAATGCATCTGCATCAATATATCTATATTTCCCTTGTAATTGAGCCAAATAAGTATCATGTTTTAATGTCATATTCAGTACAGATAAAGTAAAAAATTATATATGTAACAATAAATACATATATCTGGATATTCTCTATATATTATACATACTCTAAGTATTTAAATTTCTCAACAAATATTTGGTAAGACTTTTTCAAATTTCCTACAAAAAAAAATCGGATAATAGTTGAACATATAATAAGAAATATCATAAGTCGAATAGACGAACATATAATAAGAAACTTTCGATTCGATCGATTTTTATAATAAAAGTTTAAAGGTAGTCAGCATTAATCATTTTAACATTGATAATTACTTAAAAGAAAAACTTACATCTTCTTTATAATTAATTTCAATCAATTCAATTAATTTTACTGGGAATACATCCTACTTTCACTTAGCCATTGAGGTAAAAATTGTGAAGAAAGTCTGTAAACTTTCCAACTAACATAAGTAATAAAGTAATTTTTTTAGCTAATTGCAATCTCTTTAAACATTATTTTAGATAAACTTCGCAATTCGCTAACACTTTGTCTATTACAAAAGACTATTACAAAAATATACATCGTTTTGTTAAAAATAATATTTGTTTTTACATCTGACGATAATACAATCGAAAACTGTATTGATATCAAATACTTTTAGTCCGATATTACGAAACAGTACACTTAGTCCAAGTTTTAATCGTCACACTATGTATAGTTTACGCGGATCTTTACCCATTTGTCATTCAATAACCGATATTAATACTAAAATGTGCGAAGATTTATTAAAACTGGTAACCCATATATAGCATTACGATGTCGACTTGACCTTATTATTCAGATTCAAAATTTGTTTATTTTTGCTTTAATTCAATATACATGAAATTTCTCATCATCAAACAATGTATCAAAGAGACTACAACTAGATGATAACATTTTAATACGTAAAGTGAAACACTGCCATAAATATTGTTCAATTTATAGTACATTTTTACATTATTTTTATTTGCTCAATATATCACCGGCTTGTAGCCGAGGCAGTGGCATAGTGCTGTTAACTCTTCAGTATATCTATTATAGTTTTGTGATAGAAGCCTTATTCTACTGGATATTTTAAACAGCGAATTTCAATGGTTGATGCTCCAATATCAGTCTATACAATATTCATATATCACTTTGTTTGCAGTGGTTCTGTCAAAAGCGGTCATTGGTGAAACAAAAATAATCTTATAATGCGAAGCAGCAGATTAATAATAATCTACACTTATTAAATCTAACATTTTAACCCATCTACTTTAAAGTAGAGTGATTTTTTTTTCTCTTCAATAAAGATTTATATTTTGAGGGTACACTATCTATATTGGAATGTGTACTGATGGTACACTAATGATGTTATCTCCAATGTTGAAGTGACAAGGCATCGGCAAGCTCTCGGCGTTTCAATATTGTGATTCCTGAAACAATCGTTACATTTTTTTACTTAAAGATGAATGAAAGCTTTGTTTATGCAATATTAATTGATACGTGACACCATCTAGTACTAATATTTCAATAGATTGTGTTATTTAAGGCGCGTTTTGTATCTCGCTAGTAGTCGCGAATATAGGGCAATATTTTTAACTTGTGTACGTATACTTCTTTTATGACTATAAGAATTGTTAATAAAAACATTCTGAATAATTTAAATAATGTAAAGCTTTGAAATATAAACAATATAATGATAACTGAGACTGTCGCGAGTATTCATTTAAATAAAACTATTATTTTCGGATGTAATTTTATTATTTTAAACTTCATCCCGACGTTTCGGTTACTTTGTAGCAATTATGATCACAGACAGAGGAGATAAGAATTTTATCCGAAAATATTAATTTTAGTTTATATAAAAATATAATTTTAATGAAAAATAAATGTTAATATTTTATTACTGACGCTTGAAAAGAGTAAATGTTCCAAAAGCGCAAGGATTCTATCGAGCAGTCAATTAATATCACAAGTTTAAATCGAGCAATATTTGGCAAACAAATATAAATTGTCGCGTTAAGCAATAGCAATTGAGTATTTTGAGAAATATATGAATAATTCTGATTAATTACGCATTTTAATACTATGTATATAACGCCAAGCATTTTCACATTTAATTAAGAAAGCTGTCAAATGAAATGAATACATATTTTCGCCTCAAATGTTTCTAGATTTCAATTGTATTGTTAAAATATACTTAATAGATTTTATTTAGTAATAAAACAGGGATACTTGTAGTTTTTGAGATACTTTAATTTTCGCAACATTATTTTTAATTAAATTCCAAACCCATGAATCAAAATATATGTTCAATGCATAACTATTATTAGCACAATCGTATTTTCTATTACAAAATGCGTAAATTACAATTTATTTTATTAAATTTTATTTAAAAAGTCGCAAGCTTCTAAGAAGTTCATACTTAAAATGATAAATGTAATATTATTTTGCCATGCGCCTTATAAAAACTATATTATTAACAGACATACTTAACCAATTGCATTGCGTTTTTTAACTTAGTTTCAATTACTTTCTAAATACATACTTTATATATGTAATGATAACTATTTTGCCATCACATATTCACAAATTTTATCTTTTGATATATTCAATCATATCAATCAAAGGCTTAGCAGTTCATACAATACAAAAATCATATAATTTGCGTAATATTTACCTATTTCTCTTTACTCGGTGGTGTGGTAGGTTTAACTGGTTGCGGTATGATTGTGATTTCGTCGTTAATCTTCAATGGCTTTAATAGTGACTGTCCAGCCTTCGTCGAAGGCGCTGGTTTCCCTTTGTCCATAACACGTTTAGCTACAACGCTATGAGCCGAATAAACGTGGTTTTCAAATTGCTTATACATGCCGAAAGTTGCTGTACAAACAGTGCATTTATATGACAGGTGGGCTGGCTTCAACGTTAAGTGATGATCTCTTGCGACGTGGTTTAGAAGCTTCCATTGGTACACCTGGAAAGATATTCATAGTTCCTAAGCTAATGTACAGAAAACGTTGCCTTTTTATAAGGTAACAAACCAATTTTAAACCAATTAAATTTTACTGAAATTCCTTTATTATTCGTTTACTATTGCTCAAAAATAAAAGACAGATTAAGAGCGAAACGTTCAGATACATCACTATAATGCTGAAATATATTTTAATGAGCTTGTTTCATCCACAAAAAGTAATATAGTTTCTAAATCATAATATTTATAGTATTGGAATGTTATTGCAGTAACAAACTTATTGAATTCAAATATATTATGATAAATATACACAAAATGTCATACCCTTCCACAAACGGGACACCTGCCAGCATCTTTGCCTTTATTCGCTGCTTCCTGCATAGAGCTTGTAACTAAGCCATGAGATCCCAACAGATGTCGCTCCAAGCCCTGGTCTGTGAAAAATCTGAAAAAAGAAACAGAATTTATGAGAAATTGGAAATAAAAGCAATACAAATAAATGCATTAAACAAATATTATTTTTCATTACACTAACACTCTTCATACATACCTAAATTGACATTTTTGACAATTGAGAGGGGGCCGATTGTATATCATTTTAGGATGGATTTTCACTTTGTGTATCCATTGCATATGGTTTCTCAATTGCTCCAAATCTTTAATATAACCATCACATATTTCACAGATCACACATGTGTTCTTATTCTGTTGTGATGGCTGTGGCTGTTGTTGTGGTTGTGGCTGCCGTGGCAATGTAGTGATGGATATGGATGGTTGATGGAGAGATTTGGATACTCCTAAGTTCTTTCCATTATTCTAAAATTAAAAATCACATTGCTTATTACAATATTAACACCTAAATTTACAACCTAAAAGTGTAATCTTTAGAAACCCATTTATTTCTCAAAGCTCTGGGATACCGAAAGAGGAATTCAAATATTACATCTCTTCAGTTTAATATTTGAAATATATATTTTAAATAATATGAAAATTATAAAAGTAAACAAAACGCTATTTCAGTTTTAGTTAATTTGCTCTAACAAACTATAAATATTATTAGAGACGAAACTTCTCAGCATTCCATGGATTCAACGTTTTACAAAAATAGAAAGTTTTACTGTGCCTGGCTTATGACACAGGTGTAGGTTTAAGGGGCCCCTATCTAACTCGCGGTAAACGTTCACATCCATCCATTTCCAACGAACCTACTAGGCCTTCTAAGCACTTTCTAAAAATGAATTGATGTTAGTTCTGGACAGGACCAAGTCTTTAAGAAGGTTCTAGAGATTTAGCTGTTATACCTCTCGTTCTCACTTCTACCGTTTACAAATATATAATATAACAATAGATTACTACAAGAATGCGAAGAATCTTCTTAACTATCTTTTATATACTTAATTATGCTTCAGATCATAGTGGTTTAAGTATAATTCCAAATATATCAAATTTATAGAACAAAATCAAACAATAGGAAATTTGGTAATATTTTATACATTTGTCAGTAGGACCTTATAATAAAAAATTCAATATTCAATTATTACAAATAGGCTACCACCAACTTAAAATTCCAAGCAAAAAATAAAACTAATTTTGATCAACTAAAGTATACTTACAGGAAAATTGGCACCAGATGCGTTTGCATGCCTGACCATTATTCCGCTGCGAAGTATCGGAATACCCTGAACAGGACTAGATCTGGGCGGAATGGACATAGGAGTTCGACCTCGAGGACGATAGCCAGATGACGTCATAACGTTACCTATAGGTGGCCTGCCTATATTATTACCCACTTGCCCTCGGTGAAAAGAACTTGTATATGAACCCATCATAGGATTACGAGCTCGTCCAATCTGACAACATTAATAAATACTTTTATATGAATGCTGTTAATTTAATTAAATATACAAGTACAAAGTTATATACTATACCTTTGGTATTTTTGCTGGGGGTTCCCATTCAATGGGTGGAGACAAATTAAATTCTGGTTTAAACTTTTTCGTACATGATATTATGTGGCGAGCGAGCTTTCCTTTTCCATTATCTTCAAAAGGACAATTAGCGCACTGATGATTTGAGGGTGCCCTTTCCAACTTCCCTCTGGTATTATGCTCAGCTTCCAAATGGTACAGTATATCATGAGGACTTCTACTTTCATAAGAGCAAAAGTTGCACTTATAAACACTATTTTTCATATGAGGTGTTTCCAAATGATGAGCCATGACCAGCAGTGACTCAGATTTGAAACTACAAAACTCACATTTATGTTGTTTAAACCTGTATGGTGCATTGTTTTCCTTACTGAATTCTAGATTCTTGGTAAGTGATACTATCGATGACTCTGTAATTTTTGTACTATGTCCAGCTTTCTTTTCTCTGTAAAGCTTTCTGTTCTGTTGCTTAAGTAAATCATTTTGCACAAACTCCTGAACAAGATTGAGGCCGATATTCATGAAAAATTTACCAAGGGAGAGATCAAAATAATTATCCGATTTTCCAGTGACAACTTTTTCTACAGTCAATCCTGTGACATCTTTTATATCATCAATAGCATCGGCCTTGTCTTTAATTACGACGGTCTTATCTTCTTCGTCAGTTCCGATTTCTTCCTCAGTATCTGTAGATGATTCGCCATCCCAGGAAGCATCATCATCATGGCCGGTCCGACGTCTGTCTACAAAATTACATAAAGGAAATTAGTTGTCTTATATATGTATTAAAAAAAAAAGAAACTACAAAGACTTTTTATGTTCGACATACCTCTTTTATCTTCAGACTTCTTTTTACTTTTTTCTTCAGCTACACTCTCCTTTTTGCCATCATCTTCGTGTTCTTCTTCTGACTCTTCTAATTCATCACTTTCCGTTTTTTCTTGTTTCACTTTATCCTTTGCTTTCTCTTCTTTTTCTTTATCCTTCAGCTCTTTTTCTTCTTTGGCTCTTTGCTCTTTTAATTCGTTACCTAAATTATTTACAAATTCTCTAAAAGGTTTTATAGAAGGTTTCTCATATACATAAGGTACTATGAAAGAAGGTGCTTCAACAACGAACATATCATCTGTTAGAGAAGGTAGTATCAACGGCTGTGAGCTGGAGTTACTTTGACTCGACAAGTTATTATTCTTGCTGCTAACAGGAGTGACCGTGGTGCCGCGGGCTACGATACTTTGATATAAGCTTTGAGCGGCTAGAGACGAACTAATAGACGACATATTATTCCTTTTCACTGAATGCGCTTTTCCAGTGGAATTTGTATCAATGATAACTACCGTAGGTTCTTTCTTTTGAAAACCTGATTTCATTTGCTTCGAAACCATCTCGACCAAAGCTTTAGTGTCATTAATAAATATAGGTTTTGTTTTCCGCTTATAACAATCATCGAGAACAAGGTCCTCTAAGTCGGATTCCCGATCACCGTTTCCTATTTCATCATCGTACCTTTTTCTTTTGATAGTCCTGCTACTTCTTCTTAACTGAGTCACTTTATTGTCCACAACTGGTTTTTGCTCCTCTTCTATAACACAATCTTCATTATCACTAGGAATTTCATGAACCTCGGAGCTTGAGCAGTCGTTTAAACTTCCATTAAGTGTATCAGACCTATCATTTTGTGGTAAGACTACATCATTATTTTGTAATCTATGTTCACTTTCTTGGGAGGAATCATCTTGCACTTCTGTTTCTGATTCTGAATTAATGCTGACGGTTTCCTCTGCTCTTGGTTCTAATGAAGTCTCCGAAGAATCATCTTCTGATGATTCATTCTCCGTTTCAACTTCGTCGGATATCTAAAATATAAAAATAATTTTGTATTACCAAAACAAATCTACCGCTTTATCTAAAATTAAAGTCTACAACGAGAAAATCTAAATTTATTAACAAGCGCATAAGAAACCTGTAGATGCACGGTTATTTTAATAGCCACTCAGTAACAAGAACTTCATTTGTTCATTTATTAGTCTTCTATAAACGTAACATAGAGAAAACTGAAGAATAATTAACTCAACAACCTGTTGTTAGAAATTTGATATTAAACAAAAACTTTTTTTAAAGAACACTTTCATGAAAAGTTAACAGAATTAGTAAAATGAACAACGAAACCAGATTAAGAGAACATACGAATAAAAAGGTTTTATTTTACGTTTTAAGAAAAACGAAATATATGTACATAATAAACACGTCGGAGAATGACCCGATAGCAATCAATAACTACAACTGTAAAAAAACGCTACAGATTAAAAAAGGATGACTGCAAAATAACCTTGAATAGTAAGAAGTGTCTGCGTTATACTCTCTTTAATTTTAGGGACTTTTATTTTTTCAATAAATAATAATATTTTTTATACACTTTCTTCTGGTGACCTAGTTTTCCCTAATATGGACACCAAATAATTTAAATCTGGAAAATCTCATTCAGAAAATTTTAATTCGCATTAATCGAAACTTTTCTCGCAAGCGTTATTCAGACGTAAATGAGATACCGAATTGTAATTATTCCGTTAGAAAAGGTCATCATTTTTTTTATGAAAGACGGACGTATTAAATTCTATGTGATCTCTATGTCATTAGGTTACCTTTATATATAAAAATTAGGTTACCTTTGTCAACTTAAAATTGGATCACAAAAAACCACGTATGTAGATGATATAGAGGTTTTCAACTAATAGTAGTGGATGAGTGACGAATACTTATGACCATGGTGGCACACGTTTTAAAATATGTATGGAGAATTTATGGTCAAGTTTTTTGTATTGAAAATTTAATTTTTTGATAAAATTCAGTTCGTTACTTACTCTCGAGTTTAGGTACTCGATGTATTACAAACAAAAACATCTTCTGAGGACGTTTTTTCGGGGGCTTTCACGCAACAATTATAGAATTTCAGATTATTCCGCGATCGAACAAAATGGCAAAGGGTTTATTTAAAGAATTTTCAAAATAATATTCTATGTAATGTGAAACAGCAAAGTGAAATTTTGTATGACATCATTGTAACCAGACAGAGCGAGACGTAGAAAATTGTATTTTTCGCTCGTCTCGCTTCCCGTTCTATAAACCGCACTATTTATCCTACTCTAATTTTACGTCTGTAAAATATAATAATAATAATTTTCTGGTTAAAAATCATATGTTACCGCGTTATGGAAATGTCGTTTTTTTTATAATATATATTTAAATTATTTTAATAATATGTATATTTTAATAACATCTTTGACAACAAAAATCTTTAACCCAGATAAATTGATTACATCTAGCTCATCCAGGAATGTAGATTGAAAACAAATAAAAATATATTTTTTTAGGATTAACTAAGTCTATTTGAGATTTATGCATCATTTGCTCACCACCATTAGTTTAAACTAATGGTATATTCACTAGCACCATAGGTATTAAGGTAATTATTTAAAACATCTTGTAGGTGTAGCTGATAATGGTTGCTTATTTTCATAATTATATTTAAAAGCACAATTTGTAATGTTCAAAACAAGTACTTCATTAAAAAGTAGACATTGTTTTATAGGGTAAGTTGAGACATTATAATTATACTCAGAAAAAAATACATTTTTTGCCAAGAAATGGCTTTATCTTATTATTTTGTTAAATGAACATTTTATGTCAGCTAATTAAACAATGATTTCCTAATATATGTGATATGATTTGCTAATATAGTCATCTGTTGTAAACAGTGTTTGCATATATATAAAATTAAAACAGTCATTACTTATTTAATTTGTTAGAATTTTATAAAAAGTGTGAATTTAAGTTAAAGATATTGAAACTCACCCCATTATTAGAATGAACTCTATCTTCTTTACTGTTATCTATTTGTAGTAAAGAGCCCACTGGCTCCTCGAGTGCACATTCAGAGTTCAGTTGAATATTCAAAGAATCAGTATGTGATTCATTGCTATCACTACAATGTTTTTCTAAAGTATTGTTACAGACATCTTCATGTTGCTGCACATCCGTTTCTATAAGGCATTTGTCTGGTTCATGGTCCGCTGTACTGTAACTATTTGTATCTTCTGCTAATACTATATCATTATTTTCTAAGCCTTCAGTATTGTTGGCAGCATGATCATAAGGTTCTAATTGACTACTTTCGCAATGTTTTGTTTCCAGACTGGTCTCTTCATTGGTATCCACATTATGTTCCGGGGAATCTTTTTGAGATAACTCCTTGAGGTCCTCCATAGTACCATTCACTCCCCCATTCATGTTGACCAAACTACATTCCTTGTGTCAAACCTGTCAAAATAGAAACAAACATTGATTGAGGTTATATTTCCAATATTATGATGGTCATGAATTTATACCAAATGACTGAGCGTCACATTTTTTTATAGTGAAGACCGCAACCTCCCGCCGTCCCCTCACCCCTGGCAAGGCGCTAGCAATCAAAATGGCGGTTTCACTGATACAACTTTGTAGAGCTACGTGTACACGTCTTTGCATACGACTTCAAAGGTCACTTCATCATCATAATTGGTGTTCGCAGAAAATGGAACACAACCACATTAACATAATACTTGTAATGTTAACATAACAAAAACACCACCAAGGTTACAAAACTTTCGCTCCAAAAATTACGAACTTACGTTAACCTAATTAATTGATAACTTGGTAAAAAGACGTCCAAAACATGAGATTATTTTTTTAAACTCATGTATATAATATTAATAACTTTTTGGCAACAATCGTATTAAAACCTAAGATTTTTATATGTTAGCAAAAGTAAACAATTGATGCCGGTATTAAGATTATGATCATAATAACATATAAAATAACGATAAAAAGTTTTGTTTAATATGGCATAATAGTAAGAAAACCAACCTGGTACAATTTACGGCGTTCCGTGGCTGACACTTCTGGTAGTCGTTCGACGTTCACTAGTAACTTGGGTTATTTCAATGGTATAAACCCAGGGCTATTTTGTTTTATGAAATATCGTTGTCGATTTTTCACTATAAACTTTATATTAGCACAATATCGAGAAATGAAATTATAAAATTTCACAGGTAACAACATATATCTTCTATTTTATTTAATGTAGATATTTAAAAAATTACAAATCAGGGACTGAGCGACATGATCCCCTGACACAGCTCAAACGCAATATGGCGGCCACCAGCAATGAGTAAGTCAGTCACGTGACTTAAAGTCAAAATAAAAAAAAACTAATTTTTGTGGCATATAAAAATACTCATATTGATATAATTATTAACATACTGAAGTGTGTTTTAACAGGAAACACAAGACTTTGTGAAAATACAAACAGTTGGGAAATATCCAAAAATTAAATAATAAAATTTTAATAACAACCCGTTTACTTAAAATTTTATTAAATCATCCTTTGGTCTGTTTTCTTCTTTTCTATTATTTTAACTAGTTTGTTTAAAAGGTTTTAATATAACTGAATACAATTCGAATAATAAGTTATATCTAAAGTCAAATACTATTAGGTATCATTTACCTTACCCACATATACCTAGGTATATGTTTTAAAAATAATAGCTGTAGCTTCATACTTTTATGACATAATATGAAATCAAATGCTTTTTAACAAATGAAATCTAGGCCATAGGCTTTACGTTTGAGTATTATTAGAATATTAACACATAACTATAAAACCCTCATCCACCCGAAACTATCTCTTTCTCTTATACAACATGTAAATAACGAGTGAAAGAGAGAGAAAATATTTCTATCTTTCTAAAAAGATAAAATTGGCTGATCGGCTGGGTTGGTTTGGAAGGGACAGAATGAGTAAAATTCAAGGAATTATGAAGATCATTTTGAATTTCAAATTTCATGGATATCTGATATAAAATTTAAAAAAGCATAGGTACTATATGAAAATAAAACGTACATGTACTATTTTTATTGCTGGACGTATGTATATTTATAAAAAAAAAGGAATAACCCTCTCTATAGTTGGATTACTTTATTATTACTGAATACGTAAGGTCTTTTGTTGTGATTCAGTCTGTTGATATTTATGACTTCAGTCTCTGTATAACTATTTAATAACAGTAAATCTACTTTTTCATTTTCCAAACTGTATAACGTCTCCATGATGGATCTTAAGAACTGAATACTTTTTATGAATATTTAGATCTACCTATAAATGCGATAATAATTTCTCATAACAATATTGATTTTCCTATGTTTAATTAATATTGTCTTGTTTAAATGTCATACATTACAAAATTTATGAAGGTTGTTTCTTACATAACTAAAAAGACAAATGTAATAAAAAAATCTGACTGCCTCGTTTACTTAGGAATTTACAGCCTACTAAAATAGAGCAATGCTATTCGCAAATATGAATAGGCCAGAATAATATAGAGATGGTTTTAGCACCTTAATTTAATAACAGGGTTATGGAGGTCATCTTTTGACAACCACTATCTCTCGATCAAGAATACCCCACTGCTTCAGAGAAGGTCAAACGGGAAATGACGTTGACACTTCGTTTTGTTCGGTAAGTAAAAATTTTTGAAATCCAGGGAAGGAGGATACGGTTTTGACTTCATGGTCAAGACTCAGGTGCCATTTCTCTGAATACAAACCACTTGAAATTCCTATGTGGGACAACGTGGATGAGGCAGATTGAGGCCCAGGTGTCATTTCACTGAATACAATCCACTTGAAATTTTTAATTCAAATGTTTCAGATACATAAATACTTAGAAGTCTAAACCATAAGAATAATATTTATTTATAGTACCTAATATGCAAGTAGGTACCTAGTAACCTATTTATATTAAAACTATTTAATTTAAACATTTGTCATGTCCATTTAATAAACTATCATAAAATAGGAATTATTAAACAAAAAAAAGCAATTGTATGATAATAGAACAAAAAAATGATTAGATTACAAAATAATTAGCGAACGGAAGCATAATTCCTTGATTTCACCCTTTTTGTATCTATGACATTGAACACATATTTTAACACGCACCTTAAATACTTATTAATTACGATAACTTTTTATTTTTATTTATTCAATACAGTCATAATGTCACTTTTTCGTAATAATGATATAATATACTTCTTTTATAACAAATTCAACAAACAGTTTCATTGAATATTAATTTATTTGTTTATTTTTTCTTATAAATTTATATAAAGTTAAAACTAGAACTATAACATCTCATAAATAATATACATTTAATTTATTTTAAATATTTCCTTATAAATCCAATATAAGATCGAGTCTTACAGTTTTTGAACTATTTTAAACCTATTTTACCAATGCAAAATGATAAAAGATTCAATTATCGATGTCGTATATTATTTAATTAAAAGGAATTGGATACCCCAGAAGTTATAGAAAAAAACTATGTAAGTTATGCATTGTCTTTTATAAAAAAAAAATGATATATATGTATAATATATTCTGATTTCGGCTTACCGCGTTTAAAATATTTCTTAATTTAATATGTAAAAGAAATATTTCTTATAAATATAATATAGAAAAGTTTTAAATTTTTTTATTTTTTATCTCCACTGTCTAACTAAATGACGGAACTTATTTCATACTAAAGTCACGGCACATTCTTTAACCGTTTAGAAGAACATTTTCATACAGAACGTTTCTATCACCATCTATCAATACGTACATTAATTTTGGAAAAATAATAACTTATCAATTGATAATCCCCGAAATTTAAACACTTTGCATTTGTGTAATATATCAAAAATTTTATAAAAAATAGTTAACAGTATCTATACTTAAGCTTTTTAATAGGACGATGTTATAAAATTACTTGATGCTTGTAATATACATAAGTGTGTGAACATTTATTTCAATTTGAAATTAAATCACAAGATGTTAGAAATATAAAAAAACATTGTTAGCTGCGATTAGATATAGGTACATAGTTAAAGAAGCTTTTAATCACACTCTGCTAATATGAGTAAAAATAACTTCAGAAACCTTAATTTGTTTTAAATAACGCATCAACTAAAGACTATGATTGCTTACAATTAAAAGTTGGACTAGATAACAGTAACATATTTATGCCTAGGCAATAAATTTTCAATTGATTTTATACTATTAAATATTTCTTTATTTTTTCTTTATTTCTGCATTTGCAAAAGTATGGGTTGTGTAATTTTTCTAGAAAAATATTTCATTTCATTTCTACACGAGTTTAAGAAAAATAAAGTAAGATCTTATTTTTGTTTTCTGCAAAAAAAAATATATATAAATCTGTACATTTTTTTCAAGACACGCTATATTATGTTTTTGGATCTTCGTAGCTAAGACTTAAGAGAAATGGGCAACTATTTTTAAATGATTTTTTAAAGATGATATAAATTCTATTTGAAATAAAAGTAATGACAGCCAATTTTTTAAATAATCGTTGTTGTTATTCTTTATTCTAGTTTTTCATTTTTAATATATATCTATACCTTACGTGGAGAAAAAATGTATCACAGTGAAACAAAAACTTCAAGTACAAATACTAGTAAAAATAGAGAGGTTTAACTAGCAATAAAACTCCTATTATTTTTCTTAATCCAATTTGGCGGGAATCCATCTTGAGTCAAGCACCTGTCTTTTTAGCCTTTTTTGTCCAGTTTTCGCTCTCTGCGGGCAACTTCAGCTCTCTAATGTCAATTTGGCGGGAAGAAACTTGCACATTTTAACAAATTGATATTTCTTATCTCTTTATACACACTCGAGATGAACCAGGTAGAAGTTACCTGGATTGCCTGAAAGGCCAAACGGCAGGCAAGTCATTTGTAACAATTCGCCGTTGTAGCTTATTCTTAGGAATCTTCGATGCGTGGCTCTTATAATAAGGTGAAAGTATGGCTCGTGGCTACGTGGCTCAAGTCCAGCTTCGCTAACCAGTCGCTGCTTTGTAAAAAGCCTTTGTAAAAATTCAGAAGTGATGGAACATCTGTAAAGGTTTTACATAAACAAAACCATTTAATTGTTTCAAATTAAATATTGGACGTTGAAAACCGTCGCTTTTAGGGATTAGAAAGAGTGTTGATAGAAAACTGGGTGTAATGTTAGTTCTTTCTAATATTATTAATTTTTTTTAACTTTGTATCAGCTGCGACATATTTGGAGTCTTTTTGGTTTGAAAGGCCTTTAATACAGATGGTGTTGGCATTATTAAAGGTGGCTTCTTTAAAAAAGGTATACGAATTCCTTTGATTATATTTTACAGATGAAATCCGGTGCACCTACATGAACCAAAAATACGTAGGAATTTTTCCCAAAGCTTCACAGTTTAATTTCCCCATTATCTGTATTAATATTTTTTTTCTTCGAGATTGTATGCAATCAGCGCACCTACCGCAAAAGACTTGAAGAATGTCATCAGTTATTTTGGAGTATTCAGAATCTTTATTGAAGGAAATTTCAATATTTTTCAAATAATGCTTGTGGATTGAACTTTGTAGTATTATCACTAGACCAGTCTACGATGTTCTGTAACGCTTTTTGAAGTTCTTCTTTTTGACATATTAAAGCATTTGTAAGAGCTGCGAAAGTGTTGTAAGAGTTCTGAAAGACGATGCTATAATGAGGTAAGAAATATCAATTTGTTAAAATGTGCAAGTTTCTTCCCCCCAAATTGATATTAGAGGGCTGAAGTTGCACCGGAAGGGAGCAAAAACTGGACAGAAAAGGCTAAAAAGACAGGTGCTTGACTCAAGATGGATTCCGGATGTCAACATGGAATAATAATAATCAATAGTTAATTTCCATATGATATCGCGTCTCAGCGTATAGTAATTTGTTAATCACTATGAAAAAAATAATTTAATTAAAAACTTTTACCTTAAAACGATTTTATTTACTACTGTTTTATATATAACTAGCTTTTGCTGCGGCTTCGTCCGCGTGGAATAGTGACTTCCGGCAGATTTTTGGTTCTTCCCACATAGTTCCCGATCTTGCGGGGTTTTCGGAATGGTTGAGTTCCCGTAGAGTTTTCAGGATAAAACCTATGTTTTTTTTATTAATAATGAAGTACTCTTAACCAACAACATATTTATTTGTTTATATGAATAAAGATTAATATTATTATTTTGATACAACTGAAACAAATTATTTCGACTAAATTAGGTACCATAAAAACGGTTTTTGTGAGTAAATCTTAAACGATAGACATATACTGTCGCGGACTGTTTTTTAGATCATTAAAAGAGCTTTTATTCTTCAATACATATTTTTTGTGTATCTTGAACCGTTTTCACGGCGCACGCAACGGTAGGCTTCAAAGATGAAATATTTTCTTCCGTTTTTTACACATTTACCACTATATCTTTGCTTTTATTGGTCTTTTGATGTTATATAGCTCACAGCCTTCCTCGATAACTGGACTATCCAACACAAACAGAATTATTTAATTCAAACCAGTAGTTTCGGAGATTAGCGCTTTCAAACAAACAAACTCTTCAGCTTTATAATATTAGTATAGATTTTTGGAGTATTTCGAAATTTCGTATCTGTTTGCAATCCAAAAGGTGTGTCTGGTGAAATATTAACAAAAGATTATTAATATCGTTATATTTCCAATAACATTTTATGAAAAGTATATGAGTACTTTATATAGCCTTAGTTTTTCATTAATTATTTTTTAGTCCATATATTACATATACTGAATTTTTAATACTAAAAGTTTTTTTAAATTACTGTTAGAAAAACTGAGCACAAAGCTTAAAATAAATATAATCTACTGTACCTAACTGTTTCAATAATTTATTTTATTCTCACTAGCATCTATAAAACTTACAATTTAAAATCTAGTTTCAAGTTTTCTTTTTATTAGAAGTACTCAAAAAAGAGAACAAATATAAAACAATTCAAAAGTCTGAAATCTGTTTTTAATATACGTTTTCTTATTTTTTAATTACAATAACTCAAAATTTTATAAAAATGACAACGTGTTATATCATTAAAAATATTACTTAAAAAAAGGGCTTTCTAATTTCATTAAAAATTTTACAACAATTTCTAATTTAGATATTTTAATAAAGTTGTTTATTTTTGTTACATAAATTAAGGCAATAATTATATATCTATAATATTTTTCTGATAACGCATAGACAAACAATTTTTTTTTTAAATGCTGACGTTTAATTATTTAACGTTACTTTATCTGTTTCATTTGTATGTGGGGCAAAAATATTACGTTTAGCATTGCGAGTGGCTGGGTGAAACAGATTTCTTTTATTCTTTCTTATCTTTTTGCAATGTAAAACTCAGTTTTATATGAGGAAGACATTGCTACGTTTTATTTTTTTGACATAATTATAAAAGCTACTTTTACTGTTTTACACCTTTTTGTTAAATAGTGCTAGTCATTTAATAAAACAATATTGTGATATATTGATAATAATGTTATTTTATCGCACGTTGCTAATTTTTATTTTAACTATAATATGTGTTAGTACTGAAGAGGATTCATTGAGTATGACGAAGCCAGAAAGGCAAAGTTTAAGGTAAGGAAAATATTATAAAAACGACTCGATTATTGAACGTCTAAAATGGGGCATAGTATTTATCCAACCAAATCCGATGAATTTCCGAAGTAATATCGTGGCAACAACTATTTACTATATCCTAATTATGGATTTTAACTGCAAATTATAGTTTCCTTATATGTTCCTATAATCATAGTTTCCTTACTAAAATGCTGATATTGTTTTTGGGAAATGTAACATATAATAGTTACTTAAATACTAAGTATATCTGAATACTATACTTGTGTCTATTGATATTACAGTACATCGTTCCTAAATATATATTTTATGTAATAAAATAAAAGCAAATTACAACCTTCTTTTGAATTATCTTATACTAGGTATCCATCCGAGCTAAAAAGTATAAAATAGTCAATCTTGCATATAATGCCTTGAGTACCTCCTTTTTGACTTAAATGAAGACAAACAAAAATTTCATCTCATCATCATCATCTTTCTAGGTTAAACATAAAATAAGTCTGAATTAAGAAAAACTATTTATTTTTATGTTAGTAATAGTTTTTAATAAAATAAAATTACAAAAATGTTTGTATACAAAATTAATGACTCGATCATGTGAAAAAGTCAGGTATGCGTGGATTTAATTTTGAGAATTATTAAACATATGATAACTTTGAAATGGTGCGTCCGAGTTAAATAATTAAAAAATTAACTTATAGATACTGATCTAGGCTTCAACAGGAAGTAATTTAATTTGATAAAACTCATACTGTAATTAAGAAAATGGCTTTCTTATAAATGAATGGCAATTTTTAAAAGTAGTAAAATGTATATAGAATGTTAACCTTAAGAGATAAACATATCCCGTTGTGGATTTTGCTGGATATAGTATTTTTCTGTATTAGATACACAATTCCAACGTACATTGTTTTGTTATACCTAAAATGGTTTTGGCAGCGTTTTCGTTAAAAGATCCCGGACAGCTCCTTTTTTCCCAAAATCTTCAACAAATATTGTTAATGTACACACAAATCAATACAAAACTTTAACAAATTATATATCAAAACCATTCTTGAGAATCAAGCTATCAAATTGTCAAAACCAATTGGTAATTAGTGCCGTAGTTTTTCTGTTTATTGCAAACAGATAGACAGACACAGCAGGGGACTTTGTTTTATAATATGTATCGATAGAAAGAAAATAGAATGATAGAAACTGACAAAAAGGTTTTGTTTGTTTCCTCATAGAAGTGATCAATGCCATTAACAATCTGTTCTACTAGAACTAATTTTAAATAACAAGACACAAATTTATCCGTATTGAGATATTCATAATAATTACAGAATATGTTTATTAAAATAAAGCTGTGACGAGTATGTCACATTTCAATGTGAAGGGTTTCTTTATCCGTATCCATAATAATAATAATTATAATAATAATAATTTAGTTTGGACAACAGTTTTTGTTATAGAATAATTGTGATCCATTTTTTTTTGTTATTGAGATGTGAATCCAAGAAAGAATCTAGTTAGTTATTAACCTTCAGTGTATTTGTCAACATATAATTTTTGTTATCAACAACAGACTGTCATTGATGATTTCTCTTGTAGTAAAAATAAAAAGACTTATATATATGTAGGCTTTCAATCATGTACTGTTTATGTCAAAAACATTTTTCAAAAATAAATATTTTACCTTCTATAAAAGGAAAGTATATATTTTGAATCGGATAAGGTAATGTTAGACTTGTGTCATAAAAATTAACAAAATTAAAGTTTAGAAATGTTGATTTAAGTTTTTGAAGAGTAACTCAGTTATATTAATTGGTAAAGGGGACTTCTAGCTTAAATACTTTCTTCCCCTTAAAATAATTACAATTAAGTAGTGAAGTGTCATTTTATGCAAAATAATTTCAATTTTATATGTGGAACATTAAAATTATTCAGTAGCTATTCATGAGCCTTATAAGAAGTATGTAAGTGTTTAAGTTAAAATAAAATCTTATTGTTGCTTAGATTTTTACCTATGTACCTCATCTCTTTTAATTAAGAGTTGTATTTAGCTTTGAACTAATATAACAACTGAGAACAATGGAAACCAATTATTAAGAGTTGGCTTAGATTTTTAATAAGAAATTGTTGCTAGGTTGCAGTGATGGACACATAATTAAAATCAATTAATATACTTTATATACATATAAATAAAAATGTGTTTTTATTTTAGGGAAGAATCAAGGCGCATGTTCTATCATGCCTATAATGCATACATGGACAATGCTTACCCAGCAGATGAGCTCATGCCTCTTAGCTGTAAAGGTAGATGGAGAGGTATCACACCTAGTCGTGGCGACATGGATGATGTGCTCGGAAAGTAAGTTGTACAATTTTATTTGAAGTTCATATACAACACATAAGATACAATGCAATCCTAAATCCTAATATTTTTGTAATTAGTTAGTAATCCCCTCTGTAAATTGAATATATAACATGATTTACCAAATACAGGCTGAATTAAGACTTTTACTCTTTCTTAATGGAGGTCTCAGGGAATCCATAATATAAACATATTGTGAAGCTCTCATTACATTACATGATAAAGAATGATAATTCTGACTACTAATATTGATAACATGTCATTGATTAGATTGTTGATAGTAATTTATTGATGATACAATTTTAAAATTATTGTATTGTTGTATATTAAAATATAAGCTCAGATATGTTTCATAACAAATTTTGTCATAAAATCTTTTTTTTGCAAAGTATTGAAGAAAACTGTAATAACTAAACTTACAATTTCATTTTATATAAGCCTCTGTTTGCAATTAAAATAATATTTTAACTTATGGTAAAATTTTTCACAGTTTATTGTTCCAGTTCAATAATTACTGTTTTTCTAGATAACAAAGATATTTTGCTACATATTTTTACAATACTTTACTTGCGGGTGTGGAATTAAAACAATGAAATGACAACAAAATAAAAATTTATGTGTATGGATTAAGACTGTTCCCGTCAAAATATTATCAAAATTTTATTATTTAATAGTTATTAATCGAATTTTAGGATACATACAGATTACATAAAACATACAAACAACATGAAACATTTCTTTATATATACATAAATTATGTGTTTGGTTGAAAGAAATACATGAACAATTCAAAATATTTTATCACAAAGACACCAAAAAAATACTCTTTTATACACTTGTACTTGGTTATCTTTTAGACCCTATAGCATAAATAATATTGCAATTAAATATTAATATTAACATAATTATTATTTCAGTTTTTCTCTAACACTCGTGGACAGCTTAGACATGTTGGCCATTATCGGAGACTTCTCAGAGTTCAGTCGAGCAATTAAGCTGGTTATAGATGACGTCAAATTTGATAGCGATATTATTGTTTCTGTGTTTGAAACTAATATAAGAATGCTTGGGTATGTTAAATATATTGAAACTTGTGTCTAATTAATTATAAATAAATAGGAATTTATGAATGTATTTTTTGTCTCAGTGGTCTCCTATCAGCTCATGTACTGGCGACGTCTTTGAAGAACGATGTGCCGGTGCTTCAGTGGTATAATGGAGAGCTATTGGCAATGGCTGAGGATCTGGGAAAACGTTTGCTACCAGCCTTTAATACCTCCACTGGTATTCCACATGGCCGAGTGAGTTAAGGATTACTCTTATGATATTTCTCTTCACATATACAGTTTTTATAGTCATAAATTTCAAAAATCCAAGAGGATTTAGATGAATACATGTTGCCAGGCTAAAAAATATAACGTTCGAACCGTTCAAATAAAAATCTAAGTATTTGTAAGATGCAAATTGAATAAGCTTCATGCCTAAGACACAATAACATCAAATATTTTTATACAACAGGTGAACCTCAAGCACGGACTCCGAGGGTTGGCAGATTCCCGAGAGACGTGTACCGCATGCGCTGGTACTATGATACTGGAGATGGCAGCCCTATCCCGACTCACCGGCAACCCGGTGTTCGAAGAGAAAGCCCATAAGGCTATGGACCGATTGTGGAAGATCAGACATAGGTGAGAAAAACTATGCATGATACTAATAAGTAGCTGATGAAATTATTATAGCATACTAATATATCTTCTACCTGGCAATTTCACAACTTTAAGCCAGGGTCTGCCTTACATGTTATGAATAGTTTTTTTTTTTGGCTAATTCTTTACGACCGGCCGCCTGCTTGACATTAAAAATATCTGCCTGCATACAAAAATATATATTGTATTATAAACCTCCAAATTCATACATATAATCGTTCTTAGATTTCGTAATCAAATGAAAAAGCAAATTAAAAACTTGCTATGGTTGTAAGACAATAGAAAGTGTTCCCTAATGTGAAGGGCATAATGTGCTTCTAATACTGTATAAAATTTTCATAATAACGTAAAATTTATTAAATCTGTAATCTGTATCTAAAGAACTTGTTTAATGACGTGTACATATGCGTTGTATCGATAGTAAATTATACAGATATAAATACAAGCATTAATTATATATTAATGTGGTTATTAATGTATTATCTCTACATATCTGTTGAATGAATGGTACAATTGTCATTCGCATGAACTTACATCGTTCGAGATAATTATTATGTGATTTTTTTTTTAACTTTAGGTAACTTAAAAAAATATACCTTTTCAATTATTTATAGGTAAATACGTAATGGAACAATTCTTGACCGTATTTATAAATGTTTTCACCTAATGAAGTAGTCTTCCAATATTATAATATGTAAGATAATATCATATAATTTGGCTCTTGTAAAAAACCCGTTGATAAAAGACGCACAAAAGTTTTTATAGGGAGTTTATTTTGTGATTATTTTAACAAATACACACATTAATAAAGGAAATTATTCTGTAATGTGTGAAATTAAACAAAAGGTTTACCATATATATTTACCATATAAACTAATGTATAGAAATTTTTTTTTTGCAGGACCTCAGACTTGATGGGAACAGTGATAAACATTCACAATGGAGATTGGGTACGAAAGGATTCAGGGGTTGGTGCGGGAATAGACTCTTATTATGAATACTGCCTCAAAGCCTACATACTGTTAGGAGACGAGAAGTACTTGGCCAGATTCACAAGACATTACAATGCTATCATGAAGTATATAAGCAGGGGTCCGATTATGCTTGCTGTCCATATGCATAGGTACTATTTAATATTTTTATCTCTTGCATCTCATCAAATCCAAATATTAAATTGCAATACATATTATTAAAAGTATCCTTAAGTTTTACTTTATACACTAAAAATATGAAACTATTTAAATATTTTTTTAAAGCCAAACCCAAGCTTTAGTTGTAATACATTTATGATAAAGTGTTGCAGGAGTTTCTTATTTGATTATGGAAATCTATTTTCAAAATACACTTGATTTCTTCATTGCCATATAGATTTGGTGAAGTTCTCAGACAGCTGATATATGATAGAAACCTCCTTTCAGGCCGCACCTACAGTCGCGTAACTTTATGGACGCTCTGCTGGCTTTCTGGCCGGGGCTGCAAGTATTGTTAGGGGACGTTCGACCAGCTGTGGAGACTCACGAGATGTTGTACCAGGTGATGCAGCGGCATACCTTCATACCTGAGGCTTTCACATCTGATTTTCAGGTACGTAGGTTCCTAGGTTCGTAGGTCGTTCGTTCATAGCTATAGTTATGTTGATGCAATTATTTTTTTGCATTAATTTTTTGTTATCATCCAAGTTTTTGACTTTATTTTTATTAACAACTCTTGTTTCCAATTGGCTATGTGATTCAAGTTTTGCTTCTATATTTCAGAGAAATGTTTGTAGTTTTTTTAATTTGACATTGGTTGTAACTTAGAACAAATAATAAAAGAATTTTATACTTAAAAACTTTTATATATGCACATAATATATATGTATAAATGCTGACAAGCAGAATAGCTAAACAAATTTTAAATAATTTAAAAGCACTTTTTTTAAGTTAAGCATAATTTAAAAACACAAATTCCCTTAGAACAGTATTACAAAAATCATTGTTTTCGAACTTCCAGAAATCAGTGATATATTTAAAAACCAATGTTATTTCACTACTTTGAGGCATAGCCAGTAATGAAATTTGTATCTCTTCGAGATAAATAAATAATAATAATAACTTAAGAAATAAATTTCTAATGTGAATAGAATTATGAGTGCGTTAATTTAGTGAATGAGCTTTTTATTTATAATTTATATGAAATACGTCAAAATTTTTAATTATATCTGGCAACACGACTAAGTTATTGTGTCTGGTCGTGTCCAGAAGTACGCCTGAGATAATTTTGGAATGCTTTAAATTTTTCAGGTTCATTGGGGCCAGCATCCGCTTAGGCCAGAGTTCTTAGAATCCACGTACTTCCTTCACCGAGCAACGGGCGACGACCATTACTTAAGAGTCGGGAAAACCGTCCTTAAAGCCCTACAACAACACACTAGAGTACCCTGTGGATATGCCGCAGTAAACGACGTGAGAACACGAGTTCACGAAGATAGAATGGATTCATTTGTACTAGCTGAGACTTTTAAGTACTTATACATGCTGTTCGGAGAGGATAAAGACTTACCAATAAAATTAGAAGACTACGTTTTAACCACCGAAGCCCATTTCTTGCCTCTGTCTCTAGCCACTGATGGCAAAAATGGATCATACTTAAGCATCACAATAGACGACGAGGATGAAGATAAATATAGAAAGTGAGTTGGTTTCTTAATATTCATAATATATTGCATATTATATGTAATAAAATATATGTTTCAGGACTTGCCCAAACACAGCTTCTCTGGTAGCTGAGAAAGTTCGTCAACCAATGCGTCAAATGTTAGGATCAACGGCGGCTCGACCACCAGCCAGGCTGAGACCATTGAACGATCCGAGGCACATTCACGCTCTATCTGACATGGGCATATCTGTACTTACACTACCCGATGGCAGGGTGCAGTTGTTATATACTATTAATACTGTAAGTATATTCACATGTACTAATATTAACTTCTCATCACGATGTTCAAATGTAGAATATTAACAAATATTTATGTTGAAGGCAAAATCTGTGAAAGATGCGGCCGAAGGACTTACATTCATGAAAGAAATGTTTAAATGGAACACCCTCAGCGATTCCGAAAATGGCGTAGTAGCTGCCGGTGTTAAGGTTAATGAGAGGATACTACCGGGTGGACCGGGTCACTTCGGTAAAGATATTTCAGGGTCCGATAGATTCACGGGGACACCAGTCGCAGTTGACCCCATAGACGCTTGTACTCCTATAGTTAATAAAAATGATATAGCCGGTAAATTTGGAATGGCGATCCGAGGACAGTGTACCTTCGCCCAAAAAGTCCGTCACATCCAAGAAGCCGGTGGCACTCTTGCCATAATATTAGATAATGTTAAGGATTCGTCCCACGAAACTACAGCTCTCTTCGCTATGTCCGGTGACGGTAGAGATGATATAGAAATACCAGCAGTCTTCCTCTTCTCACAAGAAGGTGAATATCTCAAGCAAGCAATGACAGAGAATCCGAATATAATATTAACAATCGGGGAATTAAAATCCATTAAGAAGCAACACGAGGTCGGATGTGACAACGATAACTGTGAGATCATAACCAACCCAGCACCTGTTGAAAGTGATAACGCTTCGTATGAACACCTGAAGAAGGTTCTCGGTCAACTTGTGTCTCAAATTGAAATGTCTTTAACCAATGAGGAACCTAGCAAGACCTGTTCAGAAGAAATCCAACACGTACAAGTGTCGAAGGACAAGTTTGTCAACGAAGACGCCCGCAGTAAAGCTTGCACCACTAACTGTGGAGTTGAAAACAATGAACATGTTAAGAACATGATGAAACCAGATGACGACTTCTGACATATCTCTTTCAAAAATAATAATTAAATGTATATAAATAAATTATCAATGTTCTATAATATTTTGTATAAAATTGTACATATTGTTTTTAAGTTAAAGTGTAAAGGTGTCGTGCCTTGGTCAAGTGTTAAAATATTTAATGTGTTAATAATTAAATATCTGTTAAGTGACAAAGGAATTAAGTACATAAATGTCTAATATGTATGAAATCTAAATCAATAATAATAAATATATATTATAAAAACATTCATACTTTTGGTTTTCTTTTTGGAGTTCTCTGCATTACCGTTGAAAAATATTTGATAAAGTTTTAAAGTAAATAAAAGCACAAAGTCTAAGAAATTAGTGCCTAAGTCTTACCCAAAATAAACGGCTGTTTTTCATATTTCTGATACAGGCTGTATGAAATGACACATAATGATAATATTAAGTTTTTTGTATTATTCCCCTCTCATATTCATACTTTAGAATAGTACTTTCAACTTATACATACATATTTAAATCATGCATATTATTAAAATATAACTCTCTCAATCTAGATTACGAGATTTCGTTTATATATTTTTCCAATTATAGAAAATGATTATATGTATATGGTATTTTTATATTCAATATACGAAACTTATAAAAACACAACTTGGTGTCCAATATTAATTAATAAAATTTTACTACATACAAATACCCTTATTATATTAGTAGACATATAATAAGGAACTCTCATAGAGTAAAAGTATATTGGGGCAATATTTTTTTTATTGTGACTGGCTTTACGGCTAAGAAAAATAAAATAAAATTATATTTCTAAGTTGTAATAAAATTATATTTAAGAGTAAAAAAGGGAATATAATATTTAATATTTTATCCTCTATTTATATGATATTTTTAAAGGCGTTTAAAAATTCAAATAATAATTTAAAAAATTATTAATATTGTTCTCTAATTTGTTTTTTAATCTAACTCTCATTATTTTATAAAGATTTTCGCCCATTAATATTATATATACGCATATGTATAGTATTAAAAGGAACATAATAAAAAAACTATTTTTCGAAATGAAATTAAAAATCCTATGCAAAAGTAATAACAATGATACGATATGAAAATTTTTAAGTCTTGCAACACCAAGGTAACACCAACTTATTAGGTGGTAGAGCCTAGCTGTGGTTAGTTACTACAGCTCGAACACGGGCTGGCTCGACCGGGGAAGTACCACCCTCTCACAGAAGATCGGCGTGAAGTAGCCTTTAATGGCTGCGTTTCGTCCGATGAGTGAGAGAGCCGGTTGCCCTTTCCCTGTTCCCACCCTTTCCTACAATATCCTTATTCCCACCCCTCCCTATCCCTATAAAACAAGGTTGGCAACGCATCCGCAACATCTTTGTTGCGGATGTCCATGGGCGACGGTAACCACCTTCCATCAAGTGGGCCGTCTGCTCGTTTGCCACCTTTAACATAAAAAAAAAAAAAAAAAAACACCAAAGAGAGATGAGGCTGATTATTATTTTGCACGATTGGTTCTTTATTTTAAAAAATTCAAATGTTGTCTATGGTCTATTTGTTTGTTTTTTGTGTTTGTTTGTTGTGCATGTAAGAAAAAACTTTGGTAACTGTAAGAAATGCTTAAAGAAACAAAAAATTATCCATAATTATTTTTTGGATTTATGTTTTTTCGTGGGTTTATTATTTCACATTTTCAGGGACCACAGTAACAGCAAAATAATCGGAACGTCTGTTAGACAAAAATTCTGATGGTTTTAACAGATTTTAAAAATATATGAACATAATTAAGATTACTATAAAAATGAGTATGTATTTTCTCACAAAAATATTACTTCTGTAAAATGCATTTAAAAGAGCTAATAATAAAAAAATATATATATTTTTATAAAAACAAAATTTCACAAAATCTAGTGTGTTGCAGTTACGTGATGAATTATGAATATGTAGGTATATTAATAGTCTTATAAGTTATACTCTTAATTTTCTTACTAAACTAGAAATATGATAATTTCATCTGATATAAAAATAAAATTAATAAATAATAGCATTAATCTATATGATTAATTATAATTTTAAAGTTGATGAATAAAAATCTAATTGTTATACATCTTAAAAGACTGTTATTATATATTTTCTTTTTTTCTAAAAGCTCTCCGCTAACTTATTACGACAATTAATGTCGTTACGGCGCTCGTCGTTGCCTTGAAGATTATTACGTTTACCTAATAAAAATTTTATAAAAATAACACAGGTATAAGTACCTTATAAGATGATTAGTTAGATATGTTTATTTAAATGGTAATATTAATGAAATACTCACGCAATTAGAATATAAGACAAGAAACGCTCATCTACATCCCCAATAATTCTCACTAACCCTATAAGCTAGCATCTTTGAAAGTAAGATAATCCCAATATATTAAACTATTCTCGTTAGATTAAAATAAAAATGAATAAAAGAAAACCCCTTTTTTAACCATTCATTAAAATTGGAATTCAATTTAAATTCCAATTCGATATGCGACAGCAAAATATATAAGGCTAAATTGCCTTTTAATTTTGTACAGTTAAAGTTTTTGGGAGCTTGAATAATCGTTTCCTGTCTGTCAAATAACTTTTTTCCTTTAACATTAATTGGTTGGCATTGACAATTGTTTTTGAAAAAAATTGTTAACGCCTAATACAAAACATTAAACCGTGTTTTAGTCTGAGATAGGAACGGTTGAAACTCTGTATTTAATTCACAACTTTATTTTATAAGAAGAATAATCCTATTAGTGTTGTGAATGTAGCATGAATAACGGTATTACGTGCTTAAGATTTAAAATCTCTTTTGCTGCAAGGAGGTTTCAAGTTCTCCGAATGCAATTTCCCACCTCAAAGGTCTTTTAAGCTTTCTTTTTTTGATTAGGGGCCCTCGAGATTATTTTATTCCAGACATAAGTTTCTGTATTTCAATATGCATTAAATAAAAACTTGGTGAGAGCTCTTTAACATAGTTCTAAAACTTTTGATGCGGCCATCAGAAGTCGAGATAAGAGCTCATAAAAAAGTTTAAAAATAAAATCAACTTTTAAAATTTTCTTAATTTTGATATTTAAATTAAATTTAAATGTCATATCACCCTGGGAAAGATTCGCTGTTAAGGAATAAAATACAATTTAAACCATCAACAGTTTTATTTGATAATATTTAAGTGCTGAACTCTATTCTCAATTCCCGACGGTTGAATTTTGTTGAATAACGAAGTCGAATGCACTATCCTGTGCCACGTTTACAGATAAAAAGTAGCATGTTTTAATTTAGATTTTATTTTAAGGAGTTAGAGTTATTTTTAGTATGACGATGTGAGTTGTGCCCTTTACGGGATAGATAAAGTTTATAATGTGGGCGGGTATCGATCGGTGCGCAAGTGCGCGGCAGGATTCAGCAAAACATAGCCACAGTGTGACAGAGCCAGCGGCGGGATGCGTACGCTACTTGCCCTGACAGCGACAGTGCTCGCGTGTGCCCTGGCCCGCCCTCTTGGTGAGTAAAATACACCCTATGTTTCATATTAATGTAACATATTAAAGCTAATTAGGCTCTGCGATCAAAAGTTCAACTGTTTTGCGACAGCCTTTTAATGTTTGCCAACGAGCGCGCGATTGACACCTGTTACGCTTGTGTTTTTGTAATTTATTGAGTCTCGCAGAAGTTTTAAGCATAGATAAACATAGTTATCTATGTTGATGAGGATTTTACAATTGCACGTTAAGTAGAATGAGTATGAGTAAAAAATAATAAAATAATTGACCTGACAGAATTTGTTTGTCTTATTTACCGTTATTAATTTTATGAAATGACTGAAATATATATTTTCTTATAAATTGAAAGTATTTATTTGATAGGATGTCATGCCTTGTTATCCTTTTTTTATTAAATCTTCGTTTCTCCTGTAATATAGGCCGTAATACGAAGATTATAATTTAAAGTTTTGAAGTTCTGACTGTACTCAACATATAGTTGCGTGATCTTAGACAGTATATTCGCAAATACAATGAAAATATATTAAATAGACCTACTGAAACACAATATTCAGTGATCATATATTTTTTATCCCGATCTGTTTAAATGTCTTGGTGAACTAATAATATATATATTTATTAAATTTTAAAATCTCTAACAAACCTTAAATTGGATTTTTAAAATAATATATGTGTTAATGAACTTTAATAAAACATATTTAAGGTATAGTAATTACTATATTTTATACCGGGCACTAGCAAAGTAGGTCTGATTGAAATACTTAGCAGAATAGGTCTGATTTTAAAACATCTATCGAATGATATAGACATATGTCCATATGTGTTAAGTGATTAAACTTTTGTTTCTAGCTTAGCGTCTGAATTGCTAGAAAAAAAATAAAAAAACACATTTTTGCTCTATAAGTTAGCAAATATTGTTGGACAATGGTTAGACGTATACAGATAAGTAACATATTTAAATACAAAATTAATTATACCAGAACTTACCTTAACACGACATAAGTAAGACCTACTTTAAAATATATTTAAATCTGACTACTCTTCCTTAGGCTACATTATGGTTAGACTGCATATTTTTTTACTCTTATCGACCTTGCTGTGAATTTATACTAAATTTCAAATTTAATTAAATTCACAAACTGCAGTTTTTTTGTTCAAAAGGAACCTATAGATTATAATTACATATCTATACTAATATTATAAAGCTGAAGAGTTTGTTTGTTTGTTTGAAAGCGCTAATCTCCGAAACTACTGGTTCGAATTGAATAATTCTTTTTGTTGGATAGTCCAGTTATCGAGGAAGGCTGTGGGCCATATAACATCACGCTACGACCAATAGGAGCAAAGATATAGTGGTAAATGTGTAAAAAATGGGAGAAATTATTTCATCTTTGAAGCCTTCCGTTGCGTGCGCCGTGAAAACGGTTCAAGATACACAAAAAATATGTGAAAAAGAATAATAGCCCTTTGAATGATCTAAAAATCAGTCCGGGACAGCATATGTCTATCTTTTAAGATTAACTCACAAAAAACCGTTTTTATGGTACCTAATTTGGTCGAAATAATTTGATTAAGTTGTATCAACATAATCATATTAATCCTTATTCAAATAAACAAATAAATATATTGTTGGTTAAGAGTACTTCATTGTGAATAAAAAAACAGGTTTTATCCTGAAAATACTACGGGAACTCGACCATTCCGAAAACCCCGCAAGAACGGGAACTATGTGGGAAGAACCAAAAATCTGCCGGAAGTCACTATTTAACGCGGACGAAGTCGCGGCAAAACTAGTGTTAAAAGATTATTTTTCAGTTCAAAAAATAAACCGTTGAAAATATTTTTACTATGCCGAATGTAAAATGTCGATAGGTACATATTATTTCCTAAATTTTGCAAATCAATATTAATTACAAAAACTAGATATATTTCCTGTTAAAATACAACTGTAGTTTTGGACTGGGATTTTGAAAGTTTAAAAAGAAAATAAATAATCATTTCAAATTCGCCGTTAATGGATAATTTTGCATTATCAACTGAGCTTAATTTACCGTTTCGGTATAGTGCTGCGGTATCCAAAACTACGTAGGTCTTTCTAATCTAAACTTTTTTATAACGTAGGTCTTTTTTATAGTACAACTTCTGTTGATTAAATTCTTCTCGGTATATTTCCATTTTCGGTTTTCCGCGTTTATTTTTAGTTATCTTTCCCTTGATTGAAACCCATCCGAGTAAAGTTAAAGCAGGCTTGAATTTCCAATCTCTGTTTTGTAAGTACACATTTTGCGAATGACTTTCCGATGTTAACAATAGAGTACATATGAAAAAAAATATTACTATTTCAATATATTAATATGTTTTTATTACTTACACTAAAGATTGCAGCAAATACTGACCTTTAAAATTAACTTGTTTCCACTCCAGTTTCCAATTTGTTGTTATCGACTCTACTCCCCGGTCAACCGTAATACACACCCAAGAGTTCGAAATTGTATGCAGGCTTTCATAACTTTAAGTTATTGTATTATTACGAGTATAACTTACCTGTCCTAGTTTTAAAGTCGTTAAGTGCTTTTTCCAGTTTTTGAAAAATCACTCGTTAGTAATTAAGAATAAATTCTTTTCTTATTCGATAACATTAGCAAAACCAAAGATTTTTTTTTGATTTGTCGTTACTTTTTTTTATTTCGATTACACTTACTAGTTATTACACCTTTGTTGATTTTAATATTTCCCCTGAAAACAATTAGTAACATACATTAATTGAATTAAAATATAAATTATTTATTACTTATATAAGTAGTAGCGTAACTGCAATGAAAAGCTGATAATGGATATCCATTAATTAAATTCATAAGCTTTCAATTTAATTAGCAACGGTAATACGTTTGTTTATTTAGAATTATCAATAAAGTATCTGCAAAAATAAGAATATATTTTGATTTAATTATTTTGTAGTCGAAATTTCGAGATTGTATTTGAAGTATTTACATTGTCATCAAAAGCGTTAAGCGTTTTTAATAAATACTCAAAATACTTAGGATTTAAAAATGAACCTATATTTCTTACAAAACTGAATAAAATTTTCCCGTACTAAATTTTAAATGGAACGGATAAGTCGATAAAACCCAACTATTAAACGTTTATTGCTGTGAGCATCTTTTCTTTTTCACGTACGATTTAAAATTTTATCCAATCCATTGGAAAATTCGTATCGTGCATTCTCTGACAAATGTTGTAGAATCTCAGGAGATATGGCATTTTTCCTTGGTACTAAAATAGAAATGCACCTAAACGTAGTTCCTTAAATTCCATTTTAAAATACCTTCGTATGTGTATTCCCCGACGAAATTCACTTTGATCACTCAAGTGTGAAATAAGCTCACTCTACTACAAATTTCATCCGACAAATATCAATTTATCACAGCAGGTATCCTCGTCTCTAGCATTTCACTATTTCTGACTTCCAAATTTTGTTTAAGCTATTACAGCAAAATATAATTATCGGAAATCCGATCAGACACAAATTAGATTTCCTATAACAGATAGGAGTTTGCATAATTTATATTATGAACATCGAAGGTGAAGCATTTATTTATGCGGGCACGAAATTTGCAAACGTTTATACGAGTAAGATTAATTTTGAAAGTTGTACATTAAACGAAACAGAATAATTTTAATAAAGAGAAAACATAAATTAAATACTAACAGAACAACTTTATTATAATTAGTTAGATAAATTAGTTTCACAAAACGTTAGCTGCTTTAACTTTTAATTGAAAAGACAAAGGTGGAACTGTAACAAAAGCATTTGTTTTAAATTATTCTAAATGTTTTATGGGCACCAATGCAGATGAATTTATTCCACACAATTGTTTGCAATTAAGTTATTTCACTTTTTCAAAAAAGGTGCAATATAGATTTATATACTCTCATTTTCTGTGATGAATCACATTCAAATGGGAATAGGAAATTTATCGTTTTGTGATTGAATTGTCTTTGTTATTTTCTTTTGTCGTCAATCCCTGCCTTTTATCAAATATGTATTCACGAAATGTGTGCTAAATTGGAGTCACAAGTGAATACATCTTCAGCTTTATTCTAGTCTAGAGCTAAAACTAATTTCTGTTCCGTCTAATCCGTTTCTATCTCCTCTTGTCAGACTTACATTGTTATGGTATCAACATACCGTTGTGAAAAGCCAAGCTTGATTCTCCTGAGTTAATTCAACTATTCACGATGGCAAGTCAAGAACTATTACTTTGTAGTCAACTAAAACACATTCCATCATGTTCACCCTTTTCACTCATGTGGAGAAGTATCATACTTAAGTTTGCGTAACCATTGACCTTTTTATCCTGGATATCTCTCGGTTATTCTATTTTGATTAGTTTTTCATTTTAAATTACTTTAATAGACCCAATTAGTACAATGAAACAAAAATTTTGAACTTTTTAAAAATAACTATATATTTCGTAACAATGGTGTCAAACTCATATACACCTTTACTCGAATAATACAAAGAACACAATTTTAAAAACTAAACAGTAATATAACAAAATACAAAAATAACTATAATATGTTATATAAAATACAATTTAAATATTAATAGTAAAAGTCAATTAAACAATTTTATCTTCCCTTATGTCACACGGATTGGTTTCGTTATAAAGTACCTAATTAAGATGGAAATATATATTATAAATAATAAAAATATAGATGTTCTAAAGAAAATTTATACACATTAAGAAAGACGTAGTTATAAGACTCACATAGAAATTATCTGTCAAGTTTTGCAAAATTTTTGATCATTAGTCTAAAATTACGGATGCCGAGTTTTGGAGAAGGTATCTCTTAAAACTTGAAAGAATAACTCATTCATTTTAAGTAGAATTCCTGTACATATTTTTATTGTAATAGTTTTACGAGGAAGAAATACGCTAAAGTATTACAAAATACTGGATAGGGGCACGTATAAACTATTTTGAATACTTTTCTTTTATCCGAAGTTAATGATAAATGTTATAAAAACCACAGGCGTTTTGAAGAGCATTTTGAAGAGTACTTATGCTAATTTTAGCATAATATTTATTAGTTAGTAAAATGAAAAAACGTTGGTAAATTTGCCTTTTGTAGGTTAATAAATGAGCTCGCATGTGTCGGCCAATGCGAATTAATTAACGAGGAATCGGTCATGCAAATGTCTAGCCAGTCAAATGTCGCTGTCACGTCTAAAAGATTTCTGTTGAAATAATTTATCCTTTAATACTTAATATATATGATATTTCGATAATTTAAGGGTATATTACCAGTTACTCGTATAATTACTTTAGTAAAATATCATATGTAAATATGAAGTGTTTATAGTAGGAGAATAATTTATTCTCACTAAGCGAGTGTCGACTGTGGGTTGCCCAAAGCTTCTCTGGCATACTGAGATCGGAATTAATTCAGACGTCAGTGAAGTAAAGACACTGACAGCGCTTTCAGATTTAGGACGCTGAAGTGTAAATGGGCTCGTCCTGTCTCCAGACGATCAGCCAATCGATGGAGTGAAAACGTGTTAGAGTGGAGATCTTTTTTAGGTAAACGTAGTGTAGAGAACTTACAACACGATGAACTCGAGCGCTTTAGGGTAGCGGATAATGGTTGAATTCCAGTTACCCAGGACTGGGATAAAGATAACCCTTTAAGGAACTTGAAATAAAAATTATTTTCAAACTACCTCCAATCGAGGGACTCCTCAATAGCGTATTATATTTTAAACGGCTCATATAATTTTGTTTTAACGTCAGTAAAAAAATAAAATCAAAGTTCTTTTATTAGTTTTGATTTTAATTTATCTGGGAAAGTATCATCCATGTATGTATATCTAAATATCTAAACAGTTGGACTAATTCTTGCGATGCAGTAGAGTTTTTATTGTAATAAAATAGGACAGTTCTATAGGACAGCGAGGCTTTGTTTGCAGGTGATATTTAATTTTTATCCTTTATAAATCTATTTGCATCTTACCAAATTATTAAATTTATGCTTGATTCTCAATTTATATTTTTAAAATTAGAATTTCAAACTGTAAGCTGCATATTAAATAAGTTAAAATAACTCATTTTAAGTGCGAAACTCATTTTAAGTGCGAAACATTTTCAATTATTATTTTATTGAAGTAAGAAATAATTTAAACTAACAATTAGTAATTATTTTGCCGAGTACGGGTGAAACGTAGCCTTCTTTTTGCCATGATAATAATTAATCAATCCGTATTTAATAAGGGATAAAGAAAAGAGACAAAAGTTATCTTTATTAGGTATATCTAATACACCATTTTCGTAGTTTAGAATCAGTTACTATGTAATAACTAATAACTATTGATTTACCAAAAAATCATAAATTGTTAGAGAGGAAGTTAGAAAAAATGTTATTTAAACAAAGCAATCGGAACTAAGAATCGGAAATAAGAAATAACATTTAAAATTAGATACATATATTGTGTAACAAAATATTATTTTGTTGTTGAACCACATTATATATCCTTAATTCATTTTTGATAGTTGTCTCAAATTCCACAGTTAAGAATTAATTGATTGTTATTCGTAATTATACCTTACAATTAAAATTTGACAAACACTGTAAAGTAATATTGAAACATGTTAGAAGCTTATTATTAACGGACACAAAAGATATTAGAACGTGAAAGCAAACCATTGTAAGAGCATGTAACGACAAAAAATTCGACCAACATAGACGAAGGACACATGACAATATTTACATAAGAAAAAGCCATTATTTAAATTACAATTTACATAAAATGTTTAAGGACGACTTGGTGAAAGAATAAGTGGATTAAAAGGTTGAATAATTTTTAAGTAGAGACAGTCAAATAATGACGCTTTGGTATGCTAATTTCATAAATACTAGATATCGCCGAACAGACGATATTCAGCCATAATTAATTGATTATTTCAGGATCAATGGTCGGATAGAAATGTCACTTTGTTTCAACTTTAGTGACAATATTTACATTGAGGAATCTTTACGGATTGAATGTGTTATTTTAAATAAATTTACATATTTTTTATGCGTTTTGTATTAAAATAATAAAACATAATTTATGCACTTCTTCTAAGCTTTGACAATTTATTTTGGAGATACATTTTTCTACTCTAATATTATAAAATAACTCTTTTGAAAATTATGTAGTATTTTACATGAAGTAAAAATGATTTATTACTTTTTATTTAGAAATTCACGTTCAAATTTCAGTCTTGATTTATAAATTCATAACAAATAATTGTATTCAATACAATTGAAATAATACCGAACAACTTTTTGGAATTAATCTGTATAAAAATGAGAAGTGGATCAAGGATAAAACGTATTGAAGTCTGAATTCAGGATGTTACCGAGCGGTGTTGATAACATCACAACACAACAGACGGAGCTACTTGATTGGTCTAAAGAATAGGTACATCAATACGCCACCAGACGGCTCTCAAGTCAATAAGTCTTTATGCATAACGAACGTCCAATATACTTAGATCAAATTTAATTATTGAATCGGAAAAATAATGTTCCATCTTGATGGAAGATATTTGTGTATAGTAATTAGTCTAATGCTTACTTACACTTACGTTTATTTTATTCTATCATCAGTTAATTAGTTCCTTACATTAAAAAATAGTGTGACACTTTACTTTTTTTTAAATTTATATATATTGTCAAAAGGATGTAATTATTATTTTAGGTCTTACGAGATAATTCACATCCTTTAAACATTCCATTGTTAGAAATATTTAGGAACGTGTCTCGATAAACTTTGAATAAAATACCTTCGAATAAAGAATTCTTAACCAAAGGCCAGATTTTTAGACAAAGTGAACTGTTAGATGGAAAATAATTGAACTTACCAACAATGAAATGACCAAAGATCACTAATAGTTTTAAATGCATTCAAAGTTTTAAAAATTAAATTATATAAACATATATCATTTAAATATAAATAAACAATAATTATCTAAATAAAATGATGGATTTAATATATATTAAGTTTTATATTGAAGTTATTGTACTGTAAAAAATTACAGAAACTCGTACAAAATTCATACTTCAATCCAACAGTCAATTACTCATCGTTACAGATGCGGGAAAAAATTGTCGTAATACGACAAAGAAAATTCCTTTATATAAAAAAAAACTATAAAAGTGACAATTTAAAATATCAAAATTGTTTCAGTTCCGAACGAAGATACTACGCCGGTGAGACCGGGCCTCAAAGCACGTAATAACCATGGTCCTCCAAAGTATATTTCCGATTACATCCTTCCTCGTCTCCTCCTGCCAAGATTTGAAGGTTACGACGATAATCTGAACCCAGTACCACCTGAAACAGAAGTAGACCACCTGGACGTGGTGAGTAATTTCGAAAAGTATAGTTTACTACTAGCTGCAAGATACTTAACCTCTGTTATTTAGATTGAAAACCTGCAAATTACCTACTAGACTATTAATAGAATTGTTTATTAAGTAAACTAGCATGCCTGCTAGACCAGATATCTGAGGACTTGTAACAGAGAATCTAAAATAGGTCAACTATATTAACTATATATATTTGAATTATACGACCTTAGTTATGTATATATCTGTGATACATATCATAAAGGTTTTGCATAATACTAAAACGGTCCAGTTATCATTTATAGATGATTTTAGATATACAATATTTCAAGATAATTCAAACCCCAAACTGTGCATATGTATTTCATTTTTCTCAAAGATACCATAACCAATAGAAAATTAAAGTTACTTTAAAAACTACTCATACATACTTTGGTTGCCTTTCCCATCGTCGTTGTAAGCAACAATTGCTGCAAGCCATTCTCAAGTTGTAACGTTACTATGAACAGAAAGTTCATTTTTATACAAGATGACAATCCTTCGAAGAAGGTTCTCACTTAAAAAAATGAAATGCAAAAACTTAAAATATCTTAGTTATTTATTTTACCCTCAATATTAACATTTTGAGGTACCATTTGAAATAACTGTCACTTGATTAACAATTGCCTCTTCACACTGTTCGCGCAACTTAAACAAATATATTGATGTTTTTTCCACACATTATTCATGAATATAATTCATCCAAGAAATTAAACCTTTACATTGGAAAAACATTCCACGATTCCAGTACGAATGAAGCCATAGCTTAAATTAAAGAAAAGCTGCAATATATGTAGATTACAACGATCACATAATTCTACAGAAGCGCTATAAGATAAGTGGCCATAATATAGATATAAGTTAAGTGGCCATAATCAAAAACTCTATCATAGAAATCCATTGTCGCTTTTAATAGAATTGTATTTGACATTACAGGACAGTTTTGCTAGTTAAGTAATAAAAATGCTTAATAGTGATATTGTTTTACTTTGAAGCGGTTATGGAATAAATGAGTGAACATTCATTAAATTAACCAAATAAGTTTATGGTACCGAGGACTAATGACAATTATTGAGATGCATGCGTTATGCAAACTATTATCCTATAAATCATGTGCAATTGATATATATTGTTGGTTGATTCTTGCAACGAGTCATTGGTCAATCATTCACTTGTCAGTCTGTCATGCAATTGTTAAAATGTCCGCTGATTTCCTTTATTGCAGTGTCGGCTATTTTAGATGTAGTAAGAGTTGTTTATTGGGCTTTAATAAAATTTAATATTCTGATTATGTTAATTTTGTATGAACAGGTAATTGAGTAAAGTAATATTTTAGTTTCTAATCTGAAAATTTTCTTCTATAATGAATGAAACTGTTTTTCATATAAAATGGTTATTATTATTATAACTTAACATTAATAAATTAATAATGCATTTATAATTTTTGCTTCGTAATCACTTAACGTCTCATTTACCGGTATGAAAAATAAAAAAATATTCTAGAAGCTGAAATGGTTTTACGTTGAAATATTTTTTTAAACAAGAGCTGTGCAGCCAGTATATTCAACTAGAGATTCCTTGTATAAATACAAACGGTCAACGAATATAGACCTAAAGGGTTGGACCAAAGTATACCAGAAAAACTCAGGCGAACTTTTTAGAACAAAAGCTATCAGCGTGATCAATGATTGGCCACAAGTTACAACTGTTAGAAGTCAAAAACTAGAAAAAAAGGAGAAAACGATCCTTAAAATGAGAATATTTCTTCAAAATGTATTAATCTTTGCATAAAACCGCTAGTAGAACAAACTTTTACTCGGTAAAATAAACAATTTGCTAATTGCTATAATTCCCGTTAGTTTGTACAGTGAAGTGCATTTTGCATTAGCATGACTTTCGACTTTACATTTCAATTGAATTTACAACTCGTTACACTCTCTAACCTTTCTTGGAAAGCTTCATCGATTCATTTTATATAAGAGTTATAAACTTTGTAACATTCTGGTAATCTAGTGTCCTGTCTTAATGTTATATTGAATGACAGACAGACGTTTACCTAATAAATCTGAGTTTTGTATGTATGTGATATTTTGAATTTAAAATGCATTAATTTAACTCATATAAACTTATAGCCGAAAGTCTGAATATTTAATCAGTAATAAGAAATTTTTGTCTCATTTATCATACAGTGATTGTCACAAAGACCCCAATAATTTGGGGATAAACGCAAAGAATATAAAACTAATACTAATTATATAACTTTGAATATATAAAAATATTGTATTACATTTTCTGCATTATTAGGTTTTAAAAGTAACGTATAAGTTCGATTGTAATTTAACTAAATATAATTAATTAAATCTAAAAATTGTATATAAAGGTGCAGAGTTAGCGTATTATTATTTTTATTATATATTCTGTTGTAATAATAGTAGATAGATAAAAATTCTCAATGTGTTTTAAAGCCGATTTTTATTCCATAGAAATATGTAATATAGTTACAATTTTTTTACTATGTCACATGTTTAAACAATGTTTTATAACTGAACTATAATTACCAAAAGATGAACATGTTGAATTGCAGCATAGATTTAAATCGATGGTTTAATATCAGATACAAAGTTATACTAAAAACCCTTATTCTGCTATCACAATCATAATGACGGAGTAATTGTGATATAAAGCATGACATCCGTATTTTACGTTTCCCTGATCATTTATTTATTTACATACTTTTGTCAAATTCTTTTTAAACATTGTATGCAATATTTGAATAATCTTTTTTTTCAAAGTAGCCTGTGCCTGTGCCTGTGTGCTTTATAAAGATAATCATTATTGTCAAAAGCATAAAAATGTATTTCTGTTTAGCTGATTGCTATACAGTTATTTATAACACTTAGTATTTAAAGAAATTCCAAATAAAATATATGATACCGCTTCAACTACTTAATCATCCAATTAGATCTATTACAGAATAAAGAAAAATGGAACGAACTGAAATGTTAAGACTTCAATTGAACTTTTAAAACTTCACTTAACCTGGTCCGCGTGGCTTAGCTCAAGTTAAAACAAATTACCAAGCGAATTTCAAACCTCCTGAAACCAATTTAGTTATTTCTTTTCTTTTTCCATTACTTTTTATTAATTATTAAGAAAAGCCTTGACATAATCCATTACATTCAATTTTCATAAGCAACTTTTTACATCTAACAACTATAAATGTTGTTGTATACACTGAATAAATAAAAAATTATATTTGACAATAATGTATTAACTAATAAATTAATAATTATATACGACTTGAATGATAGAAAAGAACATATTCTATATTAAATATGAAAAATCTAGGGACGTATGAAGAAATAATAACGATATTTCCGTAAATCTAAGCAAAAGATGAATGGAACTATAATAAACATTTAGAATACAAACTTATCAAAAAATCTCGTATTTGTATGAACTTTTACAAAATGCAGCTGATATGACTGTACTACCACAGTGTAGTTATAAAATTCAGGACCGCTGGTAAAGTTTTGGATTGTAGATTACACGTAACATTTGTTACATTTTGTAATATTACACCACCTATTGAAGTCACTGCACCCGATCGGATGGATATATAGATTTATTGATAAATTATTCCATTGAAATTGCTTTCATTTAATTTGTTCCATTGTTACTGTGAGTGCATCGCGTGTTGCAATTTAAGCGTGAGATGAATTGTTTAACGAGGTCTCCGGGACCCTCCATACAATCATATGCAATTGACTGTAGGTATTACTGGATAAGTACGTGTTCGAGGACCCATCAAATAATCATAACCATAAATGAGTCAATGTAAATAATTTATAACGATTTCTGTACAAGTATAGTGAACTGTACCGCTGTGAATATTGCATACCGGTGGGAAATCAGTGCAGGAAACTGGAAAAATATATAACGTAGTACAGCATTATATATGAGATTCAAATTTGGTTTACGCGGTTATTACGAGAAGAGGTAAAGTAAGTCAATGAAGGAAAACGTTGTAATATTTTTTTTTCGTGTAAAACAGATAATATACCTTCGCATAAAATGGTTAATTACTTAAAACTATTATATGTATTGTGTACATTAAAGGTAATTTAAAATATCTTCCATGAAAAATACTTTGTAGTATGTAAAGACGTTATTAAAAATTATGAAGCTTATAATAACGTTCTCTAATTAAGCATATAGCATTATAATTCATCATTTCAGATTATTACAAATATCAAATTGACCCATTAACAGACTATTTTAGAATGTGACCTACATTTACGTTCAATCACATGATTGTAGTTAGTTTTTTTATGATAATATTAAGATATATACTATAGTAATACATTCAACAACAATTTATTCAAAATGGCGGACGCCGCAAGATAGTGTCGATCAGCTTTTCTACGACCCTCTTGTCAGATAAAAGGGCTTAAAAAATAAAAAGATAAAATACTGTTATCTTTCACAAGCGTTATGTTTATTTCCTGATATATAAAATGTTAATGTATATCTATTTATTCCTCGTTCCTTAATTATACTTCAAAAAATCATTGAAAAGTAAAAATAATAAACTATTTAAAAAGGAATCTTTCAACGCAGTTTTCAGTCAAATTAACCAAACAAGGTAGCTCTACTTAAGTTTAACGGTTATTCAGAATTCAATTACGTATTGCAAACTATCAAAGTCATTTAGAACTTGTCAAACAATGAGCGATGCATGTACCTACTCGTATAGAGAGGCATGTGAAAGTTTGTTGACTAAAACAATTTTAATCGACGAAGGAACAAGAACACAGAAATGGGAACCTTGCAGCATATTTTATAGTCAACTCCGATAATCAAGTTTGTCTAACATAAAGGCTGCTAGAACTAACTACATATGAAGGTTTATGTTCATAAATGGATTCTGTCACTCTCTAAAATAAAATGTCTACATACCTTCTCTAGATACATGAGAGCACTTATGAAAATTTTGATATGAAAAATTGAAAAATAATTTAGGGATATAAGAACAAAAGAGTTAACAATATAAAGGTTTATCTTCGCATCTAGGTTATAATTCTAGGCATGACATGATTATAAAGTTTGTGGAATAAATAGTTTGATATCGGAAATAGCTTATTACTGATTCTAACGATAGAGTTAAAATGAAGTTTTATTATGAACTGCAAACACCAATAAGCTGAGCGGAAACTTTGTAACAAATATTTTTGTTTGAACTACAAAGAAACAACTTCGCTCTGTCACGTCGTTTAATTTTGAACTAAATGCAAAAAAAAATATTTAAACTGTTTTACTATTATTTTATTGTGTTAATATTTCCATGCCTTTACATTTAAGCCTTATATTCACTATTGTTGCTTTAAATCTCCAATTTACCTGTTTGGTTTGAGACGTCATTAAATTGTTTTAATTGTATTTAACGTAAATAATATAGCCCACATTTGAAGTTTTGATACAAAAATGTAAATTAATATGTTATTTATATTAATTGCATTTCAAGACAAGCAAATTGTTACAGTTTTTCAAAAAATAAAAATTCAACTATCATAAGATGCACTCAAAAGTTTCAAGCAATATATTCTAAGAAATTGACTCGGTTATTTATTCTTTAATGCTTGAATCGGCTGAGAGCACTTCTGCACTTTTTTACTTTTCCAAAGTTAAAAAACAGAAATAATAAGTAAATTTGTTTTAGTGCCTTATCTTTCTTTAACGCCTATGTTATATATTACTTAAATTCAGAAATATTTTTATATAATTCGTAATTCAAACAGGATATGGATATCATGGATAGTATTCCAATGCAAGAGACTGAATCATCGCCATATTATTATGGATATGTGCCGAGATGGATCCCCGAATCAAGACAAGTCTATATGAAGAACATCCTAGCTGACTCCACCAATGGCAGTAAGGAAACATAACACAATATAACCATAACAGCAGTTTCTAATACATTTTAACATTTCATATGTATGTTGTAAACTATTGTCATTTAACAGAATTTACAACACGCGAACCATTGAACGACAACTTCAAATCCATCTACAGACGTATCAACTCAAAGCCTGAACTGTCAGCTATTGATACGGAGTCTAAAAACTTTGCTTTATCTCCACTGAACAAAAATTATTATGTAAATAAGGAAATACCAGTCGGTAAGTATTAAAAAGATTATCTACATTGTATAATTATAACGTGCTACCTTAACGCCTTAACGACTTTTATTATTCTTCTTTATAACACTTCATTTAATAAGAATTTGTACATGAATTTTATAGTAAACACGAAAGTTAAAATACTAATAAAATATTACCGTTAACCACACCCCTGTATCGAACGCGTGTCATTTCGTTTGACTCTAGACTTAAATTCATTAATTTTGTGTCAGCTTTCATCTACTCAATGCCACAATTACTGATATGATACATAATTTCCTCTGTAGAGTTTCACCTATTGAAATAAAACTGACAGTGAGATTTTGTGAAAACAAGCAACGGTTTCAAAAATAACGAAACGTGTCAACAATTACTAATGTCAACTTTTAGATAATGAATGATATAAAAAGTTAAATATATATTCTCTAACGTAGAATCTTTTATTCCTGTTTTTAACACTAAATTGTAACCGGGAATAGTTAGGTACATTAAAAACTATTACAATTGAATTATCAAGATAAGAAATTAAATTTAATTTCATGATTAGATGAAATTTGTTTTTTGCAATTTGCAATGCCACCGATTTCGGTTGTTGTCATGACGTAGGCATTGTATAATAAAGTTTATTAAATACATATAAGGAAAAATATATTATTATTAGTGACTCAATGTAAGCAGAGTCTTCGTCTTTATATTATGTATTTAAGCTTTCATACAGTTCACAATACCCAATCATTAATTTTCATCAAAAACTACGTGTATTAATATATTATAATAACTATAGAGTATATGACTAAATATATCAAGCTCATCATCTCATATTCACTTTCATAAAGGTAAACCAACAATCAATAATTTAATTATTGAACCACGTAATTTATTTCACCTCGTTTTACAGGAAAGTTCGAAATCGACTCGACCAATCATAATTGGATATTGGTCAAAGTTAATAACTGCAGAATTTAATTTTCATCGTATAATTCTTGAAAGTCTTTTGAAATTGTAGTACTTATAATTTAATGAATCCACCATCCAATTCATTAAACATGTATCACTACAAATGAATTTTCGTTTTGTCTTATTAAATAATCATAATTACAATGACATTGTATTATACGAATATAATTTTTACTTATTAATTTCATATATTATATAAAACTAATAAAATCATAGCACTATACAATTTTTATGGTGATACTAATATGATGTCATAGCTTATCTGACTACAACAGCAATACCTTGACAACGGCTTACAATAGGTCAGAGTTGATTATTATTAATCAAACTGAATTAAGTGTATACATTATACAGGAATTGATCTGCTTTTTACTTTATTTTAATATAAATACTTTATTTTAATATAAGTAACTATTACTTATAACAGGGGATTAATTTTCGACAGAACTATTCTCATGTATATTCTTTTTATTGTGGGTTTAATTTTACATGGCTCTTTCTAGATTATCGGACTTAATCAGTCGATATTGCTTAATCCGTCATATAGCTAGAATAATATGTATTAGCAAACCAATAATTTTAGTTGAAACTTAAGATAATCACAAGCGAAATTTTTGGTATCAGATCACTCAAAAACAATTTTAAACGAAACATATGGTCTGTCGAAAATCGTGCACGTTCTTATAAAAGCTTTTTTTACATTTCTTGCCCTACTTCACTTTGTATATCAAGGTTAATTAATCTGGTTAGCTTTATGTATTATACGGGAGAAGCTGATACCTTCGAGAATTAATTAAGAGAAACATGTATCCATTGTTGCCTACAGTAGAATAATTTGATTGTTTCATAATATAATTTATTCAAATAGCTCCCACACAAGAGATTGATGTTTCCGAAAACCAAAACGTAAACGTGATCGAACAGCGGAAGACACGTCAGAACCCCAATTGGAGCAAGCAAAAATCTCTTATAGCTGAAAACTTGGATCGACTGCGGACCGGCTTGTGAGTACACTAAACCTGAACATTTACATGTATTTGTAATCACTGACATCTGTAGTTATTTTGACTACAAAAAAGTTTTGCACTATATTTATTTTCCTTTCTTGCCTACTGCTAAAAAAATTCTAAATCTCTTCCTAATACCTACCAATATCATTAAATGTAAAATTTTGTATAATTATAATAAGTGCCTTAGAGAGTCTAAGATTTATTTTGAATACAAGTAATACAGTCCCATAAAGGCAAAAAAAATGGCGATTTAAATTTTAATTAGAAAACTACAGGACGATATCTTAAAAAAAATACTTATTAATCACCACAAGTTAAGAGAAATGATAAAGATAATAAGCACTGGAATGAAAAAGAGACTTATAGAGATTTAAAATTGTATTCTCTATTAAAGCAGCTAATTCCGTCGGATTATAGTTTTATTACTTACAATATTGTGGAGGAAAAAAAGATTGGAAATGAGCTCGGACCTTAGGAACTTTGTCTAGCCTTCTAGAGCTCTATTTCTTTGGCTTTTCCCAATGAGCGATAAAAACGTTACAAAGTGTGACACCGCTATTAAAAGTCATTTGTTTTAAATAAGATTCTCTTCAGTAAATTAAAGCTTTAGTATGAAAAGATAGCGGTGTCTTTAAATTGAAAACTTGTTTTAACGAAACGAAACTAACTTCAAAACATTTTCTGATGTGAATTTTTTAAAAGTGGAAGCCAGTTGAATCAAGGATTTTTTACTCTACTTTTAAACTGATTCTGACACTGAATTCTCAGAGCATACAAAAGAGGTAACATAAAATAGAGACTGAAAAATATCGACAGTTGAAATGAAACTTCCACACAGATGTAACAAAATTCTTCATGTAGCGCATACATAGTAAAGTGATTTAACAAAACACAATGTAAAATAAACACTAGTAGTAATGGTGAAAGAAAACAAAACGACACACAAAGGAACTAAAATTACAGTAATTACTTAGATTTTTTATGAGGATGCTAAGGTTTTTCCTTCACCATTAAGTCTTTTTCAATAAAAAATATATTTTTTTATTTATAAACCATATTTTAGTTATAATAATTATGTTGTCTGTGAGGAATACTAAAGTTGCATTCACTAGAATTAGTAAAATTCAATATAATAAAATCTAATTTGATTAACAGCAAAGCTTTGACTGAAGTGATATGGACAAAAAACACATTTTTTTTTTCTCTATTTCTTTTGGTAGTCGATGAATGTTCAATAATAGTTACAAATTTGTTACTTGCGATCTTTTTTTAAAACAAAATAAAGAAACCCTTTCTTGACTCTCATAGTATTGGATTATTTAGAACCCAAGGATTATGCTATTAAGTCTAAATAGAATAAATCAATATGCCTCTTACTAGTTCAAGAAATCTAGGTCTAAGCAAGCTTCGGTATAAATATATTTTCTTATATGTAGCTGTAGTTCGAAAATTTTGCTTAAACAATTTATTTTGAATAAAAATGTTTAATGTAATGTGTTTTGAATAAAAAAAGTTTTCGTTTAAAATGTTAGTTAGATTTTTAAAAAAAAACATGAAACTTTCAACTCAAGATGTATAGCAACATTTTTACTGGTTTAATAAAATATCCTATACATATTAAAATAAAAAAAACGAAAATAACAAAATTTTACTTATTTCAAACTCAAACAAAACTGACCTGCTTACTTACTTCTTTATTTATTTACCCAGTTCATTTGCAATCAAAGTTTTACATAAACAAAGCACCCCTTGAACCTTAACCCAAAAATGTTTTAAACCATATTGTAGCATTATTAGAAATCAAAATATTTTTGCGATGCCTTCTGAATTTTTTAAACTTAGCACATCTTTTTTTACCATCTGATTAAAATCAGCTTTCCTATCTTCATTCGCATTCACCATTAGATAAAATTAACTAAATAATTTAATCTGACAAAACGACAGTCAATAATAAGAATATATGTAAGCAGTCAGTAGCTACTAAATAATTTCCAGGGCTAATAAGGACTACCGTTTACCTGTCTCCTTACTGCCAAACAATCTACGCTGGTTGAAAATTAATCATGACAATGACCTTGAATCGAGGTGACGTTCCAATTTTAACACTTAGTGCCTAGTCCACCACCCTTACCCCAGTGTTAGTCAGCATGGGAGTCTCATAGGTTTAATTTGAATAAATTTATAACGATTTTGAATTCAATATGAGCAACTAATTAACAAAATTGCACTTGTGCCCTCTAAATATGAATTAAGTTTAAAGAAAAAACATATAGGTAGGTCAATGGGTTCCTGCTTCACTTGTATGTTTGCATGTGCATTGCATACGTTCTGATTCTTCTAGTAACTTGTATAGAGTCTAGAAATGCACATTTACCACACCGCTTACCTAGTTATTAAAGAGAACGTTAAAAAGAGGCCCCCTTGATATAATCGTGTAAAATAAAGGAAATGATATTAAAATATATAAATATATATATAAGTCATAAAAGAATCGTGCGTTTTCCTGATACTCCTAAGTAGTTTCATTACAGATTGATAACTTTGCACAAGTTCTAAATTCAGCTCAAAATACTCATTAAGAATGTTCATTTCGTCTAAGACCTGCACTGATTACTTTCCAAAGCCTCTATTCATCGTTCTTGCTCAATCTTGCTGATGTCGGGAGCTACGTATTACGACTTTTAATATAGGTTGATAAAATAAATATTGGAAGATTCGTAACAGGTTCGTAATAAAAAATATTTAACAATTGTAATGTAATAACACTATGTTGCTATTCATAAAAATTATAATAAAGCGTGTGTTATTATGTTACAATATAAATTATTATTAATGTTTAAATTATTTCCTCGGATCATTAGAAATACCCTTGTGTAAGTAGAAAGCATGATATAATTTAATTAAATTATTGTTTCAATTACATATCTATTTTCACAGTCCTTCATGAAAACGTTAAAAACTGACGTCACAGAAACAAGTTTTGTAGTATCACTAAGTTATTTGCGTTAGAATTTTGTATAGATCATTGAAACATTGATTTTCATATTTTTTTATATGAAACAACCGAACCGAAGGACATCTCTTAAAATTTTAAGAAATTCGAGCGCAATATAGTCTATCACTGATAGTTTTATAATGATTTTGTATTTCTGCAAATTTGTGACTGTTGCTTAGAGTTCATTACTTTTGTGTTGTGTGAATTTAAAAGGAACTACTTTCACAAAGAAACGTAGATTAGTAGTGACGTTATTTGTACATGTTTTAAGGTGTGATGTGGGGAAAGCAAAATTTTTGTGACGGAAAACGGTTTACAATTCAATTGACATTGGCGGAGAAATAATTACACATTATCACATTTTAAAATATCGCTATGTGTATTGATGTCCAGAAACTTAACGAACAATGGGTTTACAGTACTCAGGAAGATGTTGAAGGGACAGACAGCCCGAAACACATTCACGTTTTGGAAACACCACCAGCTGATCCGGCGGAGTCAATTTATGGAGTGGCTTTAATAGCCGCTACGGGCTTAGCCTTTACCATGGCCTTCATTGGTCTTGCGTTTGGATGGTATACGTAAGGAGACACTTTATAATATTCCCTTTATAATTACTTGAAGCACAACATTATGTAAATTGAAAATTTTCATGAGTTCTTAAGATTACACATATATTCAATCCATGCACATTAAATTTCTCGTATATACATATCTCGATGACGCATCACATTACACAATAACTATTATGTATGAGAAGCAATTTAAATTATACATAGATGGTTAGAAATTTAGAGTTATAGAATAATTAGTACGATTGTCATTGATGATGGAAAAAAGGATAAATTATTATCTCTAAAAATTATGTAATAATTCATCCTTCTTAATATTTTTATAACTATCGTTTTCAAAATTGAAAATTTAAAGAATTTACACATCAAGCTTTATAAGCGTTGGCAATTTTATTGATATATTAGTTAGAGTTTTTTTTAGTTAGAGCTTAAGATGTATGTCGCTTAAAAATATATTTAATGCATGCAACGTTTCCTAAACTAACCTTTATCTATTGCTCTTTACAATCTCTTCAACTTATACTCTTTATTATGTATTACTCTTGCAAATTGTTATTTTTTTTATTTCTCAATTTAAGGGATAAAAATTTAAAAAAAAACTTAAGTATTAAGTAACCGCTAAAGTATTACAGAAATACGTATAAAATGTAGGCATTTTATAAACATTTATTCAGTATTTCAATTTAGCTAAAATAATATTACCCTTTTCACTGTTTGTGGTTGCAGATTATATTGCTATTAAGATTTAAGCTTAGCTCTCGTACTGAGAGTTAGAGAAATAATACCAGCGAATGCAAGGATTTACAAACAGATGTGGAACAATGCAAAACAGAAATAATGTGGTTTTAATATAAACATAATAATCTCGTTTAGAGATTATGATTTTTCGTTTTAAATTCTAAAAAAATATATGTTTTAATATTTAAAAAAAGTGGAAAATGTTATAGAGTAAAGATGTTCGTAAGTTTAAAAGGACTTCTTATTGTGTAGTTTATCAAAAAAAGCAAAGGCAGCCGCAGACGTGGACTATCCGGCTTACGGTGTAACCGGGCCTACTGTGGACGCCTCCGGAGACAGAAAACTGGCTCAATCAGCCCACATGTATCACTACCAACACCAGAAACAACAGATTATTGCTATGGAAAGGTAAGATTAAGTACTCCAGCAATAGTACGGTTTAAAACAATGAGATATTTGTATTGTTAGTCAAATAATAGTTACATTAATTTTCATTTCATACATTTAAAATTGTATATATGAATAACGAACGCAGTCAAGTCAATTACCTCTCCTCGTGTCTGTGATACATGCAACAATATAATCTTCAGTAGATATCAATGCTAATCACAACACACTCCTGGTTAGTAAAGTGACCCTATGATTAAAACATATATATAATAACTGTATATTAGATGAAAAAACAGTCTTTTACAGAAAGAACAAGCCAGTGATAATTTTATGACAATATGAAATACATAGTTCTAACTACTAAAAATACAACGTAATATAACTCTAAAAGGTGACTAAATATTTTTATTTCTGTAAAAGACTAATGGCCTAAATATAAGTATGATGTTTGCTATTTAAAAACCTTCATTAATGTATGAATGTTAATCTTGGCTTGTTAAGTAGGTATTGTGCGCTTTCGAAATTATTTTGCTAAAAATTATAAAGCTTGAATATCATTCGGCCATAACGATCGCGTCAAACTATACATCACCTGGTGTAGGGTAAGGGTGTGACCAGCTAATATGTACTAAAGGTTCTGTTTATCAAGGAACGGCATGGAACAACGTAATGGATCGGTTTCTGATCCGGAATCTGAAGAAGAAAATGAAGAAGGTGACTACACGGTTTATGAATGCCCCGGATTCGCTACCGTAAGAAGTTTGAGATTATTTCGTTTAGTTAAATTATTTCGTATATAATTATTTCATAGAATATAATTTTATCAACTGTTATTGGTAATTTATATTTTGTTTAATGTCCTTACAAAACAAAATAATACAATATGTTGAAGTTATATGTTATATATTCTAAATTGTAATAATAGCTCATATTTTTATTACGGATTCATAATTTAATTTTTCATAAAACCTACCCGAATAAAAAAAGCTATTATATTATCACAATTATTAAAGTATCAAAATTAGATCAACATCTAGCAAATAGATTAAAAATTACCACTTGCCTTACTCATTCGAGAGAATAAAATTTCATCTGAAGATTTTTGGGTGAAACTATATATAGAAGAAACCAAACATTCTATGGTTGATATCACAATATTAAATGTATGTATAATTAATATATACTGAGTGATTTTCAGACTGGTGACATGGAAGTTAAGAATCCGCTGTTCAAAGAGGACTCCACTCCAGCGATCCCCGCTAAGGACGAAGCGGCTAAGTCCCAGCCCAAGGAATAATTGCTACCCCTTCGCCTGCTTGGCGAACCCACCCGCACCTATAGAAACCTGCTCTCACCGCTGTTCCTAATCAGACACTTCGGCACTCCGAATTACTTTATCATGCTTATGTCACGCAATCGAATTCTCTAAGCAGGTGGTGCACTACATAAAACTTAAAGCGTTTTGTGTTTAAAAAAGCGTCGTGGCTGCATAATATATCAACATCGGGTATACAATGTACGAGAATATGACTTTCCGATACGTCAGCAGCTGTTATGGACAATTATCAACTTTCTAAATGTCGGTTTCATGTTGCTAATTGTGTGTTGTAGTTAACTAAAATCTACCATTTTAATTGTGCGCCCTGTATTAATTACTATGTTTATATATGTATGTATATATATATGAAGAGCTCATAATATATTGTGAAATATATGGAAACATGTATCTAAAAAAAATAATTAAAAGAAGAGATAAACAATTTCGTTTATCTCGAATCAAAAACGGCCTGTCATCAGATAAGACATTCTCATTTCAGTGACAAATTTAAGACACCTGTGTGCCACACTTGAATTGGAAAATACAGGAATATTTTGTAGTATTGTAATTTTTATGACAACGTCAATTGATTCATTGACCGTTTGAAATATATAATTAACGTTGAAAATATAGAAATTATTTATACTTTTAAAATTAATAGAAGATAAAAATGCCGTGCACTGGAATGCGTCGTTTGTCGCGTTCTAGTATTTTGTTTTATAAATAGTTAATAAAAAATAGTTTGATCACTCAATAGATAATGCTCAAAATATTTTGTTGAATATTTTATGACATAATGAATTTGAAAAATTTAGAATGGTTATATACACTTTGTTGAACGTATGCATAATATATATGTTCCCAATGAATAAAAATATATCTTTCACAACTATTGATCGCACAATTTTAATTGTATATTATTTATAAATTACGTCGGTAATATAATTATTAATCTTCACACTAAATGTCATATCGATAGTATATAATGGAACGCTACATTTATGACATTAACAATTTTCTGGGATCATGTGTTAAAATTGAAATATATCTTTCTATATTATAGTAATACATTCGGATTATTCGTGTTTGAAGCATTGAAAAAAAAATACAAAAAAAAATAGACACTGAAAATAGTTTTAAGCAAAAATATTATACGATAATCTAATGGGTTTTGTTCATCTGTGAACACTAAATAAGAAGTATTAAAATATAATATGTTAATCAATGTAGTTAATATTAAATGAATGTTATATGTGTATAAATACATCATAGTAGTCTTGTAATTTTAAATAAATAATTCATATAAGGGGTATACCTCGCTTTAGTTAATTACATTTGATGAATGATCATCGTTTGGATAGAGAAAATATCAACTGACGTTATGGATTCTTTGTTTTATACAAACGCAAAGAAACCTGCAGTTGCTATTCTCATCGGTCCGCGCTTGTTCGTTAATTTATTAGCATTTAATGATCTCATCTCACTTATAAAATAAACATAAAACCGATTTCAGGCACAATTGCTTCAGGAGTAATAGTGTTGATAGTAGTTAAAAGATCTATCGGTTAACCTTCTTCACAAATATTACAGTTATTAATGTAAAGGTTCTGTAAATTAAAATAAATTACACGAATGTATTAATGTATTAATTTTAATACTGTTCAGTATATTATGTATAATCATAGGATACGAGAATAAGTTTATCTCTATTGCATAAACGTCTATTGATATAATTTCAGATATATCTATCACTGCTTTTCCTCTTATAGCCTCGTTTATATAAATGGAATTTTTCTATAGGAAATTATTTTTTATGATTTCGTATTATTAATATTTTATTTTTTAATTTTATTAATAAGACGATGTTATTCGCTTTGAAATATAAATAAATGGTCAAACCAATAAACTTATATTGTGGAGCAAATGCTGTTTCATTGTCAACATTTTTATATAATTTTCCTTTTTCCTCAATTATTAAATAAAACATTTAGATTATTCCAATTATAACACTTTATATATAGTTTATTCAAATAAACAAACCAAAAATTAAGTATAATTATTTGTTGTCTAGCTAGACTTTCAATTTTCTTGTCAGATAGTGAGTGGAACTTTTAAAGAACTCAAATTCTATATACAACGGAATATCAGACGGTTTAGATTGTAAAACGAAACCAATAAAATACTAAGTATGAATTATTATCACTTGAATTATTATTAACACGCGAACTGCCATCTATCGTTAAGTATATGAAATTGATTCCCGCCAAAGAAAAAGAAGAAATATTTATATACATCAAATTTTTCAAGATTACTTGTTATATCTCGACAAGATGGCGCCACTAATCTTTTCGACAAAAAAATATAATGCCGCATATTAATTTAAAAGTATAATTATTACATATAACATTTTAAATATAATTACTCACAAAATTCCATATTATTTAAGCAAATTTGAGTATTTCTGTCGAGAAATAAAAACCACCCAAATACTTGACTATCTGATAGTTAATTAATTAATTAAAGTACAAAATATCCTATAATCAAAATCGAACAACAGTAAAAGGAAAACGTCTTATTTCTTTAAAAAATTTTTGCCATTTACATAGTTCGAAGTAAATTTATTAATCTCGAGTAAACAGTTTGCCTGTTTGTTTGCCTATTTAAAACCTAATGATTTTCTTTTATTCGAGCTAGTTTTGTTTTTTGGTTCCGAAATTCAATGAAGGTTCTACTTAACCACTTAACTGTAATAGCCGAAACATCTTATATAATAAATAAAACACAGTACCTACTGATCTAACTTTTTTAATGGTAAACGAGATTTATTTAACGGAATTCATATAATAAGCAATAAAAATGTATACAAGTCATCTAATAAAAAAATCCTTATGAAAAATACGATTTGTTAATAAAATTACTTCAACCGGTCTGTTTACTTATTGTTTGACATTCCTGAGCGAATATCGCCTGAGCGATAAATTATTACATTATTTGGTAAATATAACAAATAAATTGTTTTAAATGAAAAGTACATTATTCTATTTATTTTCTATTAATATGTAGTTCATGATTACATGTTATATTAAATTGTAAAGAAAAAACTACACAAATAAGTCTGTTTTATTCAAAATTATTTGTTACATGACAGAATTAGTTTCTGAAATATAAGTTATTTAGATGAAAATTTACTAACATTAAGACATATCGGGAATATCCAGGAATCTTAAGTAATGATTTGTGCTATATTTCAAGATTAAGATAATATTATGATCATATACAATTATAAGTAAACAATTTTCAATATTACAAATCAATAAGAAATATCTTTCTTAGGTAAACTATTTATATTATTATGAAGAAAATTTAAACCTATTTGAACATATGCTGTTTTTAAATTTAAATTAATTATAAGTTAAAAAATAATACATCGTATTCTTTAACAATTAATGTAAAGTATTCAAATTCATACATAATATTATTTCTATATTTTACATAAAAATCAATGACAGAAAAATAATAACTTATTGTATAATAAGTTAGAATTGTCAGTAATCAAATACGTATTACGAAAACAATAACCTCTCCTTTTACTAAACATATTTTGACCATAAATCCTTAAATATACACAAACTCCGACTCTATGTTTCCTCCGAGTTTACATTGTTTAACTAAATGTTGACAATTTCAACTTTTTTCATTCATAAAACTCTGGATTGTTGTCGCATCGCTGAAGTTTTATGAATGATAAATACAACAAACTTTTAGTTTTGACAATACAAACTTGTACAACACGTACACGTTTACCAGTCAGTTTTGACCTGGTCGATTCAGACTTGAGAAAATACCCTTTATCTTTTTACGAGAAACCGACAACAATGTTGTGTATTTACAATTTCAATAATAATAAGTATCTGAAACATTAAAACACTTCAAACTTTAAAACAACATTGTTATCGTTTTTCACTCTTTCAACAGATTATCACGCAATCCCAAACTGCTTTCTCATTACAATTTTATCTCATATTTATAAATAAAAACTACCCATCTTCTACTTATAAAAAAGAAACAGCATTAACATACATTTATATGTATAATTTGTTCGCAATTTAATTTATAACGAATTAAATCGACTTAATTTTAAATTACAGTCACATCATACAAAAATATGTGTTTTTTTTTACATCTTTTGTAAGCGCAGCGAACGATGGTGTTTTAATGGCAGTAATTCTGTGGTAACCGAGAGTTACCTCAGGACAAACGTTTTGTTAAACACGAAATATGACTCAATACAAGTGACATCCCAAATTCCCCAATTAGGAAATTGAGTTCACTATCAAACAATCCTCTATGTATGGTTACATTGATAGTTAATTCACAATAATCTACTAAGTTTACCGAATAACAAAAATAAATGACAACTGCTTCTTGATTGCAAAAATGCATGACAATTCTACAATACACAGAAACATAATGAATATAAATATTTAAAATTTACTTAACTTGTCGTACAGTAAGTAATTATTAATTAAAGTAATTATATAAGACATCCCTTATAAAATTAATGTCTAAATTTGACAAAAAAATTCCTCAATGATTAATTGCCATTCACTTTTCTATAAATTTGGTTACCTTCGAAATACATACTTCAGTACCACTGTATTATTAAATATTTTATATAATATTCTTTCAAATATGCAAAGAAATTAATATTTATTCCATAGTTATTATTCCTTTCAATAGTCATATAAGAAAAATAACAAAATTAATGTTTAAATTACCTTACAAGAATCAATTACGAATAATAGTTATTTTTAAAAACCTACACATAAATCGAGGCACAAAAAATATACATTGTTTACACTAATGTTACCATAAATTTTTATTTTAATAGAAGATTTTATTAACAAGAAATATCTAGACAGGCATTTGTTATCTAATAGGCAATTAATTGTATTCAGAGGTTAAAAGTTTATTAGTTCTGACCCTATTATACATCGCTAGACTTCCAATATTTCTTTGGCTACTATTACATATTAATTAAATTACGTAACAATTTATGTATAAAAGCCTTAGTTTGAACTTTTTTTGTTTGACAAAGAGTATTTTAGCACAATGTGTTGAAAAACTTATTTTACAACGATCACAGTAAGACATGAAATGAGTTAAAAATAAATAATAATCTAAAGACAAAAATAAATTTGATTTTTTCACTTAAAAGAATATCAATTTTTTTTAGTTTGATAATTTCTGAATTACAAAATAATCAGTTGACAGCGGATATGAACTTTGGTCACTTCATATTTTTCTCGTCAAATCAACATAACTAAACATAATTCACACCATTATTGGGTGTTTTACAATCAATACATATTTATATTGAATACGATTAATATAACCTACTCTATATAGTTCTAACTAATTAAATTTAAAGTAAGTACACTTTAACTATTTAATTTCATTCATTACAACATTAAAAATTATTACACGAATATTTAAGACATTCAAATACAATTATTTAACAACATTTACTTAGTTGCTACGTTGCTTAGTTTTATATAAACAGCTATTGAAGTATTTTGTACGATAATCAAAGTTTTAAAATTATATCGCATTTCTGTTTTAAATTGACGGTAGTTAATGGAGAATAATGAAGATTTCAAATAGAAAAATTCTTTGATATAACTAAATATAAATTTGATAAAAAGAAATTATTACGAATTGCTATTTGATTCCTTCTAATAGTTCGTTTAAGTAATTACTAAAATACTTTAAACGCTTTAACAATATTCTTCAATATTAATTAGAATTACAAGTGACTGGGATATTAATTTAGTTATAATCACAAGTTACAGCTCAAATGAAATTGTAACAACATAAAATATCTATCCAATAATGTTTCAGTAGAATGATTCAGTATTGATTTTACAGTAAACTATAAATTAATAAAGATAGTCCTTTTGTTTACTTAAAATATTGATGGTTTTAACAATAAATATCTCATAAAAATGTATACAATAACTGTAAATGTGATAATTTTTTTATAAATATATAATAATAATCTATTAATAAATATAAAACATTTTTTTTATTCAATGAATTCGCCTTTAAGTAACTGCATATTTTTTCTCTTATATTTAAATAGTTTTATTATTTAAATTGAATCATCATTTATTGTCATACTTATCGAAATTGAACTTCATTAAGGTTTCAGAATTTTAAAAAGAGATTGTTTTCTCAGCATTTTTTTAACACCGCCGTAGTTTGAAATCTACGACATAGCGACGAGTTGTATAAAGCAAAAGTACAATAAACAAAACTAAAATGTTCGGATATAAACAATTACAGATGAAAACAAATAAACGATAAAAAAGGGAAAACTATTAAACTACATATATAAATACACATCGTACATATAATATATATACCAGAAAGAAAATATATATTTTTCATATTAAATAATCAAGTATGATTCGTGTGCGTCAAAATGCTGGCCACAAAAATAAATCACGCTCCACCTCGGTAGGCCCCGGTCTTAAATCTTAAACCATAATTGGCTATGTTTTAAGTTAGCTGGCCATTACGAACTAAGTCAAATAGCAATAATCCCAGCGAATTTACTCATACTTTACTACCTCCAAAATATTTAAATATATCTAAAGACTATAGACCGCAGTTAATTATAAAAATATTTTATAAAATTTTGTCTCACACTACAACAAACCATAATCTATATCTATAATATAAAATAAATTTAGAATATACTCACTTAATAACTATAGTGTTAACAATTATAAAAATGATATGAGCACTTTATTGCGTATCTTGGACAAACGAACAATTGTATTATTGTCGAAAATAAAACCTATTTAAATGACTACCTAAAATTGAATGTATTAAGCGAAAACAGTGAACAAGTGTAAATAGATTCAATTATTGATTTATCTAATACCTTAACTAGAGGAATGACTTTTGTAGTGATTGTTGTTGTCGTTTTTCTTCTACACTAATTAGTTTAATTACAACGTTGAGAACCTTCATTATTATAAACTCAATAATAATAGAAAATATTTTAAAGTATCTACACAACAGAGATGAAATACATTGAGCAGATAACTATAAACCCTCCGTTAAAATGTCTCTTTATCACTTGTTTTAGTGATGAGTTTAACATTTTTTCGCTATAATAAAATATTTGGAGTTTTTTTTGAAAACATTTTGATGATTTTCTTTAAATACTAATCATCATTATCCATGCCAATCAGCTCGGCTTGCAGGCGTCCCTTGGTACGACAGCATGCAGTCAAGCATAATATTCTTAAAGCCAATCTAAACTGAGGGCTTAAAGATAATAGAATTATAATTTTCCAAAATGAATTAAGAATGCCGAGCCACACTACGCCGAAATGTAACATCGGAATTTTCAGCTCCTGATCGGTGAAGTACTCATAAAACCTCACACCGGCGTAGGGAGCCCAGCTGAGCCAAAATACGGAAACAAGAATGAAACTCATCCAATGGCTAGGATTGGCTAGGTTTTCAGCCAACGCAGTGGCATACTCCTTGTCGTGAATCGGTGCTCCGCTGTGCAGTTTCCTCTTCATTGAGAATATGTAGAAGTAGTTGTATACTATAGATATAACGCTCGGACCCAACACCAGAATACTCAAAGTGGCGGTATAAGCGTAAGTTGTACCCCAGTCGAGCATGCATATCAGAGTTTCCTTATCAAAATTAGCGTCCTTTTTGTATCCGAGTAACGGTGGACAACAGAGCATCGCAGCTGATATCCAGGTGAACACCATCCAACATTGGCTACGTGTGCGAGTTTGTACCTATTACAAGGTAATATATTAGTTTCAAATACAATATGGTGTTGTATGAATAGTGTCAAGTGTGATGCGTCATCAATTGTTCATTGTGCGTTATTAAGTAAACATAAGATATACTTAACTCACTCTTTATAATCAATCAAGTACAAGAGCATCCATTCTCTGTTACTTCTGTTTTTTTTTTTGAAAAAAGCTTTTCGGAACCATTTGTTTGAGTATAAACTGCTAATCCTTTTTTGCACAAATCGCGCGAGTAATAATAAAAACGTCTCATAAATTAATTTAAATTATTATTAATAGAGAGTGATTCCTCTTCCTTTAAGATTGATTCTGAGGCTTAAAGCCCTATATGATTAATTTAATGGCTTCGAAGCCACAGAAATACCTAATAATAGTAAATTTATTGCCACTCTTCTTGTTATGAAGAACTATACTTTCATTTGACGGTAACAGGTTTTAGATCATATTGAAAAACATTAATTTACTGTTAATGATCTGTTATCCATCATCCTTAAATATAGGAATATTTGCGAGAGCGCGTGATGAAAAGAAATTTAATTTAATATTTTTGTTTCTGTTATTTTATTTTTCTTATTTAAAATACTTTAAGCGTCTAGCACAATTCCAAAATTAAGGCAATTCATGTAACCATAGCTTAAGTATTCAAGTAGTAACGTACAAGGGCATGTTTACAGCATTTCTTTAAAGTTATTCCATGCGAATCAACATGCTAAGATATAAAACTGCTTACTCCACAAAGCTCTAAATGTTAATATTATTCCATTATTATTATCATAACTATATTACGAAAACATAAATAATCAGTGAACTTAATATTCGACGACGCATGTTGGTGCTGATAGTGCTTATGATGACATTCTGGCTCTAGATGACTATGTTTAAAAAATCACCATTAAAGATTACACTTCAAAAAAATTTAATTAGTAACATGCAAGGCTATGTATGTGAACGTTAGAATTATACTATTCATAAAAGTATTACTGTTCGTGCAAAAAAATTCAATGTTCATGACAAATACATCCGATTCCTCCATCAATGTTTGAAAAATGTTAATGTTGTGGCTGCTTTTGTAAGAGCCAATAAAATGTATTTAATGAATATGGTTTTTATGGAGAGAAAAACTATTGTTAAAACTTTCTCTTTTATCTGATTCAATATATTAATATTAGCTGTTGTATTAAAAGCTTCAAAGATAAAGTTTAATTAGCGATAGAAAAAACAAAACTAGTAGTAAGAGTAAGAGTCATTAGAAAAAGGCGTAAGTTCAAGAAAGACAACATAATAAAATCTCTAGTCCTATATAACTTTAACAACAAACTTTATATTTTGATGGAGACGTGATGTTAAGCGTCTTGAACAAGCTCCTGACGTCAGTAGAACCAGAGCGCCCAGATTGTGGAGGACGAAAAGTAATAAAGAAAGGGATAACTACCGTCGCACTAACCGTCTCATATCGGAGAGGTTTCCGCACGGCCAGGTACCGGTCCACTGAGATCCACATGAACGTGTACACGGACACGGACCACAGTGTGACCTCCACGTAGCCCGCCAGCCGACACATCAGGTCTCCGAACATCCATCGACCAGTTATTGCTGGGTACACAGAGAGCGGTACCACGAATAGCCCACATAATAGATCAGCCACAGCCAACGATAGCAGATAATAATTTATGACTTCGTTGGACAGTCCTGAAAATATTTTAATGCAAAATTTAACATAGGCTTATCAAAATGTAAGAAACAATTTTATAACTTCTCGTGGCTTTAACTTGAGTTGTATTACAAAAATGTACCTTTAAAATTGAGAAAGGACGCTATGATAAGAAGGTTGGACACAACAATGGCGATTCCGATGACAGCGATGACGGCTGCCTGGGTGAGTGACTCGAATGTAGCAAACGGACTGTCCGCTACGCTCACCTCACCGCCACTCGCCGCCCCGCGGGCGCTGATGACTCGAGAAGGCATATTTGCCCTGTAGATATATAATAGATCACTCGTATAGTAATAATATTAATAATAATAAGTGGAAGAATTTTGCTTGCAGAACATTATCGGCAAAAGAGCACTCGATGTTTTCTATCTATTCCGATTTCACGGCAAAATAACACGCGAACAAACTAAATCGCTTACAACGACATTTAGTTTGTATATAAATCAGTGTTGAGTGATGTTAAAAAATATTTTAATATTAAAAAGTATCTTCTGGAGGAATTTTTATATTTAATTAATTAATTTACATTTATGCTGCAACATAATAAAGTTATAAACACCAAACCAACTTTAATACACTTTACATATTATAATTTGGTCATTACGATATTATAAAGGTGTGTTTAAGTGTGTCGTTATAAATAAATATTGTATTTAACGTTTTGGTTATTGGAATTTAAGTGTTAAAGTTAATTTATTTTCGGTATAATACCTATATATAATATATATAATATCGTATGATTACATTATTAATTTAAAACAATCACTCATCACAGTATCACGTAATTTTGTATGACCAAACAAATGAAACTGACTTTCAAGATTTATTTAATAATTTAAATATTGGCAACGTTCATTAACGCGAAAACAAGATTGAATCTTTAGAGTTTTGTTAAATATTTCTTAATAATTTCTAGTATTTTAAAACAGTTTCTCAGAATATTAACCACGACCGACTAAGTGCTTCGCTTTTACTAGTGTTCTCGCTAAATGATATTTAAAAAAAAAACTGTGAAAGAAACTCAAAGGAAACTTAAATGGACATCGAAATAGAAATGGAAATTCAAAAGAATGTTAAAAAAGAAGCGAGCGTATTCATTAGACTCACACTCTGCCATATGTTAATTCCGCGAATGTTAACTTACCCGATACTAGAGCGATGAAAACTGAATAATAAAACCCATTGCTTTCAGTGAACTTGTATTCCGAATTCTGAAAAAAAAGTTTTTATATTGTTACATAATTTAATATAACATGAAAAATCTGATGATTTCACTGAATTCTAAAAATTAAGTCTCTGAAAAATTTACTTTCTAAAATACTTTAACATACTATTTTCAGTATCAATAATATGGGTAGTAAGTAAATTTTTTGGAAAAGGGAAACAACTACGCAAATATTACGAAGTACGAAGAAAATAACATAATATCAAAATAAGAAGTAATCCAATTATTCAGGTCATCGAGACTTTAAGGCTGCGGAAGACTTATCTTATCATAAGATTTATGAACACTTATCAGTATGAGAACACTTATTTAAATAATTAAATGTATTAATATTTCTTTTAAAAAACAATAAACATTTTTTAATCTATTTACTTTTAAATATGCGAGTATTCGATATATTACCCAATTCTCTGGAAGTTCTGGGTCAACGAAAATACATTGTGAATACGAAAAGTTTCTATTTTTGGTTTCACGTGCTACTATCACTTTCACCTTCCACTGTTGATTTTCAATCGCTTTTATTTTGGTCTTACAACTATATCGCGTACGAGAGATATTTTAAAATTATATATATTTATATTTAAAGTTATTGTTTTTATATAAAAATATCACTTTTACTGTAAATACCACAGCTGTTAGGACAACAATAACGTAGTTATGTTAATATCTTATTAAGTTGAGTACGTGTTCCACTCCCCAACGAGTATTGATCCAAAACCGCAAGACCCGAATTTATGACACGTTTCAACAGATTCCAAATTGTACCTTAGACGAACACGGCGACTGACCTACTTTCTGAGAAAATTAGAGGAAAACATCATCTATTTTCCATAAACTAATATTGTAGCACATTTTGTTTTGTAAAGTCATCGAACTTTATGAAATATAAACTCTGAACAAATTAACAAATGTATATATTGAAGTTTGTTTCAAGTAATTTGCTTTAAAGCTCGTTAAGTATATAGTTTCCGAGTGAATATGAGAGCTTTAAAACGGAAATAGCGAATCAAAAGAGCGCATAAACTTCAATGTGAGTCGGTCAAGGATAGTTTTACGATTAGTTTGTGTTAATATACGAGTATCTATCTATAATAATACCATGAGTAAAATGTCAGAAAATGTTACAGAATTCTATACAGGCATTAAATAATTTCGAATTTTAAAAAAATAAACATTCGCAATCGATTTAAACAGACATTTTTCAATTCTTTTGTCTATTTTCTAACGTAAATGACATAAAATTACATAGTGATTTATTTTATTAAAGTCAAATAGTAGCTTTGTGTGAGTGATTTCAACTGTACATTTACGTAGACTGAATACCGAAGACAGTATCGTATTTTTGAAAATTATAATGTATATTGCTTATAAACCAAAATTACAGTAACGCTATGTATATATAAATACTTAAATAAACTGGAAATGTACATAACTCCTATAACATATATATAATTTAATCCTTGAAATGTTTTAAGAATTCATGAAACGCTTCACTACTCTATATTCAATATGATGTAGAAACTGTAATCGATATACCTTGAAAAATTGACATTGACATTTTAACACACTCTTGGAATATAGCACACGACCTTATAAAATCTTCCTTTTATTACGAGAAATGAAACAATTTATGCGGTATAAGCAGATGCGAACGTTTTCAAGCTAACAAAAGTATTATGGTAATATTAAATCCACACATATGTTCCTCTTTATGATATTTTAAATAAAAATCACAATTCTTATTTGGTTTTGCTTTTATGGGAGAATATTAAAAAATGTGAAGAGATCTAAAGAATCGAAAGGCCGCCATTTTGAAACGTTTGTTTACATGCGCGAAATGTATGATTCTTTGTATTTTTCTATAATTGTACTTGCAAATAACTATTACTTACAGATAAATTAATACGCACTCCAAACATATACAATAGATATTTCCAATTTTTTATAACTTTAACTCTATATCGTATTATATTTTTTTCCTTCAAACACTCACTTATGAAATAAAATTCCCAATTTTTACTTAAACAAAGAAAATAATTATATCTTTAATTTATAAAATTGAAATTTTTTATAGAGAGCGTACAAAATACAGTCGCCGTATAAAGGGCAGAGGGTGAAATGATATCTATAAGAGCTTGTTGTTGTGAGGGTAGGCGGGGACTAGCCAGGAGTCAAGGTCGAAATGAGGAGCTTTGCCGTCGGCCGGACGCTCGAAGGTCAGCCCCCGCCCCTGCACCCAGAATCGATACAATATTGTAAACGCCATCCCCGTCAGAAACCCGTGTTTTAAGGTAGATTCCGTGATATGCAATTCTATTTAATGTTTTTTTAAGATCATTTTGCTACGAGTACATTATGTTTTTATGTTGATTGCTTAGCCATGGTTATGCTTTAATTACACGTACGTAAATACCTAAATGAAGAGTGTATTTAGTAAAATGTTTGCTTCATTTAACGCAATATGTGCATTATTTAAAGTGTAAAACATATTGTATTTGAATTTAATTGTAACTTGGTAATTTAAATGATGTGTTTTACAAGATAATTTTATAAAAATCTCCCTCGTAAAATATTTCAACCATAATATTTCAATATATTTTAGCTTATGCGGGTAACCATATTTATAACTAGTATAAATACAAAAATTCATGTCTTTGTTAAAACTTTGTTAGATATTGGCGAATACAAATAAATATTTGTTATACCAAGGAGTTCTTTCACGTGAATTTTTTTACAACGAGGTCAGATAAACATAAAATTTCTTATACACAGGTAAAATAATGTTTTATTCACTTTAATATTTCATACTCATCTTGTCAAAGCGAATAACTTGTACTTACATATAAATGATAACACATTTTTGTTAAATACCTGTATGTGTTTTCTGTTTGGAAACAATTTCGTAGGCAATCATTTATTTCCTGCGGATATTAAACAAAATTCGACGCAGTAAATTCGTAAAAGTACCCAGAGGAGTTCCTTTATTGTCATATTATCTACATTATATATATTTTTATTTATGTAACTTAATGATAGTGTGAAACAAAAAAGTGTCGTATCCTGTCGCGTTCATGATATATATTAGTAGAACGTTATAGAAAGAAGTAAGTTTATCCAAATTCTATTTACTTTTTCGTACTTGATAATTCGCTACAATGAGGTTATTCGCAAAGTTAAAATACATTTAACATGATCTCTTAAGAGATATTACGAAATACTTTTTAAATCCATAAAGACGTTATAATTGAGGTTGAACTATTTTTAACATTTTCAATTCTTTAACTGTTTATCATATTGACAGGTTATCCTACATGAAATATATATAAAAAAGTGTGATAAATAAATACTGAAAAGTAGACTTCAAATACGGACCGATCTCGGATTACTTATAATGCCACACAGCTCGTGGCCTCGAAACCCAAGATAATCTGATGTATATGTAATCAAACTTCCACGGACTATCTATCAAATACAAGGTAATGAATAAATTTCAATGTTCTATTAAAATTTTATAACTTCGTCCCAAATAGTAAAACTTAATAACGAAGAAAACAGGTCAGTGATCATCTTGAATGGCATGTTCCATTATTCTCTTTAAGTAAAAACACAATACATTATTACGAAATAATATGTTTTTACTTGAAAAATGTATAAAACATAAGTATTTTTTTATTTTTCTCTTTAAGGCTTTGAACGAACATGATATTTCTGTTCAGAAAATTTACGACTCTATTTAAATATAATATTGATAGAGAATTGTAATATTCCTGTTGATACCATAGTTCTATGAAATAAAAACTTACTTAAACATTTTCGTCCTGACTTAGCATTACATACAAAACATACAGATAAATTTAAAAGTCTAAGAGCCCCGAACTATGTTATTTTATAAGGCTAGAATTGTAAAAGCAGGTTATGCAAATTAATATATGTATGTACACCAGAGATGTTCTAGTTTGCAATAGAAAAACATGGTCTAAAAGCAATGTTTTACTAACGCTAGACACAGTGTGGTTGTCAACTCTCGCT